CTGAACAAAGGGAGATTACTCTTGGAAATAAAAACATTTCATTCTGTTCAAGTTGTATGAATGTTAAAACTGTAAATATGTTTATTTTTATTTATTTGTAAATGGATTTTAAAGTGTAAAAGTTTTATACTTGAATGATTGAGAATATGTAAGATAACAAATTAAAAAAATCTTAAAGGTGCTTAATTCAATACAATCAAAACATTTGATATTTTTGTAATGGGGTCAGATCTTTTTTTACAGTGAAATCAAAATGTCTTGTTTACAGTTATCACTGAACATGAAAACAATAACTTGTACCAGTGTAACATACAAGTCCATAATTGATAATATTTGATGAATGTTATTTTTCACTTTCTGTAGAAAATTTTAGTTAGATATTTATTACAGTTTAATATTTTAAGTAACTTTAATTCCTGAAAAATTCAGAATCAGTATTTTCATATACATGTATGTGTAAAGATTTTAATATAAAATCAGCGATATACATGTAATTTTTATTTAATTAAGGCTATTATATTAAATATAATAAGAATGTGTGACTGACTGAATTTGTTTTAATTGAATGATTGCAAATGATTGCAATATTTATATATCATAGCTGTATCAACTATAATGATGACAAAATGCTCGAAATAAAATAAAAAAAATATACTAGTTGGTAGTTACCTATATTTTGTTTTTCCTTGATTACAAGTCATTCCTAGAAGAGTGCACTACAGCAGGCACAATGTACATTGTAACTAGATTTAAGACCTCAACCGATGGTAGGATTTATTTGTACAACACCAATTGTAGATGAGATGTACAACTTTCAAAGCAATACAATACTAGCATTTAGACCATAATTCTGAATCATAAGTTTTCTCCTAAATATTTCCCTCCAGGTGGATCCCTTGCAGGATTTAGACAATATTGTTACTGGAGTGTGTGCAAATGTTATAATTCTTATAATCAACTAAGGAGATTGTTTTTAGAGGTAGTCTATATATTTGACTGTGGACAGGAGGGTGCATATAGGAAATCATCATGTACGGAATAACTAAGCACCCAAAGCCTGTTCTGTGTTCTCATCAAATGATGGATTTTTCGTCTTTTGAATGAATCCAGCAATGAAATTCCTTTTAAACTTCTCAGTCTATATAATCTTTTGAGTCATTTTATGATTCAAACGTACCACAAATCATGCTCACAATGTCTTGTGTTTTTGCAACATCTATGTGACTCATGTTTACATTTTAGACCTATTTTTCTGGCATTTCATTCAAAATACACATGATCAGTTGATATATTTTGTCATCCTGGGAGGTTTACATTAAGAGTTAGAAAATAGAACATGTTCTATTGAATGCTGTAAATCTAGTATTAATTTTCACAAATTTAAGAAATATATTGTAGTAGCTTGTACATTTCAATTTGTGCTGTACTTCTAAATACTGTCTGTTGAGGCATGTAGCTTGACTTAGGAGCCCATTATCGGAAGAGAATGCGATATTATAAGCCTTGCTGGCCAGTCAAATATGGTCCGTTACACAGCCAGATTTTATTTTGCATTGACCGATAAAGGAAAGAACAGTTCATTAAGAACAATTGTTGATCTAACATATTGATGAAGGGAGACATATGGTAGTCATCACAACACTGAAATCTTGTATGTTTTAAATTCATTCAGCTTCCTTGGGTGTCAAAATCTCATTGTCAAAGAACTACTCTTTGTTATCCAAATTTTCAGGCATTCAGGATATAAAAGAAAAAAAACAGATGAAGATAACAGAGTGTAGGACTTGTTTATTACACAAAAGGGGGATATGGTACATACAATAATATAAACATAGCTGGCTGGCCTTATTGTGCTATATTATCATTTCCGCCTCACTGTAATAAGTTAACGTCAACACGGAAACACAATATTTCACATAATTTTTTTCTATTTGAATTAAAACACCATTAACCATGTAACTATTATGTAATTTCCAAGTACAACGTAAAGTTTTCTTTCAGATCACTATGTCATGAATACAATATTTTAAAAGCAAATTAAATGCTGAAAAAGGCTGGGCTAAAAATGGCTTTATTATCATAGGTGCCAAATGATGTAGGTTTTTTTCCTTTATGATTTTCATTATAGAGGAGAGAAAATCTAGAGTTATCATTGACTTTTGAGGTTGCTTAAAACTTATATTTTGCTGTTCAAGCCCAGCCAAATACACAGAAATAATATATATATTAACTTAAGCAGTCATGTATGTAAAAGAAAGGCATCATTATGCAGACAATAAATCTTGATGTCAAAATTTGAAGAAATTTTGTTCATGAAGCAGAAATGAGAAACAATTTACATGGATTTCATTTAATAGGCATTCATACCAGCTTGTCCATGCATGCAACAACACTCTGACAAAACAAAAAAGAAAGATATGCTTGCAAGACTAAGGTTTGCTTTCACAAGTTATGTCAAAATGAAAAACACTTTTACCCCATTTGGAATGTTTCAGTTAGCCTATTGCAAGAACATACACTGTTTGCTGGCATTATTGTTTTTAGGTTTCATACAATAGAATCTATTTGGTAATTAATTGTTTCTGCCTTTTCATTTTGACATGTCAAACTCTATCAGTTTATGGTAAAAATGTGTTATGGTATAAAATGTATATGTCAATATCTGCTGCAAAATTTTATTCAAATTTGTGACTTCTACATCCACAGTAACTTTAAAACTGCAAAATCATAAACATGTAGTAGTCAGCTGCAATTTGAAAAACACAATGTTAACAAAGAACATTGAAAGCTGTGTAACAACGTATAAAGACAGACAGACGGACAAACAGTGTATTTACCTACCCCAGCATATCACAAATAATGGAGCGAATAAGTGTTAGGAAAAAGTAACAAGATTAGTAATAAAAAGCAACAAAAAAAGATACATGTTCTTTTTAGTGCCGTGTACTCACATGTGTAAAGCACATGTTGTGTGTAGTGAAACACACTTTATATACATGTAACATATGCACATACAGTGATGCTTACACATATGTAATGTTAACACAACATGTACAGTGCTGTGTACAAGTATTTTACATTACACAGTGCACACTCACATACATAGCCCAATATCAGGAATTTTTAGCGATTCACTGTCTCTCTAACTTTGCAGACTTGTCAGTTAGATATAATCACTGGCTGCATTTGTAGCAAAAAGAAATGATGCTTTTTATAGAAAGCTTCAATACAGTGATGTAATTTAATGTCTTTTCTATAATTTAAAAATTTTTTAACCCATTTTGATTGATTTTTAACATTTTTTTACAGTGGGCCTCTAACTGGTTTACTTTAGACAAATTCCCACATTTAACAAAATCCCTGAGTCAATATGTAATTGAATAAATTGCTATTCTGAGGGATTTCCCAAAACCTGAATATTTAGGTTATCAATAGTTACATAGTATATACCCGCTTACTTCCCTTTGATGGCTCAAGCCTTTTGCAAAATAATCTCAAAGAAAAGTGACTTCCTTATAAAGGCAAACTTTGTTGTGTTAAAAGAAGTGCAATGCACTTTATACAGAGGTATTATATTGGACATAAAAGTCTATTTAAACATTTTTCTAGATAAAAGTTGTATGGATATACAATTCCAGCATACATTAAAAGCTTTAATAACCATTTTGGTTACAGCTTTATTTTAATTTTTTGACATTATATTTTGGTCAATTTGTTCCTTGTAATATTGAACAAATGTTAATAAAATGTTTTCATCACTCTGTGGAGCTCAATTAACCCTCAATATTAATATAAGTCATAAAAAAGCGCTGTATTAAAATATACATAAAAGGCACATGGACAACACATTCAGTACAATATCAGAGTTCATGGCGACTTTTTAAACAGTATAAAACATCTAATCTATATATTATTATATACACAATGTATATGACAATATTACACAATAATAAATGCATAGAAAAATTAAACATTATGACTATTTTAGAGGAAAATAAAAATTAAAAAAAAATACATACTAAACGTAATGAAATATATAATTTAATGGAATTAAAGGGAAAAAGTAACTTGTCTGCATCCAACATGGATTTGAAGTCATGTATTTTGCCACTAATCCATATAAACTTGAAAAAAAAACATGAATGGTTGTGAAAATGAATGCAATGAATACTGACTAAAATGTTTCCGCAGGGATGATTATCATTTTTAACTCCCTGTGTTTCTAAGTTCTATTTGTAAGTGCTAAGAGGTCATTAGTTAATCTCTAATCAATTTTGGGTTTCAGATTTAGTCATGAGTTTTACAAACATTCAAGAAATTCCTAAAGATAAAAGTTTGTTATTTCTTTGTTCTAAGAGGTCAGTATTTAGCACCTTTGAAAACAAAATAAAACATTCTTAACTTTATTCTAAAACAACAAAGTGAAGTCTCAAAAATGGTTAATAATGAAACAAATGAAAAAAATAAAAAGCTATGTTAAAATAGTTTCTGTACAAGATATCCACTAATGTCTGGGGTAGCACTAAATTGTGATTTGTTCGTAAATATACATTCTGTGAAAAAATAAAACAGCAATAACACTGTTGAAAATTGTTTAAATTCCACTTAAGACAAAAAACAACAACAAATGTTGATGTTTTAATTTGTCCATAGTCACTAAACATTTTGTTTGCTGCTTTTATTTCTGTAATAAGCACATTTTTTTCTGTCTGCTGCACATTTACTTCCCTTTATTTTCTACAATACAACCTTATGACAAAACAAGAATGCCTCATTTTTTTTATGTAATGAACGTTTATAATACGGACATGTTCTATAAAACATGGTACAATAAACGCTAAAGTAGTACTATACATCTAACTGATCAATCAAATAATAGTTTGGTATACAGCTTATAGGAGTATTACATAATTTTATCTTTGTTGTGTAAAAATAAACCAAAAATTAGTAAATCATAAGTCTTTGAGAGTTATTCTCCACTTAAAGGTTTCGTCTTGCAACTAGAGCAGCAAGATCTTAGAGATCAAGGTATTACCACACAGACGTGCCGTGACAAACAGGCGACATTTCATCAGTGAGGTTTTATCTTCACACTTATCATCTGGCATTACTAAAAATAGAAAAGAGATTAGAGATTAATCAACAAGTAGAAATCTAAAATACAAAGTCAAAATATATTTAAAGTAGATCTTATTGTAATCAATTTTGGAAGAACCACTGCGAAAAAAAGCACTACTGAATATACAACATAATTAAACTTCTGTCTTATTTATTTATCTTTAAATGAACTGGTTTCCTTTTAAACCCCAAAAAACCCTATAGGCATTTTTATTTCAAAAAAAATTTAAACCCAAACCCAAATTATTCAGCAATGAACCTGTACGGAAAATTTTTTTTACGGGTTCTGGCGAAATTGGGAAAATGAAATTTACATGGAAACAGTGAATTTTTGGGCGGACCAGGAGCGGAAACGCAAATTTCCCCTTTTTCATTCCTCCGCAAGAAAAATTTTTGTTTCACTTTTCTGGGCGGGAAAAATAGAAAACTTCCGGGTGGAATTTTTTTTGGAAACAAAAATTTAAAACTTAAACATTTCACTTTTGGGCAAGGGAATTTTTCAACTTTTACATTTTCTTTGGGGGAAGGGGAAAGGTTTTTCCCCTATGGGGCCGGGGAAACTATACTTTAAAAAATTTTTTTTTGAACAGAAATTTTACATTTTAAAAATGTTAAATTTATAAATTTTACTCTTGTTTTGCACTCTTGCAGACATTTTGAAATTTTACCAACTGTACTTTATTATTTTTGTTGAAGCATGATACTTGACCAATAATTACAGGTGTACTTTTTAGAATAAATAGGTTTATTTTTTAAGACATTAAAAATAGGTCTTCTTTTTAGATTATTGTGGCAAATGATATATTGTCAGACTAATTTAGCAAATCTTTTTGTACTGAAAAACAACTGTAAATAATCTTAGTGTAGAACTTGAAAACATTCACCTCCAAAATGCTTAAGTTTATAAATAAAGGTTTTTTCATAGCAGCTTGTATATATACATGTACTGAATTATGAATTTAGGACATCATCTGAAAGCAACATTGAAATAAGAATGCTGTTTAAATTTGAATATACCATAGAATATAGGACAGCCACAGGACAAGATAGTGTGTGTGCCATTTTAAATTCTAAGAATTCATGATTTTGTTATAAAAAGAAATTATAAAAAAATAAACAAAAACAAAACAAAAACAGTGCATGAAATAATCTCATATATTATGTCCTTTTAATCTATATAAAATTGATCAACCAATATGCCCAATAATTGATTTTATTTAGGTAAATAAATACTACAATGTATATCCACTGAGATTTTACACTACACAGATCAAAGCTCTGATAAAACTCAACTGACCAGCAGTTTCCCACCATCTATGCATGACTACATGTAATTTACTCAACTGGTCATTCCAACAGATCAGGCTGTTCCATTGAATTATTTTGGGGAAGAGATAACATTATAAACTTCATATGCAGAATTTGTCTAGGACATTGCAATTTTTTTTGCATAAAAATTTAAATTCTATTTATATATCTATTTGTTACTTGATTTTTTTGTACATTTGCAAGCTGACCTTGCTGACATGTAAGTCTGTTTGCCCTGGAAGAATTAAAATATTAACTGACTCGTTACCTGGACAATTAGTTCCTTGTGCATCTCGTCGTGGTGTGTAACCATCTAAACAACACTGATATACTGAACTTCTGCAATCATATGCTGGCCTGTCTGTCTGTGGAGGTGGTGTTGTGACTATGAAATAAAAACTAAATATTATTTCATATTATATTACTGTATTTCTAGTGGCAAAAATAACATTGCTTAAGCTTTCAGTACAGAAGTACAGAGGCAATCAGTTTAAATCTCACTGCGGATCATCACGTGACCAAAATCGTACAATGGGCTCATAAAATGGCGGCCTAAACGCTCGGTAAAAGCAGTGAAATTGAGGTAAGCATACAGTTAACGTTAAATTTATATATAAAACTAGGCCGCACGGAACCCCTGTACAAAAAACTTTGTATCTCTCTCTGTTTAGGCCTGAAAGTCGAAAAAGTTGTTTTGGGTGAAGAGTACAATGGCCGAACAGGTACTAAAATACGTTGTTTTCAGTATAAGAAACACATTTTGAGCAAAATTAGCAATGACATCTTGTGCACAATTGGAAGTTTGCCCGTCAAGGACAATTTCCATCCTTTGTAAAGTTGCAAAACGAATTATGCTTGTTTCCCGCTTCCTGTCTTTGAAATCATACAAATATGATATTTGAAAGTGAATAATAGGAAGAAGTATTAAATTAAATGAATTCAGTTTGCTTGCTATAAATTCTCATCTTAATAGTACATTGTATTTGCTTTGATAACACACGTGTACATCAGCATAAAAATATTTAAAATACAAAAATAAAATACAAACATGTACATTATATAGAATTTATTTCACCAGCAAAATATATGTTTCAATTACATACATAAAATTGTCAATTATTTTGGAAATAAAGTCAGTTTTTTTTGTTTTTGCTGTTGTTGTTATTGTATTTCAGATGCAGAAAAAGTGGTTCCTTTAAATGTTTACATATATCTATGGAATATATACATGTAATGTTTATATTAGATTTTAAAATTGTGCTTAGATTATCGTTAAATACTTCATCACACCATATTAAGTAACTCAATATCTTTACAGGAATTGGAAATTTCTTCTGTGTTTATTTGCCAGCATTATAGCAAATCGTATAGAAGACGATCAGTTCCCATGTCGTCACGAGCAGGTACACAAGGGGAAGGTACCCCATACATGCTGTGGGACATGGTTCCTAAGTTTCGGCAAATTGCAAAGACATTGGTTTGTAAATTGCATATTTTACATGAAGTACCTGTCTGATATTTCTATATACGGCTTGAGTGTCTATGATGGAAAGAACGCAAAAAAGATGGTTATATGTAAATAATGAAAAAATATATTGCCCCATTATCTGCTATAAGCAGCGACATACAATGTACCCTTTGTGTTAAGAAATGAACGCATTATATATGTTCCTAAATAGGTACAAAAAAGTACAAAATTTCTTATGGGGACAAATATTATGAAACCCGATTATTACAGCTCCAACACCGTTAAACACAACATGTGAGCTATATTTACATCAATAACATACATTTGACGAAATAGGACAGGCAATAAAATCGTTCGGCCATTGTACTTATTAAATTTGGTTCGGCCATTGTACTCGTTTTTAAAAAGATGCACAACTTCGTTATGCAACTTTACAAAGGATAGAAATTGTCCTTGACGGGCAAACTTCCAATTGTGCACAAGATGTTATGATAATTTTGCTCAAAATGCGTTTCTTATACTGAAAACAACGTATTTTAGTACCTGTTCGGCCATTGTAATCATCACCCAAAACAACTTTTTCGACTTTCAGGCCTAAACAGAGAGAGCTACAATGTAACCAATAACAGAAAAGTACGTGTTTTTATACAGGGGTTCCGTGCGGCCTAGTTTTATATATAAATTTAACGTTAACTGTATGCTTACCTCAATTTCTCTGCTTTACCGAGCGTTTAGACCGCCATTTTATGAGCCCATTGTACGATTTTGGTCATGTGATCATCCGCAGTGAATCTAGAAGCAGTCTAATGGTTGCTGAAATCTAACTTCTGGTATCAAAATTACTTTAAGTTCCAAATGCAAATTTGGGCATGTCAATAATTCATATTTAGCAAAAATTAATGTGAAAAAGAAAATAGAAACTAATAAAATTGTAATTAACTTGAAATAATGTTTTCTAGTTTCCCCAGATAAATAGAATTATTCACATTGGAACTTTAGAGTTATTCAGAATGATTTTTAAGAATATGGTTAACCCTGAAGTAAAGTTGTAAAAATCAGCCAGTAATCATAACCAAACACATTAAAGCGGCCTGCAGTTTTGTTTTCTTTTTCGTTGAAAAACAATTCTGTGTTGATTCAAATTACATGTAATTATCTAAGTAATTTTATCTTGGAAAAATGCATCTTATCACTGTTAAGCTTTTTTCAAAGCAGAAACCGAGAGCTATGTAAAGCACGCCAGTGATGTTCGTTTCTAAAAATAAAAGACTGGGAAACAAATCGTCAGCTTTACTTATTTACGTAATATAGAGAGCGGACCAGTAAATATGAGGTATCTTGTTTATATATTTTATTGACGGCAATTTTCATTTTCCATCTTAATGTTTTTTTCTAATTGACAATTATATGCAATGGTTTATCTAAAAATAACATATTTAACTTTAAGAAAAGCTAAAGGCTGCTTTAAACTTAGTCAATAAAATGTGTTTACTTTACTTTCCTATATGATACAAAAATAATTCTTACTTTGTGTTTCAGTACATTGTCTCTGACATCCTTTATCATTCAAGAAATTGTTACCATTTCCCTCATTACAGCCTCCGTACCAGAAACGATCACATCTCTGTAACTCCGTGTTAAAGAACCAACGAACCTCCCAGTCTGAACAACTTCCTGGATCCTTTGGTAGGCTACACACATCGTACCCTGAAATGCACCATGTTGTTTTGAATTTGCTTTTTTTAAGACTTTTAATCTATAATATTTACTTTGTCAAAATCTGCATGTTCATTTCACACATATAGCTTATTAAAATGTTTTACTACAGTGTACATGATTATTTCAAATTACCTAGAGGGTTAACGCAGGTTTGTCCACATCCATTATTACAACATTTCTGAACTCCGGTACAATCAGCATCATTCTGACATTCCTCCAGACAGATTCCGAACGTGTCCGAGTCAATCACCGGACATTCACCAGTTTTCACAACAACTGAAACAAATAACACATTAGTAATGCTTAAAAAAATCATTATATTACCTTGAAGAATTAAGTGAAAATGTATTATAAATCACCTATGGAAAGAGATAATTATTCTAAATATGAAGTATAATATTTTAATACTTCCATCAGAAACTCACAATCAGTTCATGTATTTCATCTCAAAGAGAGAAAGAAAAGAAATCTTTCAACTCACTGCTCCCTTATTGAACATTAAGAAAATGAAAGTTAGTAGGTTGGATGAATTTCCTGAGATTATTGCCTAAACTTCTCACCAGTCTAGTTCAAGGGGTCAACCTTGTAGACACTTAGTCATGAAATTAATATTTCTTATACAAGAGAAAATGATTTTAAATTAAAATCTATTGCAAAAGCAATTTAAGCACACAGTAAAATGTTAATATTATCATATCATTTATGTAAGAGAAAATTGCTTCTTACAATGAAGATACATAGAAAATTTTCATAGATATTTCATTATTACACAATAATTGTGATGTAAAAATGTCTAGAAACACTCTTCAGGAAGTTGATATTTAAAGTTTTCTGATTGCATGGTTAATCAAAAATCCTTGAAAATAAGCACATTGACAATTACATGCTTACCAAGTTGTGTGGTTGTGTTTCTAGCAATGTCGCTCCACTCACTCAGGTATGGCGGATCATTGACACACACAGCAAAATGGTATTCTGTGTCAGGTCTGAGCCCGTCCAGATACCCTCTTAAATCTGTAGTGTTTTTATATGCGTTTTGTCCAGAGCCGTTACTGAAGTAACGGATAGTGTAGTATCTATTATCTCCGATACGCTGGTCAGGTCCGAAGGAAGGATCTTTCCATGTGACGATGATTGTCGTACTTGATAAAGTGAACCCCTGGACATTTTCAGGTGCATTCATTTGGTATGGCTCCTCAGCTGTAAGTAATAGAATATTATAAAATTATTAAACCAAGAAAAAGATCTGGTTTTTTTTTCCTTTTAAAAGGTAACAAGAAATAAAATGAAACACAGAATTTAAAAATCTATCACGTTAAGCTTTGAACTATAAGTGTGACCTTGATCTTGGAGGTAGGGGTGCAGGTGTTGTGCATGACATATTGTCTTATCATTGTGATTATTTATGCAAAGTATTTTAAAAATCCCTTGATCTATGAAAAAGTTATGGACTGGACACAAAATATACCCTATAACAGACTTTGTAAATCTTTGACCTTTAAGTGAGACCTTAACCTTGGAGGTAGGGACATATGTGTTACGCTTGACATATCATTGTGACTATTTGTGCCAAGTATTTTCAAAATCACTTGATCTATGAAGAAGTTATGGACAGGATACAAAATATACCATATAACAGACTGTTAAATTTTGACCACTAAGTGTGACCTTGACCTTGGAGGTAGGGGCGCAGGTGTTATACTTGGCATATCTTCTTATTATTGTGTATTTTTGTGCCAAGTATTTTCAAAATCCCCTGAACTATGAAGAAGTTCTAGATGGGACACAAAATATACCCTATAAAAGAATATGTTAATTTTTGACCTCTAACTGTTACCTTGACCTTGAAGGTAGGGGTGCAGGTGTTATACTTGACATATCGTCTTATTATAGTGACTAATTGTGCCAAGTATTATTAAAATCCTTTGATCTATGAAAAAGTTATGGACTGGACACAAAATATACCCTGTAATATACTCTGTTAATTTTTGACCTCCATGTGTGACCTTGACCTTGGAGGTAGGTGACCGGTTGTTGTGCATGACAAATTGTCTCATTATTGTGAACAATTGTGCCAAGTATTTACAAAATCCCTTCATAGATAAGAAAGTTATGGACACAACATATACCCTCAAATAGACCATGTTGACCTTGAATGAGCAAGTGAGATCTTGAGGTAGGGGGTCTGGTTGTTGCGCATGACACATCGTCTTATTATAACAAACATTTGGTCCATGTTATTTCAAATTCTTTTGATAAATGACAAAGTTATAAACCGGATGCGAAAGTGCCACGTCCGTCTGGACGGACGGCTGGACGTACTTACGAAATGGTACTTATGTGACTTTTCCTTTGATCTATTTAGCCATTTTTAGTCACACAAGGGTTAAAAAAGACACACAAGTAAAATGGGAATGAATAGGATCAAAGAGAATTTACTGTTACCTTTTGTTCTCCAAGTCACACAAGTACCTCTGGGTTTGTACGGACAGATGGACAGACAGACGGAGCCTATTTCTATATCCCCCTTTTTTCTTAGAAAAAGAGGGGACAATAATAATGATAAGTCACTTCTTGTTATATTTTATCTATAGAATGAAGATTTCTTAAACACTTAAGGTCTTGTCAATATTTTTGGTTGCACTGGTCGGTTTTATTTTTGGTTTTAGTTAGATTCAAATTATAAATAACATCCATCTATACCTCAAAGAAATCAACCTCTGGTATTTGTTTGATCCAAGTTTCATTCAACCTACTAAAGAACAGAACAAACTGATTACATACCAACTGGGTCGACACATCGCAGACCACAACCATGATGGCAACATTTCTGGTTGCCTGAACAGCTTGAATCATCTCGGCAAGTTGGGGCGCAAGCACCAAGAAAACCCTGCCTGTCAGTCCTTGCTGGGCAAAATACAGACTTTGCAACATCTGAACCTGTAATTATGTCCAAAAAAAACAATAAATCTTGTATCAATTTTAAGCTTTTTTGTTTAAAGTTTATCACATACACTGGAGTGTACATATACACTGGAGTGTACATTTATCAACTGCTCTCAGTTTATCACCTGAACTGGGTTTATAAGTTGCAATGGGTTCATCATTTTTTTTTATATTTTTTTATAATACCTGTTTGGTTTCAAATCTATTGGGTATAAATTGTTTTTGATGTTGATCACATGTGTTGAGTACAAGCTACTTTGCATTTATCACATGTTTACTGTTTATCATTTACTTTCAGACAAAGATATGGAAAGAGAATAGGAAAGAATATATAATAGTGTACACAATAGACTATATAATTATGAAGAATAGAACAAACTAATTACTTACCAACGGGGTCGACACATCGTAGACCACAGCCATGATAGCAACATTTCCGGTTGCCTGGACAGTTTGAATCATCTCGGCAAGTTGGGGCACAAGCACCAAGTAAACCCTCCTTGTCTGTCCTTGCTGGGCAATCCCCAGACTTTACTGCACCCGTACCTGTGAAAATGTCAGAAAACCAATAAATCTTGTATTAATTTTATGCCTTTTTTGTTTATCACATACAATCATAAGGGTCTGCATTTATCACCTGCTCTCAGTTTATCACCTGAACTAGGTTTATTACTTGCAATGGGTTATTTTTTGTGTTCATCAACTTTTTTAATTTCATTATACCTGTTGATTGGGTATAAACTGTCATTCAGTTTATATGTGTGATGTGTCTGATCAGGATCCATGCTGTTCGCTATCAGTTTCTCTACTTGTAATAGGGTTGGTAAGCAAACAGCATGGATCCTGATCAGACTGCGCGGATGCGCAGGCTGGTCTGGATCCATGCTGGTCGCAAACGCACTATGTTGGTTTTGTCGTGCAGCGGCTCATTTGGTAACAAAAATGTTACAAACATATGCTCCACTTGACAAGATTACTATCTATATGTTCTCTAGTACATGTTGGCAATCTAAATATTTAATTGTTGCAAAAAACAAAAATTTTTTGACACAAAATCTTTGAAAAAATTACTTGGTTAAAAAATAATCATATCCATATTTTATGGCATTTCTTAATTACAATAAAAAATGAATCTTGTTTCAGTGCAGAAAAAAAGTATTATTGAAGTGCAGAAAAAACATTTAAAACAAGTAGTGCTCTAATAATTGTACTGATATATTTTCTGAACATTCTGAACTAACTTTAGCCAAGAATCAAATGATAACTTGAGATATACATGTACCACCACTATAAACAACCATTTTTACATTGCACCAACACAGTCACAGTATAGGTCATATAGAGACTTTCAAGCTTTACTGGTGGAGGAAGACCTCAGTCTATAGGAAAGCTTGGATATATATCAGGAGATGAACTTCCAAGAATAAATAGATATATATACACTACTGTGGTGTAGTGGATAGCCTACTGAACTGGCAAACCAGAGACCCGTGGTTAGATTCCCGACTGTCGCATGCCAATAATAATTTCCCACTCACAACTCTTTTTTTCCCATGTAAGAAAATATATTTCAGGAAATGTACTTCTTGGAAATATATACATGTAAATATGTTGAACATAGCAGATGTGCCACTGAGAAAGACAGATATATATCACATGATACATTTCAGCAGAAGAATGTAAAAGGAAAATGTATATACATTACAATGCAAGATACACTTTTAGATAAATCAGGATAGATAGCTACAAGAAATCTGGCTAAGTACTTGTTGGCGTCCGCGCCGAAGCGCGGCGCCCTTTATGGAATGAGAAAGGGCGACAGCAAACTTCTCGAGCCTTTTAGTCGGTCATAATAAAAGCCGATCATTCCGATCGGTATGAGGATGCTTGATTATTATTAATTAAAAATGAAATGTCGCGATATGTACAATGAATAGCGAACTGGAGAATTTCGCAATTCAAACATTTTCAAATGAAATAACCTTTTCCATCTCTTCGTTTTTTTTATTTATCATTTTTGTAGTACACAGTGGGTTATTATGGTATGTTAAAATAGAATGATGAATTGATGACCTTAGCATTCCGAAAATCTTTTTATAGAGGGATGTACTCCTATTGGTAATTCCCGGTCTCTCCCGGTCTATTTTGACAGGGATTTACTAATGACCGGCGAATAGTATCACACGTTTATTGTCCGGTCTCTCCCGGTTTTGGAGTAGATGTTTGATATCGTTACAGAACAGAACAAATATTTTACAGATAAATAAGCTTTTTTTCCAAAATGAATGTTTGTCACTTAGTTTGGTTACAATAATTAATAAACATAGATCAACTCTCAAATTTATTGATTATTATTATACATAAACATACAATTCGAAAAAACCAACAACAACAACAACAATAGCATGTTTCATTTTATCTATATGAGATAAAAACAATAAATATGTACAATGATTGAGAAAAAATGTACATTTTTATGGTATAAATATGACACTATCAACTTTGAAACATTTTATTTAATTTGTTATTCGTGTTTAGTAAAGATGCCGAGGAATTATTCAAAGTTACAAATTAGATTTTATGAATTATTCAATTGATTGATAATTTAAAAAATGATAATGTACATGTACATGGTTTAAGAATAAACAATATTATATATTGAAAGATTAACCATAATTGACTGACTTTTTCAAGTTAAGTTTTGACTTATAATCGTCGGTCAATTGAATTCTTAAAATTTATTTTACAATTTTAATTAAAAAAAGAGTAGTAAACGTAAAAAAGTCAGTATTAAAATAGCACATAAAACACAAAAAAGAGAGGAAAAAAATATTCATAAAATCTGTATTCTTTATATTAAAATAGATATTACAATTATTGTATAATAAACACTTATGCTCAACATGATCAAAATGGTAATATAACCAGTGTCATATTTTTACTAAGTGTGAACAGATACCTTAAGAGTCGGTCTTCGCTAATAGCGATAACATAATAAGTGACAATTCCACAAGTATGGTGTTGATCATGCGTTACACATATGGATTATAAATGATTGTATACATGTATATCCGTTGCTATTAATAATCACGATCATAAAGAAATAACAAGAAATATTCTAATCTCTATCATGCCAATCAAAGTTCATAATGAACAATGTCTTTCGTCCGTTCATTCTGGTAAAAACCAATTAACCATTGAAAAGTTTATAAGAATATCTTGTCATCCTATGTCTACTAGTTCATCTTCACTTTCTGCATTTTTTGCTTGGACGCCCTTTGATGCTTTGCATCAATGCTTTTCTTGTATACATATTGATATCATATCAAGTCCTTACGTGTGTACTCCTGTACTCTAGGTTCTACACATACACGGCTACATGCAACTAGACAGCATTTTTTTCTGCCCCGACAATCTCTGTCAGAACGGCACTGTTCTATACAGCGACCATCTCGGCTTAGACCTCGGAAAGACGGACATGTGCCTCTTTTGTTATAAACTGTCATGAACATGGTAATGTATAATGTTCTATATTTTGGACAAAATATAAAAGGACAAGACCATATCACTCATATCAAGCCCAAAAATAATTTGTTTGCTATTTTCATGAATACTGTATTGTTTCCATTTAAAACCCCCTCTCTAATTAGCGAAAAACCTTACCTTATAGATTTTTAATCTATATAATCAAAGAGCAATCCAAATTATACAACTGTTTCTATTTAATCAATAACAGTTTCTGACACTCCAGTAATGTAAAATCATTAAAAAAAAATCCTGTATCATTTATCAGATCATAACAGTGAATAATGATTTTTTATATTGAATTGAATTGTATCTTTAATAAACATATTTAAAATCACATTTTATAATACTTCTAATTAGCAGCCCCCTTTTGAAAATATGCAAGGCCCTGGGAGCGTTAAATGGAACCAATACAGTATCTATATATGCAACTTGTATGAAGCCAAAGTCAAAATCTTATACTTAAAAAAGAAGGAATTTCAAAAAAAGTCAGCAAATACCTTAACATTCAGAATAACTGCACTTATAAGATATTTTGTAATATTGTCAAATGCTATATTCTTGAGCTTGGTATAACATCTAAGGACATGCATAATTGACAATTATATTATCAACTTGGATATTCACTCATGCATATCAATTCATGCTCCTTCTATATATAACAGAGCAAATTTGATTTTGCTCTGATGCTTAATATTAGTGTTTACTACCAGAATAAAATATTAGGATGTTTACAGCTCAACAAACAAAAAGATCATTTCAAGACATCACAAAACGTTCCAACACAAAACACGTCTAAAAATCACACATATTGGTTAATAATGTTAAAGGCTCAGCCCCAAAACTACCCTAAATACTTCATTTGCAACTTTATAAGCATTATTTTGCATTGAACCTTTGTCAAATATGCAAAGAGAAAAAAATAATAAAGCCACATATGAAAAATGAATGAACAGAATTTGTGTTATTTTTTTCACTGCAGTGAAGATAATTTTTGATATCTTCACTGTAGAATATACCTGTTGTTTCTTCTACATTTCCTGGTGTAACAGTAGTAATTTCACCTTCATCTGCAGCTTTTAATGTTAATTCAAATTTCAATCAAAAACGGATTTTTTTCAAGTTAATACTAAAAACATTCATCAGACAAAACATAAGATTTATTTATCGATTTTAAGATATGAAATTTTGACAATACTTCTGAGAATCCTCATAGTACACAGTAAGTGGTGCTTACATAAATTTCATATCTTGTTTAAAAAATAATCCTCTACATAAAAAATATTTCACAAAAAAAGTTGTACAGAAAGATCTTAAAATCAACATGTTTTTATACTGCTATTCATGATAGTGCATACTTTTTAACATTACGGGTAGTTACAGTAGCTTGGACATTATAATTATAATTATAATAATCACCAACACCAATCTAAGACCATCTACCATTGAAAATGTGTAGTAAACTTTGCCTATATGTTCAATCAACAGGAATTAATTTCTGAACAATGAAAACTCAAGAAAATAAAATATCAAAAAGGATTATAAATTCATATTAATCAAATTGTTGGTTGTTTAATGATATACAGAGCTAAATCTAAATAACATAAAATTCCTAATAAACGCCCCTCCACTAAAGAAAAACAATCTAATAATTAGTGCTGAACTCATGAGTAAATCCATAATTTCATTCAAATCATTCATAAAATACATTTTATTTTATAGTATGAACTTTAAAATCTTAACACTTTTTAATGTTATTACCAACTCTTGCTAACACTAAATGTTTTTACAATGATTTTTGGATTTAGGAAAAACTGTGTTGTAATAATAGCCCTCCTTTTGGAAAATGTTTAGCCTCCAAAGGCGTTTAATAGGAATTTTACGGTATATAGGAAGATCTCAAAGATGGTGTATAACCCGCCACATTCTTTAATCTCTAAATATTTTGTAACAAAGTTGAGTAAAAAATAACAATATAATAAAAGTCCTAAGTAAATGTCAAAGTTTTGGCTGAAACAGAATTTCACAATCATAATAGTATCTGCAATAAGAAATCAAAATTCACTTCACTACAATTTTTGAGTCCAAACATTAAGTCCTACAAGTTTGTAGAGTTTGAAATTTTTAGATAAAATTCTTATTGTGTCACATTTGATGAGCTTGGATTGCAAAATTGCAAACCTGATCTGTGACATACATACCAAGTACATGTGCAATTTGTGACATTTACTGACATTTTGCTGTAAAGCTAGCTTTTTTTTCATTTTGCAATGACATGTCTTTTGACATTAAATGACATTTCACCATAACCAACAATGGTATTTTGTGACCAACAATGTAATTTTATATTTGTGACATTCATTATTAGTTAACAATGTTATTTTTTTGACCAACAATATTAATTTGTGACATTTATGACATTCAACCATAGATAACAATGTTATTGAAATTTCAGTGTAAAACATCCATGTTGTGTTATTATATAATAATTCTAGTATTTTGTGACATTAAAAGTAAATGTAATAGACAAAGTTTTTTTGTAACATTTACCATCAAACAAGTATCAACAAATTCCATTCTAAATATTATATAGTTTTCTTCCATATTTACCTGGAATATTTCTATCTGTTATTAGAGAATCACAACGTCTCTCGCAGGCCTCTTTGGTCTCGAAACTGTTAGCGTTACCATCGCAACCTCCGTACACAAACTCCCTACACTCTTGGGCGCTGTAGTCAAAGTAGAACCTCCTCATGGATGACATACAGTTACCAACCTGCTTTGGTTGCAGACATATCTCTGAAAATATCACATATTTAAGTGTATAAAGCTATATATTTGCTGCAAAAATTATTGTTTGAATTTTGAAAAACAAAACAAAAGAAAAAACTTCCAAAATACTTGAATGAAAGAGATAAGTTAGTATATTTCCTTCAGAGGGAAGGGTGCATGCTCAAAATCATAGCTTAATGGTAAAAAACCCTACTTAAAACAGCAGCTTAACATTTTGTTCAAGAACATCTTATTCTGTTTACGTACAACATTTATGTGTGTTAAATACCAGAAACATACTATGTTCTATCTTTTTCAAGAATCGATCATAAAATTTTGGAAACACTGTACTAAGTTAAATCCAATACATACGTCTAGGGCTGCATCTGGCTTCACAAGCCTCCTGGGTATCGAACTTGTTTCCATTAGTATCACAACCTCCGTAAATAAACTGTTTACATTCTCCGTTCAGGTAGTCATAGTACCAAGCTCTGATATATGCACGGCACCGTCCAGTATGACTCTCCATATGACACACATCTGATCAAACAAACACTTTCTTAAATATGCTACGGGTATATCGTGTATTTCATTTATGATATTAAATTTCCAAAATTAACATAACAATGCCTTGACAATTAGGAATGAGTCGATAGAACTGAAATGCCTCATATCCCACTGTTTTGTCATTCTATGTTAGACAGTGTGACCGACAAATTAATGCAAATCTATATGCCCCACTTCCCCAAACACAAGTGTTAGTGGCATACAAATGAACAAATATTTAAAATATTAAGCTATGCATAATTTATGACAGTTTTTTATACTGTAATGATAAATTGCCAATAACAATAACTACTTTTGTTGTTGTGTTTTGTGTACGGTTACAACGCCATGAAATTCTTCAGCCTTTACTTGTAAAGTAGACCCAAAAGCAGAAATATGGGTAGAACAAAAGATCTTCTAGCAAGTTTCTCTATGGCAACTCAATGGTATGATACAAGTTTGAACAAGATTTGAACCGTTGAAAGTCGAGTCAAGTATTTTTCACGTGAAAATACCTACCAACACCAGTTGCAACAGGTATTTCTCCGCTTGATTCTTCAATTGTTTCATCTGGTCTCTCAGTGGTGACACGTTCACGATTATACCATCTAGATGTGTCACAGTACATCTTACATTGGTCCTTGCTCTCAAAGATGTTATGGTTACCAAGACAACCTCCATACGTGAACTCTTCACAGTCTTGACTAAACCTGTTATAATGCCATTTCTTGATATACTGTTTACATGGTCCAACGTCTGCTTGTAACTTGCAGATTTCTACAGAAGAACACAAAACAGAACTCGAAACATTTTTTAGAAACTAAAATATTTAAATTTTATTAATTATTTTCCTACCTTTGCTTCACTTTATCAATATCTTCTATGACAAAAATGTTGAGAAATTGAAAATTATTAATACAGAACATACAAAGTAAAGCATGCCGGATTGAAACAATATTAACCATTTACTGAAAACACGTTATCAATGTAAACATAAAAAAACTAATAACTACTGGTAAAGAATTGTTTAAAAAAGAAACAGATGTAGCAGTAATTATCCAAATTAAAAAAGAATTACAAATTATCAAACTTCATCACCTATTATTTTGAGGAACTAGCACACAACTTATGTAGGTTAACCCTTTCCCTCATGAGCATATTGTGAAAAATGGCCGTTTTCATTGAAAAGCCTCCTGTTACATGTTCAAACTGCTATATGAAACTATGAAAAATGCTTCAATACTAATCAAACTCGGCACAAATGTTGACTGGACCATTGCCTTTGTAACGACATGCTCCGTCTTAAATTTCCTGTTACCATGGCAACGAGGGTTTGTGGCCGAAAAAGGACATTTTTTCACTATTTGAGGCCTAAAACGGGGCGGGGGGGGGGGGGTCGAAAGTGCGTTGTTTCGCGTACATATGCGGTAAAGAGTTAACAAAATATAATGAAAAACTTCGAAATTACCCAAAATCTAGTTTTTCCATGTTAACATGTGGGCTTTCACTTAATTTTGGTGAAAAATTGTTGTTTTGTAACATTTTTAATTTTTTTAGTTAACCCTTTCCCTCATGAGCATATTGTGAAAAATGGCCGTTTTCATTGAAAAGCCTCCTGTTACAAGTTCAAACTGCTGTGAAACTATGAAAAATGCTTCAATACTAATCAATACTAATCAAATACTCGGCACAAATATTGACTGGGCCATTGTCTTTGTAACGACATGCTCAGTCTTAAATTTCCTGTTACCATGGCAACGAGGGGAGGTCTAAAATTGCCAAAAATCACTATTTTGCCTTGATATTTTCCATCAAAATTTATTTCAAAGTGCTGCGACTTCTCAAGGGATTGAGATAAAGTCAAAGGCTTTTCAGCGTTGGTTACACGTTACCTTATAATCGGCCTGGGGTCATTTTTAGCCTCTTACAAGTCCAAAATTTTCTTGGCGATGAGGGGGACTGCCGCCCCCCCCCCTTCAAACCCCAAAACAGAAGGGGGCACATCCCCCTTCTGGCACCCCCTGATGTATCTTTTTTATGGGGGGCGGCGCCGAAAAAGTGATCACTTATTTTAGCAACATTTCTCAAACGGAAATGTGTTTGGGGCCAAAATAGGACATTTTTCACTATTTGAGGCCTAAAAGAGTTGGGGTTCGAAAGTGCATTGTTTTGTGTATATATGAGGTAAAGGGTTAACAGTCATAACAACAGTTTGGTGTGAAAAGGCAGTAAGAAACTTGGTCTTTATTTAATATGAGTTACAACCCTTTCGCACCAAGCGCTCGAATTATTAAAGGCTTTTTTGTGGCTATGCTACATACCTCTCCATGCATATGACGATACTCTGTTATTGTTTTCTCTGTTATCTTCCCTTGTTGGTTCTCGTGCCACACACTTCCCTTCACAAGCCTCTGGTGTTTCAAAATTGTTTGCATTACCGTCACAACCTCCGTAAATAAAGTTTTCACAAGCTCTGGTCGAAGGTTCGTATCTCCAGCGGCGCATGTATGCTAGACAACCTATCTCGGGATCCTCGTTCTTCTGACATACAACTGAAACACAGCGCACATTGTTGATAATACTTATAATATCTATAATATCAAATACCACCAATTACAGTTATAGGCAGAAAGGCTTGTTTAAAATTCACTCTTCTATTTTCATCATTTAACAGTTTTCTTAAAAAGAAAACATTAGAATGAACATATTAAAAGACACATTTATTTTGAAAAAATAAGGCCAGGCAACCAAAAACAAGTCTTTAATTTTGAAAAAAAAAAACAAGATTGCATTTGTGAAAAATGCTATGCCACCACATTAATACAACACTAAATAGTAATGTAGGAACATATTTTTGTTTGTTTCTATACAATTGAATATTGCCATAATGCATATATCACCGACCTATCTAATTGTTATTATCAGATTAGTGGTAAAATCTACTGTTATTCAAATACAATTTCAGAGTAAGAATCTATCAATGCAATTGAGTCTAGTGAATTTGGTGGTGAAGGTCATATTTCACATGGCCAAAATTCCATGACTGTACATCTAAGGACAACACAGTTTGACACTTTGTCAAACTCTAGGGCAGCTGATATCAAAGTTCAATTTTACAACTAAAACTGTGCACATAGTCCAAATTTCATGGCTTTACACCAAAGGACTAGAAAGTAGGTCACTGTCCCTTGGGAAAGGTAAAATTTTGATCCAAGTGTTTAATTCAAACAATCTTGATACAGGTCCACCAAACAACATTTCATGTCAAATATCTAAGCTGTAGCTTTCTCCAATTCAGAAAACATTTGTTTTAGTTTCTTTTTTTACTATGTGTACATAATGAAAATCAATGCCCCTAGGCAGGGTCAATTTTGACACCAGGGGCAAAATTTGAACAACTTTGGTAGAGGACCTATGGCTGATATTATAAAGCAAACATCAAAGCTCTAAGTCTTGTACCTTCAGACAAGAGGATTTTTTAATTTTTTACTATATGTACATACATAGTGAAAATCAATGACCCCAGGCAGAGGCAAATTTTGACACCAGGGCTATAATTTGAACAATCTTGGTAGAGATTCACTACACAAAGACACATGCCAAATATCTAACCTCTAGCCTTTGTCAATTCAGAGAAGAAGATTTTTCAATTTTTTACTACACACATATATAATAAGGAAAACTATCGCCTCTGGGGCAGGGCAATTTTAACACTAGGGGCATAATTTAAACAACTTTGGTAGAGGACCAATAGATGATATCATATACAAAATATCAAAGCTCTAAGCCTTGTACCTTCAGACAAGAAGATTATTAATTTTTACTATATGTACATAGTGACAAAAAATCAATGACACCCGGGGCGGGCCAATTTTGACCTCAGGGCTATAATTTGAACAATCTTGCTAGAGTCTCACTTAACAATGTTTCAAGCAAAATATCTAGCCTTTAGCCTTTGTCAATTTAGAGATGATTTTGTAAGTTATTTACTATATACACAAAAGGAAAATCTATAACCCCTGGGGCGGGGCTAATTTTGACACTAGAGGCAAAATTTGAACAACTTTTGTAGAGTACTTATAGATGATATCATATACCAAATATCAAAGCTCTAAGCCTTGTACCTTCAGACAAGAAGGTATTTTAAGTTTTTATTATATGTACATATGTGAAAATAAATGACCCCCTGGGTGGGACAAATTTTGACCCCAGGGCTATAATTTGAACAATCTTGATAGAGGTCTAACAGACAATTCCTTATCTCTAGGGGTTGTTGGTCTTTACAAGAAGATTTTTTAAATTTATTCTTATAATTCCTTTTGGTTGCCATGGCAACCAGATTTCCGCATGAATTGAATTTCTTTTAATAACTTTGGAAGTGCTTTACGCAAGGATCAATCCTGCCAAGTTTGGTTGAAATTGGACAAGTGGTTTTTCACAAGAAGATTTTTTAATTTCATTATATAAACTATATAACACACAATCGCACGCACGCACGCACGCACACACGCACGCACGCACGCAAACACACACACACAGGTGAATCGCTATATGCCACCGCATCGCAGATGCTGTGGTGGCATAACAGGAATTACAACCCTTAGATTCAAGAAACCTAATATTTTTCATACCATTTCTTGTACAGAAGGCCTCACACTCCTGGCTTGACTGGAAATTATTTGCATTACCACCACATCCGCCGTATGTAAATTGTACACACTTGCCGTTTAGACTGTCGTACCTCCAGTTTCTAATGTACGCCAAGCAGTCACCACTGTCCTCGGCCATTGCACAAATTTCTGTAACATATAAACAATGAATAAGGTATCCGAGCCAAATACTCATATAATAATTATATGTCTCAGTTAAAATCTAAACAAACTAAAATTATTAATTCTAATAAGTTAATCAAACAGACTCTTTTAATACGGCAGTGACTCGTCTATATGAAAAATGTTTTGTTTTTTTGTTTTTTTGTTTTTTTTTGCTTTGTTTTATGTTGTTTTTGTTTTTTGTTGTCGGTCTGTTGTTGTTGTTTTTTTGGTTGGGCTTTATGTTGCACCAACACAGTATACGTCATATGTCAACTTTCCAGCTTTACTGGTGGGGGAAGACATCCAGTACCCTTTTGTGCTTTATTCAGGTACATATGGGCACTTAAAGTAAAACTAAGCTAGCTGGATAGCTAAACAAGAGGGCCATGATGGCCCTAGATCGCTCACCTGACTCATCAAACTCATCAAAATAATTACCTAGATAAGCATTCTGACCAAGTCTCATGACAGGTGAGTCAAAAATGTGACCACTACAGTGTTAACAAGGATTATCCATATTTAAGCAGTGCGACCTAGTTTTTTACCCAGGTGACACATATTCAAACTTGACCTAGAAATCATCAAAACAAACTTTCAGACCAATTTCCAGGATATTTGGATCAAAACAGTAGCAACTAGAGTGTTAACAAGATTTTTCTATTTTTAGCTCCTGTGACCTAGTTTTTCATCCGAGATGTCCCATGTTCGATTTATTTCCAGCAATGACCTAGACAAGTTTTCTGACCAAGTTTGATGACAATTGAGTCAAAATTGTGACCACTAGAGTGTTAACAAGGTTTTTCTATTTTTAGTTCCGGTGACCTACTTTTCATCCGAGATGACCCATGTTCGAACTCATCCGAGCTATCACCTAGACAAGCATCTTGATCAAGTTTGAGGATGATTGGGTCAAAAATGTGACCGCTAGAGTGTTAACAAGGTTTTTCTATTTTTAGCTCCGGTGACCTACTTTTTCATCCGAGATGACCCATGTTCAAACTCATCCGAGCTATCACCTAGACAAACATCTTGACAAAGTTTGATGATGACTGATGCAAAAATGTGACCGCTAGAGTGTTAACAAGGTTTTTCTATTTTTAGCTCCGGTGACCTACTTTTTCATCCGAGATGACCCATGTTCAAACTCATTCGAGCTATCACATAGACAAACATCTTGACAAAGTTTGATGATGACTGATGCAAAAATGTGACCGCTAGAGTGTTCACAAGGTTATTCTATTTTTAGCTCCGGTGACCTACTTTTTCATCCGAGATGACCCATGTTCAAACTCATCTGAGCTATCACCTAGACAAGCATCTTGACCAAGTTTGATGATGATTGATGCAAAAATGTGACCGCTAGAGTGTTAACAAGGTTTTTCTATTTTTAGCTCCGGTGACCTACTTTTTCATCCGAGATGACCAATGTTCGAACTCATCCAAGCTATCAACTAGATAAGCATCCTGACCAAGTTTGATGATGATTGATGGACAAATGTGACCGCTAGAGTGTTAACAAGGTTTTTCTATTTATAGCTCCGGTGACCTAGTTTTTCATCCGAGATAACCCATATTCGAATCATCCGAGCTATTATCTAACATAGCATCCTGACAAAGTTTGATGATGATTGGGTCAAAAATGTGACCACTAGAGTGTTCACAAGGTTTTTCTATTTTTAGCTCCGGTGACCTAGTTTTTCATCAGAGATGACCCATGTTCGAACTCATCCAAGCAATTGACTAGACAAGCAATCTGACCAAATTTGATGAAGATTGGTTCAAAAATGTGACCACTAGAGTGTTCACAAGGTTTTTCTATTAATAGCTCCTGTGACCTACTTTTTCATTCGAGATGACCCATGTTCGAACTCATCCGAGCTATCACCGAGACAAACATCCTGGCCAAGTTTGAGGATGATTGGGTCAAAAATGTGACCTCTAGAGTGTTCACAAGGTTTTTCTATTTTTAGCTCTTCTGACCTAGTTTTTCATCCGAGATGAGCCATGTTCGAACTCATCCGAGCTTTCAACGAGATAAGCATCCTGACCAAGTTTGATGATGATTGAGGCAAAACTGCGACCGCTAGAGTGTTCACAAGCAATTGTGGACGTACGACGGACGACGGACGGACGGACGACGGACATTCAACGATCCTAAAAGCTCACCCTGAGCAAGCTCAGGTGAGCTAAAAAGTTATCTACTCAAAAGATGTTCTACTAAATAATCTTAATTATCTGTTGATCACTGATAAAACCTTACTATGCAAAATATCTGTCCATCTTTCAACATGGCCAAATCAATTAATAATTTCAAGAGAAAATTTCAAAATATATATTGACTGAATAGCATACATTGCAGACCATGATCAGACTGTACAAATGTGCTGGATGATTTTGGTTGCACTGGTTGCATGGGAAAAATCAGTCAGATTACAGATTAACATAATAAGTCTACCTCCAGCAGATGCGGATTCAGGAGCTTTGGTCACTGGTGTAACGACCCCACATTTACGATTACAAGCTTCTTCAGAGACAAAGTTGTTGGCTGATCCACCACATCCCCCGTAAACAAACATCTCACAAACATCAGTTTCAGCATTGTATGTCCAGTTTTCCATGTAGGCCAAACAACGAATATCAGATTGATATGTAAGTGGTCTACACACCCCTGTAGAATACGAAATAAGGTTTTAAGCCCTTAGAATTGTGGAACTAAGTCCACAGAGCCTTTGCCATCAATAAAGGAATCAGGTCAGTGTGCTCATCAATGCACTCTGACTAGGCTTCATATTGTTGGCATAGAACAGACTGATCCAGAATAGAAATCAAGTAGTATGAGGGTTTAAAGGATAAAGAACTTACTATTTTAATAAAATTATCTTCGAATACATACATCTATGCTAAAGATCCGATAAATTAGACCAATTATGCATGCCACAGGTTATATACATGTTTGTTTCCTGTTTATAAAGGCAGAAGTAAAGGCTTAGGTTACTGTATTTTTAAAATGTAATATATATTACACTGATTCAACAAAGATTAAAATACAATAAGCAAAACTGCAACTTTCAATCTGGACAAAGCTATTCACCACTTTCAGGTAACATTTTAAAATATGTAGTGACTGAATAGCTAACAGTGCGGACTATGATCAAACGCCACAGATGCGCTGTCTGATGTTGGTCTGCTCTAGTTGTATGGATAGAATCATTTGCTACTTCTGAATAGGCTAAATAAAGAAATGAGACATACTCTCTCTGTTGCAGTAAGCCTCACATTCTGATTGGCTGTTGAAATTGTTCTGGTTGTTATTACATTCACCATTTGGCACTTCCTTACATTGTCCACTTGACTTCTCATAATACCAGTATGGACCGCTACCTCTCTTTGTACATGGTGTTTGAAGAGGGAGAGTACAAACATCTGATACTACTAAAATAAAGACAATATGCATGATTGTGTAATATTCAAGGCAAAACATCACAAAATGGTAATTCCTGGCAAGAAATGATGAAATACAGATTCATGAGAAAACTCGAAATACATATTTATGAGAAAACATGAAATACATAATACATATTTATGAGAAAACATGAATTACATTTTTATGAGAAACCATGAAAATTTACACATTCAAGAGAAAACATAAAATACACATTCAAGAGAAAACATAAAATACACATTCAAGAGAAAACATAAAATACACATTCAAGAGAAAATATAAAATACACATCCATGAGAAAACATGATATACATTTTCCTGAGAAAACATGAAATACATATCCATGAGTAAACATGAATTACATATTCATTATTAACACATTTATTGCAAATTCCGATTATCATAGTTACATGCATTGAACACACACAATTTTATATAAATTAAGCCAGGTATTTTCAAAACAAATCAACAAATAAAATATGTATACATGTAACTCAAAATCAAAATATTTTTATTGTCCTTTAATGAATGTAACTATATTTCTATTTCACCTAATATAATTATCCTTTAATTATTGTATATTCAAAATGTAAAATGTACCTCTTGGGCGTGGTTCCTCTGCCAATGGTGAGTTACAGACTCCACCCCCACAAGAATCTTTACAACATTTTCTTAAATCCTGACACTCATAATCCTGAGAGCATTCATTCTGACATGTTGAGCTGGTTCCATCTTCAGCGAGTGGACAGTATCCAGTTTTCACTAAAATAATTAAGCCAGGTACCATGGTTATTTAAGTTATATAATACCTCACATAGTGAAGAAATATTTAAAATCAAACTTCAAAATAACATGTACATAATAAATAAAATGTATACATGTTTTAGATAAGTTACTATAGTATGAATAAATTTCATATTTTTATCAACATACATTTCTACCCTATTATTGTGTATTTGGACACATTATAAAATTATCTTATTTTTTATACAGTGAGTGGAAATATATTTGCATAAATCACATTTTTTTGTTTCTTTGAAATAAGTTTAATATTTCAAACCAAACACTTAATTGAGGTGCTTTAATTGTTGTCTAAGTGAGAAAGCATAAAATAAACTTCCAAATAAAGATCACATAATTAATGAAAACTTGCAACAAATAGCTAGAATTTTAGTTTTCCAATCGTTTAAAGTGCAAAATATAGTGACCATTTTGAGAGACAAGGCCACTTGTATCCCTCTTTATAGATAATTCAACCTGCACTATTATTCCCTGCGGTCTGGAGACCGCAGGGTATTGGTACGCGTTTAACTTTTGAGGCATGGAGGAGCACGTGACCTGTTTTCGGTACATGGAGGAGCATGTGATCTGTAAACCGTACATGATTGGTTAATTGACCTTTTCGAAAACCTAGTTAAATACCGTTTGCCGGTACGTTACGGATTTACCTGTAGGGAATTAGTCCGAATTACACCTAATTACGAACAAAAACTATTACGTGATATTTCTAATTTTCTATAATTATTTTACCGTTTAAGGTGGAAAAACTTGAACGATGTGTTTGAAAATTATCAATGTTTCTTTAATATCTATCTCAAATTTTACAAACACTGAAAATCTACAAAATTAAAATATTCGTAGTGGTATCTGCCATAATAAAAAGAGATATTTTCTGCGTAAACTTGTGTGTTTACTTTATTTATTCTTGCTCGGAATTTTTCATAAAATGGTAGTCCTATTAAAAAGAAATAATTGTTTTATGTACGACCATCTCCGATCTTCAACGGTCACCAGTTTCCAAAGAACTTCTTCTATATTGATCATTTATTCAATTGTCAACTATATTCCTGATACAAAACGTTAATAATTTACCCCCCCCCCCCGCCCCCCACCCCAAATAATGTTGAAAATAGTTAAATGAAATATCTTTATATCATTAAAATGTTCACCGCAGGAAACCATTTTACTTGTGATATCATCTGGTTTGATAATATTACATTCATTGGACAAACAAAATACCAACTACAATAACAACTACTGCAATATAACAAGTAAAACAGAGATACCTGTATTCAATAAATTAACATGGTTCAAACTTTTAGAGTTATCTTTAAAAGAATACAAGAAACTGACCTCTGGATGGGTATCTTGTAACTGGTCGCTCAACTCGAACATCTCGGCAAGCTTCCATACAGGTAGTCTCATCGGCAAAGTTGTTACGGTTACCTTGACAACCACCATAGGAGAATGGAAAGCAACGGCCTTGAGTAGCATCATAGTAGTAACGTCGCATATTGCCACGACATGGACCCGCCTCCTGGCTCAACTGACAGTCATCTAATAATGCAAGAAAATGTTGAAGTCAAATTTAAATACGAGGGACTAAACATGAAACATATAATATTTCTAAATACAGTTAAACCTGCGTTCAAGAACACATCTGAAGGGTTATGCCCACTTTTAATTCAAATTTATGGGATTTTAATCTCAGACCACCAAATAATTGCACCCTTATGGTATTTCAACCTCAGACAACTAAAAAATAGCAGCCACTAGTATAAAGCCTATAGTCAGATTGCATGAGTAGAATAGTTTGTACCTATAAATACTGCATCTATAAGAATTAATTTCTTTGTGTCACCTTATCAATATCTTCTGTTTCTGGTTCTTATTTTGTTTGTTTGTTTGTTTGGTTGAGCATATGGTGACTATCCAGATTTTTAAGTTGATTAGACACCAGGTGCACCAAACTATATTACTTCAGACACAATGAGGCATCTAGGTAGAACATATAATGACCTTTTACAGCCTAGCTGAATACCTTCTGCACATGAAATAATCCTAAGTGGTAACAGGACAGTGATTACAGATCAATGACCTTAACCTTAAGTCCACAAAAGCCCAGTGTTCTAGATCTATTTATAGCTTTACAAAAAATATATTTCTGTTCTTATCCATTAAATGGATAATAAATTTCTCATGTTAAGAAATATAATTTTAGCGTATATATGTTCATGTTTGACAAAAAGAGGCAGAAAAAGTACAACAAAATCCTATATCTCACCTTCCCTGTCTCTACCAGCTCGTAGACTACAGTAAGAGATACATTGGTCTTCTGTTTCAAAGTTGTTGTGGTTACCAAGGCAACCACCAAATGTGAAGGGTTCACATTTCATCGTGGTCATGTTGTATGCGTATTTGGTCATCATACGTCTACACGGTCCTACATCTGGTGTATGCTCGCATATCGGTTCTAAACAAGAACAAGATATCTTTGTAAAACATGTATGCACCCTATCGGCAGCCAATTAGTCATGTGATGAGGTTATAATGCATGACTTTTGACCCAGTAAACAAAAATAATAAGGGTTATCTACTGGTCATGACTAGTCACAAGGTAATTATAATTGTGACCCCATAGGTTGTTGTGTTCAGCAATTTAAGTTTTTACAAATCTTACCAAATAATATATGCATAAATTTTATGAATCATGTAGGCCTCATTAATGACAGCCAAGTTGTTATATTACATAAGACCTTCAAATGTGTATACCAAAAGCATTTTTAATTGAAAAAGAAATCAAGGGCAATTTAGTTGTTGAGTTATTGGTCAAATATGTAGTTGTTGTAGAAAAAATTTCCTTTATCTATATTTGGTGCAAATTCCAAACCTGATTTAGTTCTTCTTAAGCATTCCTATATTTTGAAATTTATTTTAGCTAACCAAATTTCATTACAAAAAAGAAGTATTTAAATAAATAGATTATATAATTATGCATATGAATTAAAATAAGAAAGAGTAAAATATCAGAAAGTAATTAATCAAGCATGCAGAAAAAAGCAACAACAAAAAAGCGAGAAAAAAAATAGAAAAAAATACAAAAACTATTTTTGTGCAGGATTTAAAGCAGTTTTCAAATGGAAACATGGAAGAAAAAAATAATTCATTCCTTTCTCGTAAAGCTGAAAAGCATTTTTTTTTTTCACATGCAGAAAAGAACAATTAGGAACAGAAATACAACTTGCAATTTTACTTGACAAGATCTTAAACCACAAGTTGCTAGACATTTAATTAATCGAGAAAATGCAATTTTGAAGCCCCTGACTCCGTCATTTTGACACTTCACTGTACCAATAACAGAAAATCTAAACTCGAGTATTTGAAAAGTGCTACTTCACTGTATCTGCAGGGAAAAAGAGGCGTGACTACTGAATATAAGTAATTATTGTGCTCTGTCTGAAGAAGAAAGTCCATTTTTGGAGAAAACAAGATTGCATTTGTGAAAAATGCTATGCCACCGCATTAATACAACACTAAATAGTAATGTAGGAACACAGTATTTTTGTTTCTATACAATTGAAGATTGCCATAATGCATAGATCATTGACCTATCTAATTGTTATTAGTTATTATCAGATTAATACCTTAAGACCAGAAGAATTTTAATTTTTTACTTTATGACAAAGTGACTGAAAATCAATGACCCCCGGGGCGGGGCCAATTTTGACCCCAAGGCTATAATTTGAACAATCTTGCTAGGGGTTTACTACACAATGTTTCATGCAAAATATCTAGCCTCTAGCCTTTATCAAATACAGAAGATGTTTTTTTTTTAATTTTTTACTATATACATGAAAGGAAAACCTATGATATATAGGGGCGGGGCTAATTTTGACACTAGAGGCAAAATTTGAACAACTTTGGTAGAGTACCTATAGATGATAACATATACCAAATACCAAAGCTCTAAGCCTTGTTCCTTTAGACAAGAAGGTATTTTAAGCTTTAACTATATGTACATATAGTGAAAATCAATGACCCCCAGGGCAGGGCCAATTTTGACCCCAGGGCTATCATTAAAACAATTTTGGTAGAAGTTAACTACACAATGTTTCATACAAAATATCTAACTTCTAGCCTTTGTCAATTTCAAGAAGATTATTTTTTAAGTTTTTACTATATACATATAAGGAAATTATGACCCCCGGGGCGGGATTATTTTGACGTTGGAGGTAAATTTGAACAACTTATGTAGAGTACCTTTAGATTATATCATATACCAAATATCAAAGCTCTAAGCCTTGTACCTTCAGACAAGAAGGTATTTTAAGTTTTTACTATATGTACATATAGTGAAAATCAATGACCCAGGGTTATAATTTGAATAATCTTGGTAGAGTTTAACTACACAATGTTTAATGCAAAATATCTAACCTCTAGCCTTTGGCAATTTCAAGAGGATGATTTTTTAAGTTTTTACTATATACATTAAGTAAAAATTATGACCCCCTGGGCGGGGCTACTTTTTACGCTAGAGGTAAAATTTGAACAACATTGGCAGAGTACCTATAGATCTGATATCATATACCAAATATCAAATCTCTAACCCTTGTATCTTCAGACAAGAAGGTATTTCAAGTTTTTACTATATGTACATATAGTGAAAATCAATGACCCCCGGGGCGGGGCCAATTTTGACCCCAAGGCTATAATTTGAATAATCTTTGTAGAGGTCTACCAGACAATGCCTTATACAAAATATCTTTACTCCAGGCCTTGTGGGTCTTTACAAGAAGATTTGTTTAATTTATTCTTATAATTCCTTTTGGTTTTCTGCATGGAATGTTTTTCTTTGAACAACTTTGGAAGCCCTTTACCCAAGGATCAATCCTGCCAAATTTGGTTGAAATTGGACTAGTGGTTTTTCACAAGAAGATTTCACACACGCACACGCACACACACACACGGTTGAATCGCTATATGCCACCGTATCGCAGATGCTGCGGTGGCATAAAAATGATAAAAAAAAGGGTTTCATAAATGAGCCACGCCATGACAAAAGCAACATAATGCGTTTGCGACCAGCATGGTTCTAGACCAGCCTGCGCATCCGCGCAGTCTGATCAGGATCCATGCTGTTCGTTATCAGTTTCTCTACTTGTAATAGTGTTTGTAAACGAACAGCATGGATTCCGATCAGGCTGCGCGGATGCGCAGGCTGGTCTGGATTCATGCTGGTCGCAAACGCATTATGTTGGTTATGTCATGGCGCGGCTAAAATATATGAAATAAGAAGCAGAAGCAGCAGACGGGCAAGAAGATTTTCTGGATTCTCTTCCAGAGCTTTACAACACAACACAAATGACCGACAACTTAATAAATCACTTTTTAGTACTCTTCCTGGAATTAATCAGTATTATTGCCATATCAGAAACAAAGCATTGAGTTGTGTAGACTCAAACCAAATATCTTCTTGTGTTAGAAAGGTGAACATTAACCATCCTTGATAATTGGTAATCTTCAGTTGATGAACATTAAATTTATTAAATTGCTGATATTTGATGGAATGAAAACATTTATGAAGAAGTTATAAAATTCATGTACATTTTGTATTTTTAAACTTAGTGTCAAATTTGTTCAAGCAAAAATTAGAAAAAAAAACAACTTTTAAGAAGATTTTGAAAATATTAAATAAAATAATAAAATTAGAAATTAGAGGGTCATTCTATGTGCCATATTTTGTATAGCAAAATTCCACTCGATAAAAATTAACCTATCTTTTGTAAACCAAAAATTCATTGGATAAATAATGATTAACCTATCTTTTGTATAGCAAAATTTCATTGGATAATTAATGATATACCTATCTTTTGTATAGCACAATTTCATTGGATAATTAATGATTAACCTATCTTTTGTGTAGCAAAAATTTCATTGGAAAATAATTTACCTATCTTTTGTATATCAAAATTTCATTGGATAATTAATGATTGACCTATCTTTTGTATAGCAAAATTTCATTGGATAATTAATGATTAACCTATATTTTGTATAGCACAATTTCATTGGATAATTAATGATTAACCTATCTTTTGTATAGCAAAATTTCATTGGATAATTAATGATTAACCTATATTTTGTATAGCACAATTTCATTGGATAATTAATGATTAACCTATCTTTTGTATAGCAAAATTTCATTGGATAATAATTAACCTGTCATTTCAAGTTGATGATTTGCATTTTAAGATATCCAGGGAAAAATTAATACAATAGAATGTAAACAATATATACATTAAATACAAAATACTAAAAGTACTGCTACACAATATTTTTTGTATATACATGTACAACACTTAATAATTGTATAGGGCAAGCAAGGTTGTTGAAGCTATGATGACAACACTTAGCTTGTACAAGATAGCAAAAGGTGTTGCGGCTACAACAAGAATAAAAGCAGAAAACTGTAAAAAAATATATGCAAAACTAAATGCAACAACAGAGTATCCAGAATAATTTTGAAGCCATGGTGATGTCAGAATTAAATGAAACTTATCATAGATTTTCTATGAGGAGACAATTTAAGCCTTTTCTTGTCAATCAGTCCTGATAAATTGATTTTCCCCCCTGCTACCGTACAAACTCTGTTTACAGCACCACTAATGCAGTCATGACACCGTAACACCATTCTTGATCCAGCTCCATGCAGGCTGTGACAGTAAGAGAATTCTTAAGCTGTTGTAAGCAAACAAGTCATAAGGATGCTTTTCCTAAGTAACCGTTACATATATCGCATCTGTTGTAATACCAACTGTACAACAACAAAAATACATGACAATATCCGAAAACCAGCAGTTGTGCTTAACAGAGGTAAATGTACGGTAAAGCTTGTTTCTCCATCGATTCAACAAATTGGCTTTTCATATTCAAATTCAACATTCCAAGATTTTCAATACTTTTTTTTGCACATTTGTATTTGAAGGAATATCAACAAATTGTTTCCCATCATTCCATAGAAAACCAGTTTGTCATAGAAAGGAAATTTTCTCAAACATTTTTTGTTTCATGCTTTCTTAAATCTCAAAATTGCAGTTATGTTTTATGTCACCAGCAGTATTTCATGAACTGCAATATCAAAATAAGCCAAAAAAATTGTCTGGCATTGTCATTAAATCTAGTTGTATGCTAGCCACATGTAAAATAGATTAAACTAGATTCTCTACGCTTGCTTACAGAGTTACAGCCACTCTGATAACATTTCAAATATTAATAATTTTCCCACAATTCATTATAATGATAAGATTAAACATTAGATATTTCTACATAATATGTTGTAAAAATTAATGAACCAAATCTTACCAATTTCAGAACATTCAGAAATGTTATTTCAAATTATTTTCCCATATTCTTTGATTGTACCAGTTCCTTAATGACAAGGGTTTCGTTAACATGTCTCATGTAAACACTTATTCAATTTGTTTCATAAGCTTATTGAGTTAAGACAGTTTTATTGAACACAAAGTTTCTCATTTATCACAAAGAGAGTCCCTTTTCTCCTATTTGTATCTTATACTTCTAATTCCCAGATCTGAGACTGAATTATTGTTACTTTTCCAATGGATTTTTATTATTGACACTGACTTCACCATGGTTTGTTTATTCCGGTAAAAACCCTGTACCTCTTACTACTACGGCGGTTTGACACGCCGTTGCACATTCCTCTGCAGTTTTAAACCGATTAGTATTGCCCTCGCAACCACCAAACCAGAATTTATCGCATTTGTTTTCACGCATGTTAAAGTACCACATGACTGTATATTCTTTGCATGGACCAATGTTCTTGGCAAGATGACACATAACTGTTGGTGGGGGGAAGAAGTATTATTACACATGTTTCAATGTACAAACAGAGTATGGTGGGTGAAAAGTGCCATCTTTCCTATGTTCTTTAATGAAAATTTTAATGCAATAAAAATACAAATAAAGCTCAAGAACAAAACCAATAAATTTCTAAATTTCTAAAACGAACTTGTCCATCTTCCATTTTCTGGAATTGTCCATTTTGTTTTTTGGGATATCAAGATGAAAACTTTGTCAGCGTAGTCAGACTACACAAATGTGCAGGCTGCCCAGGCTCTATATTGGTTGCAAATGCTAAACACTTTTAGTTCCAGCATGTTAAAGGTTAATGAATAAAAGACAGCACTTATCACTCACACAAGAACAAAGAAATAGATCCAAACTAGAAATGACACGGATGCCCCCACACGCCACTGTTCTGTCAATCTTATAACTCTAGGTCAAATATTTGTTGGACTACATGTGCCACAAGTTGAAAACTAAAAATCAACAAAGGGCCATAATTCTGTTAAATTTGGTCGCAGCAAAAATTCCTTCCTTTACTACCATCTACACATTAAGGTTGTTAATCCCTGGAAGTTTAAGCAAAATCTGCCATCCGGTTTAAGAGGAGTTGCGTTCACAAAATTTCTACATAGTATATAGTGAAAAAAATCAACAAAGGGCCATAATTCTGTTAAATTTGGTCGCAGCAAAAATTCCTTCCTTTACTACCATCTACACATTAAGGTTGTTAATCCCTCAAAGTTTAAGCAAAATCTGCCATCCGGTTTAAGAGGAGTTGCGTTCACAAAATTTCTACATAGTATATAGTGAAAAAATCAACAAAGGGCCATAATTCTGTTAAATTTGGTCGCAGCTTTACTACCATCTACACATTAAGGTTGTTCATCCCTGGAAGTTTAAGCAAAATCTGCCATCCGGTTTAAGGGGAGTTGCGGTCACAAATTTCTACATAGAATATAGTGAAAAAATCAACAAAAGGCCATAATTCTCTTAAATTTGGTCGCAGCGAAAATTCCTTCCTTTACTACCATCTACACATTAAGGTTGTTCATCCCTGTAAGTTTAAGCAAAATCTGCCATCCGGTTTAAAAGGAGTTGCGTTCACAAGATTTCGGGACGTACGGACGGACTGACGGACAGACGGACGGACGGACAAGTACAACGCTATATGCTCCCACATTGTGGGAGCATAAAAAGATTTGCTGTTTGGTTAAATCATTCTACAGCTATGTTTATGAATTATTGAAACAGTTGTTCAATATTCATTGTTAAACAATTGCTTAGAGTCCTGTAAAAAAGTGACTTTTTTCTTTTTAGAATTTCCCTTAGTCATATGATACAGTGAAATTACTAAACTTCATATCAACAAATACATTAGCATTCTTTACGATAAAACATGACTTATTCAAAATGTAAAACAACTCTAAAAATAGAAAGGCTTTCAATTGGTCACCTTCAATTTTTTTTTATTCAGAAAGATCCAATCAGATAACAGGATTTAAATACTAGTAAAAGTAGTTTCAAAACTACTTATTTCACAGGACAAATACATTTATTCCTTATTCGTTCTTATTTTTTGTACTGAACAGAAAATGTTACTTTCATAAGAAAGTAAAAAAGAGAAGTGACCTAAAACTGCTAAATTTTAATAGAATAAAATGATCATATTAAATACATGTTGTTATTGAGATGGCAGTTCATTTTAAATATTTCTCTATTTCAAAAGCTATACGATTAGTTTATACTAATTCCTTATTCCCATAAGGAAACTTGTTTTCAAACATGTCTCAGAAATATTATAGCTGTACAATTCCTGACATTTGACAAGTATTGAAGAAATAACAAACAATTACAATTGATCTGTCCCAATGGCCCTGTAGCTTCAGTTAGAAGTTTCATAATTCTTGTACTTAAATATGATGACATGTATTTGTGGTGTCATGTATTTGTGTTGTCATGTATTTGTGGTGTCATGTATTTGTGGTGTCATGTATTTGTAGTGTCATGTATTTGTAGTGTCATGTATTTGTGTTGTCATATAATTGTGGTGTCATGTATTTGTGGTGTCATGTATTTGTAGTGTCATGTATTTGTAGTTGTCATATATTTGTGTTGTCATATATTTGTAGTGTCGTGTATTTATGGAGTCATGTTTTTGTGGTGTCATGTATTTGTGGTGTCATATATTTGTGGTGTCGTATATTTCTGTTGTCATATATTTGTAGTGTCATTAATTTGTATTTTCTCACTTTGTAGTGTCATGTATTTGTAGAGTCATGTATTTGTAGTGTCATATATGTGTGGTGTTATGTATCAGTGGTGTCATGTCTCAGTGGTGTCATGTATTTATCGTCTCATTTATTTGTGGTGTCATGTATCAGTGGTGTCATGTATCAGTGGTGTCATGTATTTCTGTTGTCATATATTTGTGTTGTCATATATTTGTGGTGTTATGTATCAGTGGTGTCATGTATCAGTGGTGTCATGTATCAATGGTGTCATGTTTTTTTCTGTTGTCATATATTTCTGTTGTCATATATTTGTGGTATCATGTATCAGTGGTATCATGTATCAGTGGTGTCATGTATCGGTGGTGTCATGTATTTCTGTTGTCATATATTTCTGTTGTCATATATTTGTGGTGTAATGTATCAGTGGTATCATGTATCAGTGGTCTCATGTATCAGTGGTGTCATGTATTTGTGTTGTCATATATTTGTGTTGTCATATATTTGTTGTGTCATGTATTTGTGTTGTCATGTATTTGTAGTGTCATGTATTTATGGAATCATGTATTTGTGGTGTCATGTATTTTTAGTGTCATATATTTGTAGTGTCATTTATTTGTGTTGTGATATATTTGTAGGGTCATGTATTTGTGTTGTCATGTATTTGTACTGTCGTGTATTTGTGGAGTCATGTTTTTGTGGTGTCATGTATTTGTGTTGTCATTTATTTGTGGTGTCATTTATTTGTGTTGTCATGTATTTGTACTGTCGTGTATTTGTGGTGTCATGTATTTGTGGTGTCATGTAGTTGTGTTGTCATATATTTGTAGTGTCATTTATTTGTGTTGTCATATATTTGTAGTGTCATCTATTTGTGGTGTCATGTATTTGTGTTGTCATGTATTTGTTGTGTCTTGTATTTTTCCTAAATCCTGTCGGTTTTATGGGATACTCTAAACATTCAGTTGAATATAACAATTATTAAAGCCAAAGACCATTCAGGAATCATTTTATAATGTTACATTAAATTGGTAATGCTGTATGTATTTTTAATTTCAAATAACAGACCAGCAGAATAATACAACTTGCTCAGTATTCTGAACAACATATAACTTGGCTGACAATTAAAATTTTGAATTGCTTATATTGCATCCATACAACAGGGAAAAGAAAAAAAGCTTTCCAAATTATTTCTTAGAGAATAAATTAGAAACAAGACATTTTTGGCTTTTCTGTAAGTCCAAGCTTGTGCAACAATTATGAAATTCTTAATGCAGAATTAAAACACTTAGATTCATAATATTTGTTTTCAAGTTGATTAATTCACATTAAATATCTAATTTATATTTTTATTTGAAATAAACAAAAACAAATATATTATTTCATCATTATTTCAAAAATTATTTTGAAGTAAAAATAATATAGATCTATCTATTTATTTCAAGACATGTTTTCACTAAGTATTTTTTCACAGACATCATTTAATTTACAAAAGCCTATTAAAATGTGCAGACAGAATGTCTCAGGTTGTTGTATTTCTAACATTTACAATACCAAAATTTGTAAAATTAATTTCCATTCCTGGAAAATGTAGATGCCAGCCATGTAATGGTTATTGATTGATATCGACTCAAAATAACAAAAATTTCATTTCCACAAAAGACTGAATCATTTATCAACTACTAACAAAATTTGATGCTAAAAACCTCCTGGCGGAAATTTATAGAAAATATTGCCATCAAGGAAATTGTTCTCTCCAAATTTGCAATAAAGTAACCCAGAGAGTAAATAATTTTGTAAATCACAAATCTGTTCAATATAAATCAGTTTGCAGGAAATAATTCCAATATGCAAATCTTGGGAAATTTTATCACTCCTTTTGGCCCTTTCTGACTCCATTGGGTTACTTGAAGGTTATTGTAACCTTCAAAGTTGCCAAATCAGAAAGTCACTGATCTCAACTGCATGCAATGCTTTCTGTCTAAAGTTTCTCGAGAACTTTTGCATTATTTGTTTTGTAAACTTTCTATTTTCAGATACAAGCTTGGTTCTTAGATTGAATTCTGTCTGCCATGGTGTGACTACTATTTTTTTTAAATAATTTTAATATTAAAGACCACTTGTAAGTAAGTACCAGTTTATGTTATAGCTATTGCTAAACATATATTTTACCTAAGTACAAGATAATTGACAAATATTGCTACAACTTAATAATTATTATTAAATTGATTACCCCGCCTTATCAAGGTAGATATAATTAAAACATGTTAAATTCAATTTAACAATGTGTGACAAAACAGGTTTGTTAAATCAAAGACAATGATACCACATCTACAGGAAAGTTTGGACAATAGGCAATACCTGGTAAATCAGTGCCTGTCCTATCCGATCCATCAACATTTATATCAACATCGGTGTCTGTCGTCGGTTGAGGGTCCACAATAGATATATCACAGCCCTCTTCATTAGGTCCGGTTGCCGCGGTAACACGATCTGGACAACAACCGTAACCAGTATCATTACACGGAATACCAGACCCTTCTAGTTCATCACAACCCTCTTGGTTTGGTCCTGAATATCAGACAAATAAGTTAAAACATGGGAAGATTACTTATTTCTTTTTATCTAAAATAACAAAACAACAACTTAACCAGTTAAAAATACAAAATTTATTTTAGTAAAAGTGATACATTAATTCCCCGAGTCAACTGATCATGAATATAAATAATGATACATGAGTCTGCACTGTTCCCTATTCAGTCAGTATCTATTTAATTTTTTTCTCTTAAAAATATGATGAAAGGTTATTGTAAATATTGAAAGACAAAATCCATTTATGATATTTAATATAATTAGAATATGATGACTTAACTTAATATTAACACAATCTTAGAAAATTATCAGAATGCATAAATTTCTTCATACAAATTTTAACTTTATAATACAGCACTTTGAACATGTGTAGAACATTTGTACATTAATTTCCATTCTACCAGAAAATTTATCTATCGAATTAACTTGAAATGTGTAAATTTGCCAAATAATGTCAAAAACAACCAACTAAACAACAAAAATAAAAACAAATAAACAAAATCATTTTACTTAATTATGTTAACAATGACAATGTTAACCTATTAACGCCACAATGATTCAAACAGATGATGTACAAGAGTGGCAGATAAGTACAGTGTATTGGTTATTATAATAAACCACACTCTACTAGGAAACTATATGAAAAGAGGCCATATCGCTTAAACAACAATGATAATATTCCCCACTCAGTCTGGCCCGGCCAGTTAGATTTGATTTTTTTAATGCGTTTATTTAAGCTCGCCGCTAGAAAGCCCAAACGGGAGACCGTACACTCAAGTCGGGTCATCCTAGAGCAGGGGGTTAATCCATGCGCGCGCATCCTTAAAGTTCTGATACCGCGAACACTTCATCGGCCGGTATTTCGAAGAAAAACGAGTGGTGTGAAGAAATCAGAAAAGGTGTGAATTTAATTTGTTTTGCAAAGAAGATGTCCTAACTTCTAGTTTTTATATACAAAATGTCTTGAAGTAACTCTGTCCTGTTTTGTCAGTATTTCGCGTTGAATGCGATTTTGATTCTGGAGAGTGCGTACACCCGGCGTTGAAATGTTACAGAAAATGAGCAAATATCGATTAAACTGGCTGTTTTAAACGACTGGAAGTTATCCTGTTGTAGAATTCTTTTCAAAAATATATTTTCAACCTTCGTTCCAATTCATTTTTTACTAAAAAATGTATTTAAACACACTATTTACAAAAACAGAGATAATGATATTGCGTACACTCTAAAAATATCCAGATGCTGCGTACACATAACTATGCAAATGATAGAAAGTACATTTTATCCGAAGCAGTCTATGGTTTATAAAACAATAAAGCGGATTGCATGGGTGTCCCGTTTGAAGAATTATTTAAAATCTAAATCCTAGAAAATATTTAGAATCAACATTTATTTATGCAATTTGTTTAGGTTTTTATGTAAAACCTGGTGAATAATTGTCTATCTTGATAATGTTTTTTTACTCTACATTTCAAAATAAATTACTTCTTACAGTCAAATGTATATCTTATTTTACAGTCATGTATATCTTATTTCAGAAAATGAATGTGTGAATTATTTGCCAGTTAATCTTCTCTCAGACAGCATGAGGCACGACATCGGCAAGATGGCCCCTACAATTGTGATATATGTAGTCGGAGTTCCATTACAAAACTGCAGCGTCATTCCTCTGAACGCAAGTACGAATGTAAATGCGGCAAATCGTTCAAGACATCTCATGATTTAAAACGCCATGAACAAAGAAAGAGCCAAACAAAGGAATTCAAATGTGATGACTGTGGTTTGGCCTTCTCTAATCATAAAGATATTAGTGATAACAAAGATAAGCACGAGAAGAGAAAACGTCATGAATGTGGAATGGTAAGCAAAGCATTCGGGTATAAATGCAATCTTTACAGACACTCCATGGGCAAAATACATGGTAAATTAAATTGCACAAGAAAATAGCATATATTTGTAACTTGAACTAAAAATGCTTGCAGCAAGTTATTTCTTTGGAATGCGTTCATGTTCCACGAAGTTTTAACTGTGTTTTCTTTTCATGTGTTCCTAACAGTTTTGGTATGACTGAATAGTTTTTTATTTGTTTGGGTCGTCAGACCAAACAAATAATGGTAGCGAAATTTCGAATTTCGATGCTGTTAATTGCAAATGCCGAAAGTAGTCCGTTTTTTTAAGCGGTTACTTCCCTTTATATGTACACTAACGACGAAAAATTCAGGGGAGATCACTGCGTAAAGATTGACAAATGACAGGCGCAGAAATTTTCAAGCAAAATAGTTCCCGAATGGTCGAAGATTTCTAATGTTGTTTTATTCTTTAATTATAGATATACATGCGTATAGTAAGCTCCATGATTATTTACATCTGTGTTAAACAACAGGTTTAGCGTCGAAATAATAAGAGTAACGAACCCTCATTTAGAATAATATGGTTTTCTTCAGGCCGTTTACATGCAACTTCAAATCCCAGTTAAGGTCAACTCATTTTTTTTAATTGTTTAAGTCAAATTAACATTGAAATGAATATCAGTGTTGCAATTAGTCTTATGCCAATTTACTACAGTTAAAACACCTGGAAAGCATTGGTGGCACTATACAAACACAAAATTGGTTTATAATCATACAACCTTTCACCTTTCTGACATTCTGAGACATTCACATTTGAATTCCTTTGTTTGGCTCTTTCTTTGTTCAATCATGAGATGTCTTGAACGATTTGCCGCATTTACATTCGTACTTGCGTTCAGAGGAATGACGCTGCATGAGTGTTTTCAAATTTGTAATGGTACTCCGAAAAAGCCACTTGACTACATATATCACATTTGTAGGGGCCATCATGCCCGATGTCGTGCCTCATGCTGTCTGAGAGAAGATTAAACTGGCAAAGAATTCACCACAAATCGACACACATTCATTTTCTGAAATAAGATATACATTTGACTGTTAAAAGAAGTAATTTATTTCAAAATGTAGAGTATAAAAACATTATCAAGATAGACAATTATTCACCAGTTTTAAATAAATACCTAAATAAATTGCATAAATAAATGTTAATTCTAAATATTTTCTAGGATTTAGATTAAAACGGGACACCCATGCAATCCCCTTTATCGTTTTATAACTGTTTCGGATAAAAATGCACTATCTCTATCAATTGCATAGTTATGTGTACGCAGTATCTGGATATTTTTAGAGTGTACGCAATGTCATTATCTCTGTTTTCTGTAAAAAGTGCGTTTAACTACATTTTAGTAAAAATGAATTGGAACGAAGGTTGAAAATAAATATTTTTGAAAAGGATTCTACATCAAAATAACTTCCAGCCGTTTAAAACGGCCAGTTTAATCGATATTTGCTCATTTTCTGTAACATTTCAACGCCGGGTGTACGCACTATCCAGAATCAAAATCGCATTCAACGCGAAATACTGACAAAACAGGAAAGAGTTACTTCAAGACAATTTGTATATAAAAACTGGAAGTTAGGACATCTTCTTTGCAAAACAAATTAAATTCATACCTTTTATGATTTCTTCACACCACTCGTTTTTCTTCGAAATACCGGCCGATGAAGTGTTCGCGGTATCAGAACTTTAAGGATGCGCGCGCATGGATTAACCCCCTTGTAGAGCGTCCCATCGAGATTTTTTCGTCGATGTTTTTCCAGCTTTATTGGTGGAGGAAGACCCCAGGTGCCCCTGCGGGCATTTTTTTCAGGCACGAGCGGTAGAACCACCGACCTTCCGTAAGCCAGCTGGATGGCTTCCTCACATGAAAGATTTCGACCCGCGTGAGGATCGAACCTACAGCGGTGAGGGACCTGTGATCTCAAGTCAGCGACCTTAACCACTCGGCCACGGAGAAATTTGCATTAATATTTTATAATTATATTTTTTTAATGTAATACATTAAATTCTTTGTTGTGTTGCTAATACTTTAAACTTACTGACGTTACACTCCTCAAAAATCCTATACTCAAACGTGTGTTCTGCAGTTCTACCAGAAGTCGTCGCAAAACATGAATAATTTCCCGCCAATTTGTCCGAAAAAACATCAATCTTAAACATAAGCATAAAAAACTTGAACATTAAGAATTGAATTAATATGATTTAGGATTCCGTACGAGTTAGTTTCATCTCCTGCTCATGTGGCCCATTCTCATAACCATACACTTAATTCTGCTACTGTATGCTGTACAGTCCCATTTTGATATTGTTTTATTTTAGATATTACTTTCGTACAATACAGTTTACTCGTCATTGCTTGTATGACATCAAATATGAGTATCAGGGTTATCCGAATACATGTAAAATCTGCCTTTCATTAGGTATAAATTACTGGAAAAATTCAGTAATGACCATCCTGTATCAGATAGACCTGCACTTTTAATGATTTTTATATGAAGAAGAATTACAAAGGAGGCTTTTGGCTCAATATCATTGTAACTTGGAATGAAAAACCTCATTCCGTTTATTCCGTCAACAATCTAAAGAAGAACATATTTAATATAATTGAATATTTTGATACAATGTACATGTATTTGCAATTTATTTAGCAGTAAATTTGTATCATATTCTGTGCGCGATTGAGAAAAAGATGGCCTTTCTATCATTTAGAATGAAATAATATTCATATAATCGAAATTATAATAGTATCTGTTAACGAATTTACATAATTCATATCTACAATGCTAATCAATTCATAACGCACCTGTAATATTCCACCGCGATGAGTTCCAAAACCTGCCTTTTTATTGTATGGTTCTATCATTGCTCCTTGGAAGTACCTGGAAATAAACCCTGCTGTATTAATTGACATATATGTCGGATATTTTCTATTCCTGTTTAAACTATCATAACATTAAAAACGGCCGAGTGGTTAAGGTGGTTGACTAAAACTACTTGCCTGTCACCGCTGTGGGTTCGAATCCCGACAGGGACTTTGGATTCTTTCATGCGAGGAAGTTTTTGATTTTGCGTACGGACGCCGGTGGTTCTACTCAGGTGCCCGTTCGTGCCTTAATGATACACAGAAAAGCAGCTGATCAGTAAAGCTGGAACGTCGCCATATGACCTATACTGTTTCGGTATGACGTAAAACCCAATCAAACAATCACGCAGTAAAACGTCATGTTTATCGAAATTTACCTGTACTAGTAGACTTTATGTTATTTGAAATAAAAGGCTAAATGCACGCTTAAAATATCTCATATTGAATTCATTAACTATTCTATAAAACCCTCAGATTACTACACATAGAAAAATAATATCACGTTTGTGATTTCACACCTTTTTATTATATAATGACCATGAACCAATTGATCAACATATGAATTACTTGTACATAAGAAATACGAAAATCATAGTTTCCTACATGCAAGGCATACATAGGCATGTGATTGATTTTACTTTGACTGACAGTACAACATGGTGCATTAGGCTAAGGTATATGTCTAGCTTTATGCACAACTGTCCATTTACTTATTTGTACAATTAATTACTGACTTCTTTGTCATTTTGATTGTAACGTTACAGTTCATGTTGAAAGGTCGTTGTTAACACAGACTCTTGATCTTTTCTTTGAGGCAAACGTAACTGAAGCGATTAAACAGTAAACCCCGCAATTGAAACTATTTCAACTTTGAATTGAAGTAAAGGATCTCGTATTGTTTTCAAGAAAGGGTTGATTATGCTCTTTTAGGTGGTGATCTGTACGAATCTAAAGAGATCGCTTTATTTTCTTTAAAGAAAGAAGAGAGTCATCAAGTATTCTCTAGGCTGATTTACGGTATGTATATCGACAATGTAAGTTCTTGACATGTTTTGCCTTAGAAGATGAACCTTGGGTGAAACCAACCACATGCAGGGATCGTTATAAAATTGGATGTTTTGTAATTCAATGGCGTCTCTTTTCACAATTACTTTCAGTGCAATACATGTACTAGTGAGCATAAGCTGATCGGTATCTGTGCAATATTTATTGCCTTATCTTCAACCTTTCATAAGCGAGAAAGGCTGACTTTGACCCGTAACGACATAGTAAACATTCAATTCACTTTTTCCACACTCAGTTGATTTAGTGAGTTTTCCATGTTCATTTCAATCCCTAAGTTTGGTCAGGGTTGAATAAGCAGGCGTACTTGAGCTGTCTTGGGTGGTCTATTTGACACCCAGGGCATCTTGATTTCATTTTCTTGGAAACAGTCTATAATTCATCTATGAGTAAAGTATGTAACACAAAGCTATTTATAAAACACGCAACAGTTGTGAATAGTATTGGCATCCATTTGTAGAAATCACTGATGATTTCCTGAATACTGTTGATTTCGATTACACCATGACGTTGGTGTATACACGTACCAAAAGCTATTGAGAACTTAAGGTCAATTCTTATATATCCTGTTTTATATGGTGCATTTGGCCTTCTTCGCTTCCTTGACCGGCGGTGAGATCTTAAGTTACCAAACAGAGGTCAACTTATACTTAGCTTTTGACGACGACAATTCAAAGGTGAAAATCCGACCCATAAAATTATAAACAGATGTAGTGTTTATTTGGCTATCATCAAATTTCAATATCTGTGTGTGTTTTGGCGGACCACCTCTACGGAATACTATCATTACTGACTTGCCTATCTTCACGCTCATGCCCACATTGTCAAGAAAAGACTTTATAGCGTTAAGTTGGCGTTTCAAGCTAACAAAAGTCCAGCTTGGTTGCAACATCATGAGCAAATTATAACGTAATAATATCAGGGATTTTATAACATGTATTTACATTACTTCCATTACCATAATTTTCACGAAGGTAAGTACATCATGTACATAGGTCAATTCTAATTTGAACAAAAATCAAAGGACTACTTATACATCCCTAAACTGTACCTATTTGTACAGCGTGATTGGCTTTTTTAGCGCCTAGATTGTAATACATACTTTTAACCCTTTTTAAGAGGTTATTAAACAAATAAGGATGACTAATATTATCGAAAGCCTTTGCAAAATTTACATATAATACAAAAATCTACCATTATATTTTGTCAGATATTTTTGGACAAGTGCTTGTAATGTGAATAGGTTGTCAAAAGTGGAATATTCATTTCTGAAGCCAGCTTGTGCTTCATCCGTTTTATCATTTCCCTCAGCCCTCATATACAATCGATTTTTTAATACCGATGAGTAAATTTTACAAGAAACATTTATAAATGAAATACCCCGATAATTATTGCTTGCCTTGAACACAACTTATGTATTTGACATATGATGACCGCTTTGAAACATGGTTATTCACATAATCCAACAAGTTAACGTTGGTAATATTATTATTGTGAACTTTTAACAAAAATCTAAGTATGCTTTCCGTACTAGATGATTTCGTGAGCGTTAATTTGTTTATGGCAGATAATACCTCATCTGCTGCGAAGTCCTCGATCAGCACGCCGTTATCACAGTGTTTTCGTTTACATTTCAGCCGATAATTATTCAGATTATCATCAGAATGGCTAAGCAACCGAGCAAAATGATTATGCCAGTCTAAACATGAAATATCACTACCTCTACTAGTATAAGAAGTACTGTTTTGGGTTATTTCATTAAAGAACAAGCTCCCGTTTTCAATCGGTTTGATAAAGCTTTTTCTTTACTTTAATATAAGATTAAAATTCGCTTGTTTATAAGCTTCAAGATCCTCCATTTCATTATTAGCCCTAAACTTCCTTGAAAGTCTATACTTAAATTACTCTTTCTGATCGCAAATTTTGTCCCACAAAGGTTGCCGAAATCATTTATATTGAAATTAATATTTGGAACTAAGACATGTACAATTTTAAAACACTCATTAACAAAGAAAAAACGGAATCCCTAAAAAAACGCCAAAAACACAAAATTAAAAATTTTCAGACTAGGTTTTATTGAGCGGATGCGCAGGCTGGTCTGGATCCATGCTGGTCGCAAACGCACTATGTTGGTTTTGTCGTGACGCAGCTCAAATATTGAAAGGGAACGAGAAGTTTTGCAGACAGGGGCCTACTCGGCTTTCTGTTAACGTTACAAATGCAAATTCTTTTGTTTTCGTTTAGCAATCTATTTTAAGTAAATACTATTCTTACCAATTATATTCAACCTCCTCTCCATTTGGAACCTCAACTTTACATTCTTCTACGTGGCCTTCACCTTTCTTTATCGTTCTGTCTGCGGGTGCCTCAGTAAAGCGTATATGTTTATACTTTTCTCCCTGGCAAATAATGAGTTAAAATTGATTTGAATGGCATTTAAACTGATTGTACAAAAATGATAATATTAATAAATAAATTTATGAATTTATTTGTCACCAAAGCAATTTCACAAATCGATATAATTAAAAATAAAGAATAAAATCCCTTTTTGATTTTTTTCTCCGAATCTAACAAGTACTAATTTACTATTTTTTACAATCACATGTTCCGGGATTGACAGACCAAAACGAAGTTAGGCTAGATATATAACGTTGTTATTAAGATAATAAAAGGGACCTTTACACGAAAAGTATTCCATATAGGTTGAATATGAATGAAGGCAGAATTAAAGGAAAAATGAATTCATTTATACAGCATAGAACAGTATTTAAAGTGGCACATTGAGATATCTCTAGCAAAAGTAATCATAGCTTAAGAGATGCCATACAGAATGCAAACTGCCTGCACAGTAAGACAAACTGCACTGCTGCAAGTATTTAGAGAGCCTGTCAAACGCAAGTAAGACGCACACGTATTAACGATCTCCATTACATTTACATGATAATATACAAATACGAATAAATCGTATCGAAGTTGCTTTTTAAAACAAAAAAAAATAAAAGTTTGAACAAGATATTCTTACATTTACACGTATATATTCTATTTGTGAACAATTTTCCCCTTTGAAACCTTTAGGGCAATAACATGTCTCTTCAGAACCTGTTTTGATGCACGTTCCGCCATTTTGACAGCTAATTCCCTCACATATTTGCCCGCTTATACATCTTAAAATGTATAAAATGAAATATTTACATTTAAACACAAAGTTCGAGTATCTGGGACAAAATTCATGGATTTACAACATTTTTAATAGTCTTATCGAAGATGATTTAAAAAAAAATTGAATTTCTTTTTAGTCTACAAGTTAGATGGGATTAAATGAAAAGCAGCAATGTTACATGATTTCTATTATCCTAGTCATTCCATAAACCATACCAACTTCTATTTCAAACTCTTTTTTTTAAAAATTGAAATGAACAAAACTAACTTTTTCTCAAAGTCCTGGCGTATGCACATCTTATTTCCATTGCATATGCATTCTGTAATTATAGTAAAACACACTAAAGTACATAGTTTCCATGGATAAAACATTACACATAGATAACTATGAAAAGAAAACAAATCAATTCTGTTCAACAAAACATCAACATATTTACAGAAAATATTTTTAAACACTTTGTAAAAAGGACTTGTTAGTAGATAAATAAACAGCTAGTATACTAAACAAAAATATTGCAGAAAATTGTGTTACCTGTATTTGAGACGAACGAAATTTTTGCTTGAAATCCTTTTAAGGCCAAAGACACGTCTGTTTTGAATTCAAGGCGAAGAGAGTTACCAGGTGATAGGAAAGTTCGCCCATGTAGACTTTCACCGCAATATGGTCCACCAAGCATACCGGAGTCTGCAGAATTAATGATATTAATTAAAGATATACTTTACTCAAATTTGATATGATAGAAAATATTGATAAATGCTTACACATTTTCTTTGTAAATATAAAATAAACATGTTTTGACTTCTCAAAAAAATATAATGTTATGTTTAATGTTCTACATACTATAGGTGTTCACAATATGAATATATAGTGTCATTAAAAAACTGTCAGTTTTTTAAAGAGGGACCAACTTTAATTAACATGTAATAGGAAACTCAGCTTCCCATACATAGTTTATTCCACAGGAACACGACAATCTATCCAAAACAAAAAGATAACGATTTAAAAATAAAATTCATAAATATACTAGTATATATATGGGATTTTTTTTAAATCGTTATTTTTTTGTTTTGGATAGAATTTAGGGTTCTTGTGTTTATTCATTATTTTATTACACGCTGGCCGGCTTGTGATATGATATACGTAAGATGAAAATTCCATGGGGAAAAAATTGACCCGTGTTTTTGACGTCAAAGACCAAAACAAAATGATCTTGAGGTTTTGGTAACATGCTGAAAAATATTCGGGTAGGTTGGAAAAACATTTTTTTAATTAGTATTTTATTAAAATTTAACTGTATGTCAGATACATACACGATAGGATACTTCATTTTTGAAATAACATGTTGTAGGTTAATGCGGAAATACAGGGTCGGTTAGGTTACTGGAACCACAAGATCATTTTGTTTATTGCCTAATCTCGCGTGAATGAGTCTCGCGAGGATTGTCATTTATTTTTTGTTGAATATCAATATATGATTAAGTTATAATAATGATTTGGAAAAAAATACCTGAAGAAATAATTTAAGATGAAAAAGAAATGCTTTTATTTAGACATGTGACTAAAGTTCTCGCTAAAGAAAAACAATATCCAAGGAAAATGCGTTATTTACATTACGTGGTTTACACACGCATCGGGGTTTGCCTAAAATACGAATGTGATTTTTATGACGAAAGTGAACGAAAGTGAGCGAAAGTGACTTTAAAGATATTAATTATAGCATTTTAATAGAATTTTACAATAAAATTGCAGTTTGCAGACGAATAATATTAGAAACTAATTATATTTATTATCAAAAATAATCATAATATTGATTTAAATCGCCATATAATTTGGCATAATTTCTAAAATTTCTTTACACAGGTTTCTGAGATCTTCCTTTTGCTCACATTGAAAAAATACGAAAAGTGACTTTAAGATATCAAAAAAAGCTTTTAAATTGGAAAATTTTTGCTAAAAATACAGTTTTAGACGTATAATAAATCAAGAAATTTATAATATTTATTGTCAAAAATAATTCATTATGATGATTTAAATACCCCCATTTATTTGCATGATATTTTCAGCGATCTTACCTTTAAAAAAAGACCTTTTTCTTCCATTTTTGCTTTAATCTTCTTCTAAAATTAACATTTGGGGATTAAAATTATCAGGAAATTAAATTTTTACCCCCATTTGAAGCCGAAAGCCATTGGGAAATCAATTTTTTACCCTGTCTTTTTTTTTGTCAAAGTATTTTTCTGTTTAAACCCCCCTCATTCATTATTTTTCCAAATTACACTTTAAAAAAATTTCAAAAAAAAATGAACATTTCCCCAAAAAATGGGGTTTTCCAAAATTATGGCCCCTTTTTTCCCGTATTTTTCCCATTTTAAATTGCCAATTTTTCCTTTAAATCCCATTTATTTTCCCTTTCCCAATTTCCTTTTTAAAATTGTCTGGATAAAAGGACCGAAAAACCACCCTTACCTAGTTGGGGCAAAGGTTTAAAAAAAAAAAACTTTAAACCCGTTTCCAGGGAAACCCATCAAACTTTTCTTTTTTTGTCCGCTTTTAAAACGGGGGTATTTTTTCGCTTTTTGCCGGGTCGCTCGGTTCCCATAACCCCTTTTTGTTTTTCCCGGGTTAATTAAAATTGTGAACGCCCCCTTTTTCCCCAAAAGGGTCCCGGGAAAATTAATAGGGGGTTGGGTTTTCACTGACAGGGGTGACTCCCATTGATTTGGAAAATCAGAAGGGTTTAAAGGTTCCCAAGCTCCCCAATTTGGGGTCAATGGGTTTTTAAAAACCTTTTTTTGATGGTTTTGTTGGAAAAAACACCCGGGTCAAAAAGTTTTAAAAACGGGTTTTTCCCTCCAAATTTATATTAACCCTTTTTTGATTTTTTGGGGCCCCAAAAGTTCAAAAAGGGCCCAAGGGCAAAAGGACACAAAAAGGATTTTTTTTTTTTTTTAAAACCCTTTTAGGGCCCAAAAAATTTTTGTATGCTTTTATTTTTCCGAACAAATAAAAATTTTAGTACCCTTTGGCCCCGGAATTTTGGGGGAAATTTAAAAAGGGGCTCGTTTATGATTGGCCAAAAAAAGACCCCCATTTATTTTTTGTGAAACAAATAAATCCCCAAAATCAAAATCAAACTGGGCCCGAAATAATTTTAAAAACCCTTTTGTGGATTTAAAAACGAAACCCTTTTGGGATTTGGACATGAAAAGTTTTTTAAAAGAGGTTTATTTAAATTTGGGAGATGGCAAACCCATCGATTTTGGGTTTTTAGTAAGGGCAAAAAAAAGGTCCCCCCGTGGGCCCCCAAAAAAAAGCCCCAAAAAATTTTCCCCCAAAAAAATAGCTTATTAAACCTTTTTACCAGAAAACCCCTATTGATTTTAAGATCAGTAGGTCAAAGGTCACTAACAGAATGTATGAAGGGGGATATTTCGTGTTCTACAATCTTTTTTTCACAAGATACACACAGTGCAATTTTGGTGACATTGTGTACATAAAATTTTCATGTATGATCGCCACAACATGTAACTATGCAAGATCAAAGGAAGTTAAAATTCCTTTATTCCTACAATAGATATGACCCTTCCTTACTTTTTATACTGTAAACATATTTCACAAGTTATTTAACTTAATAACTGACTTTAACTAAACTTCTACTGCCGGCGTATAAATATTTAACTTGTTCAAAATAAGACATGTTCTGTAAGAATTTCATAGATTTCAAGCTTGAGCATAGTATAACGTTAACAAATTGAATCGGATCATCAACATAATTCCGTCGAAGATAGCTTATACTTATCGGAGATATATATATAGAATTTGAGTGATCTGTGTTATAATATTATAGCATGATATGGAGTTCAGATGCGCAGTAATATAATCACGAAGGCTGTATGCCTCAGTAATTAATTACAAACATCTGAACGACATACCGTGCTATATGTACAACACAGTTCAATCCAAATCAAGACCACTTCCATTCTAGCACGTCAAGAAAAAAAATATAGTTGAACTATATTTTTGTTGGTTAACTTTGTTTTCGCCTCGGAATTTCTAAAAGCAATGTTCTTTAAAGGCTATTCCAGTCGGTTGAAAAATAAAATGTCTTTAAATATAAAGTAATTTCAAACATTTTGAGAATAGCAATTTTGAAAGCGTTGGTAATTTTTTGTGTTTATTTCATTTTATTAATACAAAGTAATGCGCTGCATTGTGACGTCAAATTAACAATACTTCAAAAGTCTGTAATGCGCTAATGTCAGAATTAATTACATTGGTGTTCGTATTTATTTTAAGACAATTTGAGATTACTATCAGAACACAATTCAAGAAAAAGTTATTTCTTATTTTTCAGATTTATCAAACAAAATGTCGCGGTCAATTTGCGTGTTTGCAAATACGGAGGAAGAAAACAAGAACGGCTGGTGTATCTGCTGTGAAATATATCACGCTTCCGGCCTTCTTTCTTTATATACAGGAAATCTCCGAAAGTGTAAGAATTAGTATCAATAGAAACTATGCATCTAATTCAATTGTTTTTAAAAAAAAGTATCAATTTGTCACTGCTAATCTCACATGCACTCTTATCATGCTTTCTTTGCTTTAGAGTATTAAGTTTAAAAATATGCAAACATTTAACACTACAATTTAAATACCATTACTTATTCCAGAAAAAATTCTTAACGAATCAAAGATACAGTTGTCCGATTGTTTAATGCTGAAGTAGTCGAATTCTACCTGTACCACGTGTTTAGGAAATATATCATTATGTACAACAACTATACAATCTGTGTTGCTTTCGTATTTAGGTGCTGTATATACTACAATGCCGCTCCCTATATCGATTCCTTTGTACATTCGACTACAATCTGAAAACAAAACAATATAATGATAATCCTATACAAAACAAAAATTATACATGTATTAAATACTATTTATCTCACAAAGATAATTCATTACCTAATGTATGCTACCATGTAATTTTTTAAGAAATATTTGCTTATTGTGCATTCGATTTTTTGTTAAACTGAAAACGAATCTGTTAATTCAAACATTGTACAAGTGAAACAATTATAAATGTTTATTTTTCTAAATTCTGTAACAATAAAAAGCATAACCATTATTTCCACCAGCTGGAGATGGAGTTGTTGATGGTACAGGTGCTGGAGTAAAGTTGTCTTCGACAAACATATAATCAATTGCAAAACGTGCACCTTCTTGTTGAAGAAGATTTCTGTACTCAATAAACATTGAACTTGCATGATAAGGCAGAATTCCCAGAACACTGTCGCCACATACTGTACCGAGGGGTTTTCCTTTTGAAAAGTAATTAATGCAGGTACACTCTCAGAATAGTAAATAAATATGAACAAGCATATTCGTTGAATTTATATCCCCGTGCAAACATGCAAACTATAACGTACTACAGACCAAACTTATCATACAAACCCATGAAAATTAGCATTGCCAATCTAAAGGACATACTTTTTAAGTATTATGAAGTCAAAATAATTTAGACATTGTTTTATGTCAGTTGGTCATTCATTTTGAGTATTAATATAGGAATTACAACCTTAGTTTAAGATAAGAAAAAATAAAACTCGTATATTTTTTTCCAATTTGCAATAATTTAAATAATTTAAACCATCTCTATTTATTTGGCACTATATCCTAAAAAATTTAAAAAACTTATAGCTAATTTTTTGATTTTTGTTGTTGAATGTAATATAATCGGAAGGGTACGCAAAAATGTTTCGGGTTTTTAATGGGTGTATTAACAAAAAGAAAACTTTATTAGACATGTTACTGACATGCAAAAAAGACTTCACATTTTAGACTAGCGAACACCATTTATTTTTTGCATCTTTGCTCTTTGAAAAAAAATATAACAAATGAACATCATAAAATTTTTCTAAATTGGCCCAAAAAATTTGGGGAAAAAATTTTTTTTCAAAATTTGGGAATAAAACCCCAACCGAATAAGGGGCCCTTTTTTTTTTTTTTTTTAAATTTTTTTTCCCCTTTTTTTTAAAAAAAAAATGGTTTAAAAATTTTTGGTTTAAATTTTTTTGACCAAAACGAAAAGTAGTAAAAACAAAACTTTTTGGGAATTCTTATACTTTTTGCGTCTTTTAACGATCTACCCAAAACAGAACATGCAAAAAAATTTTAGTTTAAAAACGATTTGCCGATTTGTCTGTGGTGGGGTTTTTTAATGAAATAAATAGTAAAATGTTTTTTAAACATAACGGTGGGGGAAATTTTTGTTGATGAAAAGGGAATAATCTAATTATACAGAAAATAGACGTTTAGTTTTAGGAATGTGCTTAATATAAATAACACGGTTAGTCATTAAAATGCATTCACATACTTACGTGTACTGTGTCCTTCATAAATGATTATACTTTCCTCCTCACAACTAGCAGAGCCAAAATTTAGCATTTTTAGTTCCAAAGTAATAACTTTGTCCCTGGGTGCCTGAAAAATCATATGTTTAACGTTGTTTTTTTTCATATTCAGCCTGTATAAAATCATGTTCTTAATTTACTCCCCGTGCTTGATTCACAAACTGTTAATACCCATATCGAAGAGAAACTGTTAAAAATAGACAGGTCTTGGGACCTTCCATGTAATATACTTTCAACAAAAGTACGCATAGTCAATATATTCACTTATATCCATTTATAAACGCTTTCACTTGAGTTGAGATAATCAATATTTTAACTTATATCCAATCATATCCAATTTAGGAAATATATATCATTTTTGAATACATTGTTGTAGAATAATGCACGGTTCGAGAAGGTCGATAGGCCTCAGCGATTAATAACAAAGCATTTATACTAACATAAACTGTGCATTATTATACTTATTATGCGAGACAAATTTATATCTTTTTCCATTCTAACATGATAATAAAATGAAAATTGATAAAAACAAATCTGATTCCCTGCCTACTTTACTACGATAAACGTAGTAACTAGGGCAAGTAATCCAAACTAAAAGATTATGTTGAACTAAACTCTACACTGAGCGAAGATGTAAAATCTACATTTTGAAAAAAGGTCTAATGATCGTCAAATATAAAATGTGGTAACAAGATTTTTCTGTGATATGGCCTACTTTTTACTTTATGTGACACATTTTCAAGCTCTTGCGAGATTACACAATAGAAACATACAAACAAAGTTTGAAAAATTATGGCCTCTAGATTTGTACGTCATGATCTTGTTTTTTGTTGTTGTTTTTTATTACCTAAGACCTATCTTCAAACTCATCTGATAAACCAATGAGATAAAAATTCTGACAATTGCTGTACAAAGTAACCAATTACAGAACAATACATGGTTTTCATACAGAGGTTCAGTGCGCCCTAGTTTTACATATAAACTTAACGTTAACTGTATGCTTACCTCAATTTTGCTGTATTAAGCGTACAATTTGGGTCACGTGATCATCCGCAGTGTATCAAGATCAGAACAAAATGGTGTCTTCTTATTTTTACTTAGATCTAATCGAGATGACCTATCTTTGAATTAATCCGAGGAATCACTAATATTATTATTCTTACAAAGTTTGATGAAAATCTAATACAAATGGTGATATCCAGAGTATTACGTGTTGACGACGGAAGGCGGTTGACAGACGCCGGATCGATTAAACATATGCTTACCATGATATAAATTAATTGCCAATATGCAATGAGCTCGATAGAATTGCGTAAATCGATTCTATTCAATTAATTGGTTTAGGTCTTTGATTTAAAACCACTTGCCTATAACTGCAATGGGTTCGAATCCTGCCATGGACTGACATATAATATGATCTAACTAGCTAGCTCATGGAGCATGCCTGAAATAATGCACACAGAGGCACTTGAGCGTTTCTCCACGTGAAAAGCTGGAATGTTGCCATGCTATTACCTGTATTCTGTAAAAACAATCCTCTTTTAAATCATCTTTATTCATTATTCTTGAATCTTCACCACCCAATATACTACCAATGCACTTAGAGTCATCCCTACCTCCTGCAAAAGGTTTCATCATTTTTACATAAAAAACAAAACATTTGATCCCTATTAAATGTAATTATAGGGTCTATGGACACGGTGTAAATCTATGAAGCATGATATCTTAATGCCAAGCGGGATTTTTCTCCCTTTTATAGGTCAAGTTATTGTGGCAAACATTTAACAACGAAAAATTTAACCCCATGACAAAGTAACCAATGAACGAGCACATGAATATGACATTTCTATCGTTACCCTACATGAACGGTGCGTTAAATGGAGTGCATGTATTAATTACCCGCACTCCAAAGCATGTTCTTGAATTGCCTCCTTTGGTCTGGAGTTTACTTATTTAAACAGCAGAGAAAGGGGTAACGATAGAAATGTCATATTCAGATGCTCGTTCATTGGTTAATTTAATATGGGGTTTCATATTGTGACAACAGGGATACAGTATTGAATTATGTTGAACGAATAAACATATGTAAAGCCTATATTGTACAAGACGCTAAGCCCTATATACGCGAGCTCTGTTAAAATCAAATATAATCGGTATTGTAATCAATAATATAAATCAGATCAGAACATAAAATGTAAATGAAACTGCAAATTAAACTAAGAATAACATTGGAAATCAACATTATTTGTATTGTAATAGAATTACCCAGATTACAAGATGGATTTTTTGTAGACTTTTTTTTTACTCTGAACAATGTTTAATTAATGACATTAAATCAAAGAATGATTTACAATAGACGATCACATGGTGCAAACGCTGGAAGTACTTTGGTATCATTTTATAAGTTGTAAAATAATTACTTTTACTCGACTCGATGATGAATTTGAAACCCATGTCTGCAAATGACACATCCGACTTGAATTGTAGTTGGATTTCGCTCTTAAATGTGATATAGGTCAATGGGTCCCAACCACAGTATTTGCTTGTTGTCCCACCAACGCCCTTTTCTGTAATCTCAACATAGTCCATGCTACCAAATATGATAATTACAATATTAATAAATGTGATTCACAACCAGCACGATTAAAGCTTACTTATTATAAAAAATACGTCATTAAGAAAGTTTATTAAATAACTATATGTTATTAGTCCTATAAAAAAAGCACCTGCCACGTTCAATAACCCTATGACCCTAAGCCTTATAACAAGGCCAATATCTATATCACTTTTCCGGCCCCGGGCCGAAAAGTGATATAGATATAAAGCCCGCATTTGAAGTAATTTGATTGGCTGATAAAGCAGGGCCAAAAAATGATATAGATTTCTGCAAGTAAAGCTGGGAAATGGCAGCCATTTTGTTTTAACTCGGTCCATGTGTAGTCGCCAAATGAAACAAAATATTCTCAGTTTCAAACATTCACGTCATGATTTAGTAGTGTTTAACCAATTGTGTTATAAATTTACAACGTGTAGATTTCACAACATTTACCGACTTAGATTGCAAAGTCGTCTGCGTCTGGGAGACAACAAAAAATGTCGAGAGAATCGTCGCCTAGCGAAGAAATGCTAGAACTTCTAGCTAATGACTTATTATATCTAGATAAACTATGTGAAGACGAACAGTTGGATCCAGATGTACTTTCCAAGCTTGAAGAAGAGTCGGTGGATAAGCCCCACCCATTAACAGATTCAGAACCGGATTCTGCCGGACATGGGGAACGCTTTAAGATAGTTTCAGTAGGAGACTGTGACAGTTTCATTAAAGAAAATGAAAATAAAAACACACACTATAAGACCAGAAGTGATGTTAAACTAATGTTTGACTGGATGGACTGGACTGGACAAAATATATAATTATCATTTGTTGGCATTCAATTTAAAATGTCATGTTTTTAAGTTAAGATTGTTTTAACCATAACAGCCTAAGGTCTCAGTACAAATCTGTTGTGCAGTAATTTTGACCCATTAAAACAGTCTGTTATAAATCCTTTTTGTAATTTTCTAGTACAATGGCAACATGTAAAATACAAGCCGAAGAGAAGAATATTGGTTATGGAATACTTCTGTTGATATTCAGTGTTATAAAAAGTGTATTTATAGGTATATAAGAAATATTTATATTCATTACAGGTGATGCACAGACCCTTCTTCAGACAGTATGGTTGAACAATGGCGTTTACTTTGGAATGCGTGGTAGACAGGATCATACAAACCTTCTTTGGGGAGACATTGAGCTGAAAAGAGCACCAGACTCTCAAGAGTACTTGGAATTTACAGGTTTGTTGAATTGTATGAAATGCTTGTAATTATTAGCTTACAGTGAAACCTGCCTTAGCTGTCAGTTCTATTAAGCAGCCACCTGTTTTCAAAATGTCACAACAAAATGTTTCCAAAGTAATTGTTGTTTTTGTTTTCACCTGTATTTAGCAGCCACCTGTGCTAAGCAGCTAAGTTTTGTGTCTCCCTTGCCTGTCTGCTTAATTCAGGTTTGATTATATTCTATTTTTCAGTATATAAAAAGCTTATCAAAATTAACAGTTATGACACACTTTCACACTTTCTTGTTAAGGGATGACTGAATATTAGTCCCTTTTGAATACTTTCAGAGAGAAGTACGAAAACAAGGAATGGATCTAGCCGAAACTCTAAGTTGCTCCCAAGGTTTTTGCAACACTTGGTGATGAGTTTTGTCCAGTTGCCATCTACAAAGAATATAGACGTCGAAGACCAGCCGATCTGCTAGACAATAATAGCAGGTTTTACCTTCAGCCAATAAATACACCCAAAACAGATGTCTGGTATTCACATCAGCTTGTCGGAAAAAATAAACTTGGAAAAATAATGAAAGAATTAGCTGAGAAAGGCCAACTAGAAGGCCGAAAAGTAAATCACTCCACAAGAAAAACATTTGCCCAAACACTACGGAAATAGCTCATCTAGGAGGTTGGAAAAACCTGCAAACAATAAATGCTTATTCCACCCCTACCTTAGAACAGCAGGCTCAAGCTTCTGACATCCTTTCAGACCATATGCGACCATCTTCAAGAAACGATATCGTTACACAATGCCATGTTCAAACAATTGAACATGAGAATGCATCTGTATTGGCAGATATAACACCAATAATGAACACAAGTAATACTTGTAATACACTTGATGCTAGTCACTGTGTTTCTTCAAATGTCTCAAAACAACACTCAAATCCGTTTGCAGTTTTATGTGGTGCTAATATTTCTGGAGGTACTTTTAACATTAACATTGTGTCAGGGAAGAGAAAGTTTTCTGATGTTGGGAGCTCGCAGGAATCACAGTAAACAGTCTGACAATCACATTTTGTTGTATATGTAAAAATTTAGGTCAAACTGATAAAATGTAGTTATTTTTACAGTTATTCTTTGTTATAAGTAAAATATGTTAGAATTGGATATTTACAGTAATTAAAATATGTTAGAATTGCAATAAGAAGAAATATCCGAGGATTAAATGTGAAATATTATAAGTACATGTTGTTATTTAATAAAATTGTCAATAAATAAGTGATTTGATATTGGCCCTGTTATTTATCCTCGGGTGAGTCGTATTGGCCCTCGGCCTTCGGCCTTGGGCCAATACGACTGCCCTCGGACAAATAACAGGGCCAATATCAAATCACTTATTTATTAACATATAGTTATCCGCCTTGTACTTTTTTATTTTGTAAATCTATTTTTCAGCTATCCATATAAATAACTAAACGTATAACCACTTCCTAGTAGGCGATTTCTGAAACAGAATTTTAATTTGAAATATTTCTGAACTGAATAATCTCACATTAGTCAAAGAAAATCTTGTTTAACGAACTACATCAAATGTATGTAATAAGAGAAAAAAAATGTTTGTTTTAAGTTCAAATAGGAGTTATATTTTAAATGATGTCAATAATCCTTTTTCATTTTTACTCGTGACTTATCCTTCATATATTCTACTTCTTCTTATAAGGGGAAATTTTCAGGGTTTTAATTTTATTTTTTTTCTGCACTGGATATTAGTATTATTTAAAAGTAGAAAAAATGGAGTATAATTCTTAAAATTTATTTGTCAGACTTACTTGCCCTTGATAAGTAAATTATTATTTGAAGTTAAAAGGGAAAACTGAATCATAATGTTGATGGCGAAGAAGTGTTCTAAGTGTAAATCATTATCTTTGATAGCTTTTGAGTAAATAAACATTGATTAATTGAGTAAATAAACAATAAAAAAGGGTTGGTAAGTATCTTCCCCATTGCCTCTAGTTTTTATTTCTTTGATTAACCCCCCCCCCTTCCCCCGGTCTCCTGTCCCCTTCCCCTTTGTGGGCCTATTATTATTTTCTTTGAATTCCTAATCAGTTACAAATTATTTATCATTTAATGATTAACGTGTCGTTGCCCTGTCCTTTTTATGTTTGGGGTCCACCTGGGCTCCTTGCCATTGGTTCTTGTTGCTGGGTCATATGGGGTTGCGTTCATTGAACGCCGCCTTTCCTTGTTGATCTTGTTTTTCATATTTTAACTAGAAATCATTTATAAAAAGTGCCAGAAATGGCAAAACAAGATTTCCTATATTTTGAATTATCTGTCTCTTTGACATGGCCTCACATTTTTTATAAAGAACAAGTTTAAAGTATGTAGTGTCGATGGATTTGGAAAACTATATCTTAAGATCTTAACAAATAGGTAAAATAAAATTTACATGATTTCTGTAGTTAGTAAAGAGTCCCAACCCTGATGACTTGAATACCATTGGAAGAGTGAAGAGTCTGCTCTAACTGCCTTGCTGGTTAAAGAGTAAGATAACGAGTTTACCTTTAAAATATGTTAAAAGTGAAATTCGCCTATATGGAACATTTTTTCTTCTTCCAATATACTTGCCACCTTCAACTAACTGGAGTTTACTGCCAGGTTAATGCGCAAGACGGAAAGAAAGAGTAAAAATAGTAAGGAATATATACAGTGCAGCTTTAAAACGGACAAGAGTGTGGTTTAGATATAGAGTTGGGACAGATGAGTACGGAATGACTCAACTGTACCGGCTGACGTAGCGTCCGGAGGTAGGCTGTTCCGGTCTTTGATGGTACGTGGGAAGGATTGTTGACGGTATTGTGTACGGCAGTAGGGTATCTTGTAGGATAGTTTGTGTGAATTTCTTGTAGATGTGGAGTTGGAGGGTATGAGTTGTGAATTGTCTAGAGCGACCTTGTTGTTGATGACATCATTTGATGTAGAGCATGATCAGTCTGGCCTTCTTGCGACGTTCTTGTAATGATTTCCATTCAAGGTCTGCAAGCATGTCTGTGACGCTGGACCTGTTGTGGTACTTGTTTTTAACATACCGTGCAGCACGTCGTTGGACCATGTCTAGACGGTGTATGTCTCCCTTCTCGTGGGGGTCCCAGACAGTGCTCGCATTCTCCACCGTGGCGCGGACAAGAGCTTTGTAGGCTGTTTCTTTGGTGGAAGTAGAGGCGATGCTAAGGTTTCTTTGCAGGAAGCTGGTGGTAAAGTTTGTTTTTTTTACAAATGTTATGTATATGTTGGCCCCAGTCTAGGTTGTTATTCAGGGTTCATCCAAGGTATTAAGCTGATGTGACGTGCTCTAGAGTATGACCATGAAGAGTGTAGCTACGGCAGATGGGGCTTCTTTTCTTTGAGATGGTGAGGACTTGGCATTTGTCTGAGTGGAATGACATTTTCCATTTCTCTTCCCAGACAGCTAGTTTGTCGAGGTCGGCTTGTAGGGTGGAACAGTTAGATAGGCCAGCGTATCATCTGCAAATAGTCGGACTACTGCGTTGAGACCCTCTGGGATGTCATTTATATAGAAAAGGAACAGACTCGGGCCAAGGACTGAGCCCTGTGGGACGCCGGATTTTACAGATTTAGACAGGGTCTTTCAAATATTGAAAGACCCTGATTTAGATGACAATCTTACATGCATAAACAGGGATCAGAACCCATTGGTTGCCAATATTTTGTATATTTTCTTAAGTAAATGAGTTAGCAAACTGTTTTTACCGGAACGTGCAAGATATCAAGAAATGAACAAAGATCTATTCCATGTATTCTTGTTACAAATTACGTGCAAGTGAAACTGTGAAATCATAAATTAGTCACGATAACTTTTTGTTTCCACTAAACTAAATGTAACTTTTTATTACAGATCTGAACACGGTGTTAAAGTGTTAGAGTAGTTATCTCAAAAGTCCCAAATTACAAGTTTTTTTACTGCATGATACGTATCTGTCCCTTTGTAAACAAGTTATCACAAAAATAATGATCGATTCAGCCAACTATCACGCCAAAAGGGCGGCATTTATTTGCAGAAGATTAGCATGGTCTTTCTTGAAAACCTGCAGGCAGTTATGGATATACTTCCCATCTACTCTTGTTTGCGAATGGTGTCGATCTGAAATTATTCTTATATTTTGAAGAAAAAATGCCGCTGCAATAAGTCTCGTTTAATAATGTTGACTTTCAATGACGATATAACTATAAGGAAAACGAAATATTTAGTACAAGAGAAAAACAGTAAGAGACGATCAAGATCCGAGAATGCGGTGGAAATATGTTAGAAATAATACACTTCGGGGAACACAATGTGTAAATTTGTCAGGCTACGACATTGTACAATATGTGTATGTGTATTATCAACTTTAAGTGGTTAGACGGGATATATAGTTTAAGTATTGTTCATACCATAAGATCAAAGCACTACAGATTTGTCTAACGGTGAAGTGTTCATTTTTATGAATTAATTTTATTTCTATGAATTAATAGTGAAGTGTTGTGAAAACAAAGCTTGGTGTAACGTGACGATGCAGATTTTCATACATAAACATACGGAACACATCGACCTTCTACAATGTAATTGAAGAGATTCTACCGCGTGACTTCAATTTTGGGTTACAGATGCCAAATTTCATTAAATGACAGGAGTGTCACATTCAATATTCAATGATACCCGTTGTATTTTCTTTTCCAAAATTGTACGTAAATTTCTGCATATATAGGTTGGGAACAGTAGTTTAAGAAACCAAGTTGGTTTGTAACTATTTGAATTGCACCTTTATTTTTATCTTGAAATAACAGTTTCTTTAATTTTCATATCAGTGTGGTTTATGTAGTGTACAATATGCCAGAGTATCAGTCCTTGAAGATTCCCGAGCATGACATCAACGTATTTGTGGTATGTAAAGTGTTGCATCGATTCAATTTTTATGCTGCTTGAGTAACATTACATTTTGACCCTGTTGAAAATTGTTTGTTTTTTTCAACGTTGAAAACTGAGCCTGGGTCACTGTTCAAAATTGAGAATTGACTTTGCCAATAATTCAACATGAAATTTGATCAAAAAGTCGTTGTGAAGTGATCCATCGTTAAATTTTGAACAAAAGGGCGAGCGTCTAATTAGGGGAAGTAACCGTTACATGTTTGCGGATACACTACAAACCTTTCGCATTGGTTACTTCCCCTGACCAGTACAGAAATGGTAATGAGAGGTTAAAGTAGCATGGTGGTTGTAGATCCTTAACTTATGTGAGTGAATTTTAACTAGTGTGATATCTTTTAAATATACTACTCAAAATTTGATAGAGGCCTCTTATTCGATTGTATACTAGTAAAATGTTAATGGGTATACAACAATTAATTAGTAACAAGTGATATTTTGATAGTGTTGATATTAATATTTGTTTTTTGTTATGTTCTAATTAATCACTGTAATCTGGACTAGGGTGGTTGTTAAGGTTTTTGTGCATGGGTGATACAAGGGGAATGAATTTGAAAGTGAGTGAAAGTTTAAAGATGTTGTCAATATCGAGTGTGACGTCTATTTGCGTTGATCACGACATTGTACAGTCTCCCAATGCTTCTGATAAGCTCGCGAATGGCGTCTTGTGGGATTCGAATCCACTCCTCTAAGAGAGTCTGTTTAAGCTCCTTTTAACTTCGTTGAAAATTGGGTCATTTTTCAAAGAATTTCCATAAAATTTCAACGCTGAAAATCGAGCCCTTCCATTTGTTTAATGACCCACTTATGCATGAAATATTAAACGCCGTTGAAAACTGATCAGTTATAAAGAAAATAGACAGACCATTCTTGAACATGAACATTGATGAGTGTTCCGAATATTTTTGCAAAATATACCTATGGTCATGTATATGAAACCGCAATGGTCTCAACCCATTAAGCACATTTGCTATTCTTAATGCAAAATTTCAACATGTAAATTTTGAATTCTGCCATAATCAGTCTTAGTCAAATAGAGCCAACAATAATTTTCGATAATGTCTTTTTGGCGTTCTTTGAGGAAACGTTTTTCATATGGATATACAAAGTATAACATTTGCATAATAAGTACAGGTGCATTTAAAGTTGAAAACATCATTTAATGTGTACTAGTATTTTGTGCATTACTGCTTATACACCATTTGTATAACTGAAGATCTGAGACAACATATTGACTCCTAATGACTCTATTTTACTAGCTTTATAAAGGTAACAATATGCATTTAAGAAAACTATTGGTTACTTACCTACAGTTCTCGCTTATTTCGACGCTGAAGTAGTCAGATTTTAAGATCATGAAATGATCTTGGGCGGTCTTAAGAGTCCATGTACAGTCTTCATTTGCTCTAAATAGAAAGGCGATCAAAATTTGAATATACTGTACATACAACAAATACAATAGAAATATGTTACTTAGATCGTTTGTTAACTTTTTTTAAATTTAAAGTATTAAAGATGCTGTCTTAATTAAAGGCAGCGTGCCTCCAGATTCAAGCTAACTTTCGTGATTTTTTTTAAAAAATGTTTTTAAATGTAAAATATTGTGTCGTGAATAAAGAAAGTAATTAACACATTACAAATTGTACTTACAAGCAACGTAAATGACCTAAAAAGGTCGAAATATGCAGAAATGATTCTTACAGCGTTAGTCACGCAGTAGAAATAAGGTGATAAATACTGCAAAATTTGTCAATAATTTCACGTAACATGTAAATTATTACTGTAATCTTTTGACTTTTCTAAAATATCAGTACTTTTTTTCTTAAGTTTGATTTTCTTAAATATTTTGGCTCATCGGGAGGCATGGCGCTTTAAGAAAAAGTACATCTTCAAAAACTTTTTTTTTAAATGATGGCTGAGAAAACAATTTCAATCTTTCTCACTTTGGAAAGTTACTAAGTTGGTTTATTGACATGACTGATTTAGTGCCACATGAAGACGGCTTACTTACTGTAATATATACGGACATGACAAAAGAAAAAGTAGTTTGTATACACTGAAATCTTCAGATAAATTGATTTATACAGTTCAAAAAGTTTTGATGATGGCAAACTGTAGATCAATAAAACTTTAAAATTCTAATTGATAACAAAATATTTTGGAGAGTATGTACTTTAAAATCTGTGAAATAACAAGATTGGTTGTTTTGATTGGTTGTTTTGATTGGTTTTTATTTGTTTGGGTCGTCAGACCAAACAAATAAAGGTAGCGAAATTTCCGACTCTGATGCTGTTAATTGCAAATGCCGAAAGTAGTCCGCTTTTTTGAAGCAGTTACTTCCCTTTATATGTACACTAACGCCGAAAAATTCAGGTGAGATCACTGCGTAAAGATTGTCAAATGACAGGCGCATTAATTTTCAAGCAAAATAGTTCCCGAATGGTCGAAGATTTCTAATATTGTTTTATTCTTTATAGATTTACATGTTTATAGTAAGCTACATGATTATTTACATATGTGTTAAACAACCGGTTTAGCGTCGAAATAATAAGAGTTACAAACCCTAATTTAGAATAATATGGTTTTCTTCAGGCCATTTACATATAACTTCACCGTGGCCGAGGGGTTTGTACGCTCGCTTAAGAATCGAGAGGTCTGGAGTTCAAATCCCAGTTAAGGTCAACTCATTTTTTTAAATTGTTTAAGTCAAATAAACATTGAGTTGAATATCAGTGTTGCAATTAGTCTTATAGCCAATTTACTACAGTTCAAACACTGGAAAGCATTGTTGGCGCTATACAAAAACAAATTGGTTTATAATCACACAACCTTCACCTTTCTGACATTCTGAGACCCAAACAAATTCAGCGCCTTCTGAGCTTTGATTTTTCCTTTTACGGGATGAAAACATTGGAAAGAGTTGAAGTTAGCCTCACTTTCATACATTATAATGCGTAACAGATTTTCAAATAACAATGTACTAAATAAAATATAAATCGTGTGAGATAAGAGTTAGCTGCATTTATTCTGTTTTTACTTTTCATATGGTATATTCAAGTCACATAGGAGCGAATCTTCTATGAACTTTGCCTTATTATGTATGAGAATTACTTTGAAATTCAGCATGAAATACCTGTAGAATCCTGTGCCGTTGAATAATTCCGTCCGGAGCTGAATTTCAGCTACACCGCCCGTTTGTTCCAAATCAATTTCTTCACCACACGGTGCTGTAAAACAGTGCAATTTACGGAATATGCTTCATAACAGGCAATCTATGAAAATTTAATTTGATACGAGTAGTGTATGCGGTATAAACACAATTTTATCAGTCGGCGATTTACGTCAATTTGGAATTCTGGCGTCCAAAGACAGTTAAATGTCCAAATCATCCTTCGCTATTTAGTGAACTAGTGAAACACGTTTGAATGAATGTATATATACAGATTGGTTTATAGCATGTGCCATTGATCGCATTACTGCGGGGCCCCTAAAATTATCGGCGTCCGAATTCCGAGGCCACCTCATATTTCCGGAGTACCAAACGAAATTTTCATTTAAAAATGGGGGTCCTTTCGTATCTGAAGGGGGCCTTTATTTCCACTTTTGGCATTAGTGTCGTTGTTAATGCGCTACTCCTTGGCAGGGCTTGTTTTTATGACGCAGTCTTGTCCCGGTACTTTAGCGTTCTAGCGCACTTATCAAGTAACATATTTATGTGTTTAAAGAAGCATTCGTTCGGAATTGTTCTTGATTGATATTTATATTACAAACCTTTTTTCTGGCATATAAGAAATCACAATCAAAGTAATACTGAACATATTTTGTATAATATATAATATATTAATTGGATTTGCTATGCATTTGCAATGCATGTTAACAGCCAGTCATGGCCAAGCAACTACCATCCTTTTAAAAATACGTAATTACTGTTATTATATAGATTATGGCATGTTAAACGTTGCAAAATTCAATAAATTTATTTCTTGGTCTATATTCAAAATTTATATAATTTTATATTCCATACCATAATATTTATTCAATACTACTAAATATTTGTTCATAACAAAAATATTTGTGCGCGATAATTTTCTGTATATATGTTCTATATTTGAAAATATATATTGTCAATTGAAAATATTTATTGTAGTAATACTGAAAAACATTTATTCGATAATTTGAATCATGGGATAGAACACTTAGCATATTAAGCTCCGCCTATAAATTAAGCACGAATTTCTGATAAAGCGTTATCATCCTAAATAAACTATACTATAGTTTAGTTGAAATGATCAGTGTCCCTGTGCGTGTCATGTAAAAAGTGCATATGCTTTATCCTCCTTCTGAATAAAAATTGGAAATAGATTTAAAAGTCTTCAGGACATACAATGGGATGATCAAAAATAAACCGGACTGAGGCTGTCAATTGAAGAATTTTCAAACTATCACTTATTATTATATATCACAATTAATCGGAAAACTATACTTGTAAACTGATGTTATGTCTAATTTGATAACGCAAATAGCTTGAACGTAACAGTGAAGTGAAAAACCATTACAACGCACACCGGCGCAGTTCATTAATTTGCGCTGACAATAGGCGCTTTATGAAGTGTATATTTTTACAATATGGCACAATTAGATTTCAAAATACGCCGTAACGTCATGAGACATATTTGACGATGCCAGACAAAAATGACTTTTAAACCACATTTATCGTTGCAATCACAATTTATATGCCACTTGTAAAAGACAAACTCGCGTTAAAAATATGTCGTCTGAACGTCACGAAATTTGATCTATAAGAAATTGTGTCAATAGTAAGGCGAGAAACTGTCTAAAACGTAGAAAGGGATAATGGAAAAAGGGAACGGTTAAGGTAGCCACAACATAGTTTTTGATTGACATAAATGATTAAGAAAGGGTGATTGAGAAATTGCAAAATTATTCTAGGTAAATACACGTGTGTTTATAAACTATTTCAACATCAAAATCCTGAAATTTAACTTATCTTTTTATCATGATTTAAAATTAAACTTACCTTCCCTCTTAGAACGTAAATTCTGTATAGCTGTTTCAAGAACATCTGGAAATGTAACATGAGAAAAGCTAAACTTCACCAAAATGGCGAAAATCAAACAGTTAAATCCATGCATCTTGTTTTTATAAAACGTATTTTTATCATAAAAAAAACAGACGCTGGTTTCAAATTGGCTTGCAAGTGTTCACTTGTTTTTTCGCTATTAAGAATACTCGGAAAACAGGATGTGATCTTTTTTATTTCCTGCTGTAAAATAGTTGGTTAGGTCGAGTGTTTCAAGAGCACACGCTTGTTTAATTCATAAACAATTCATTTCTCATTATAAAGTACTATAAATATTTTTGGAAACATAAAAAAAGTGTTGGTAGGATAAATATAGCAATAATAAGATTATGTTCATGAAGTTCATTCTTTAATTCTAGATGAAAGTTATACAATCTAATTATCTTCTTTTAACTGAAGTCATATACATAAATAAATACAAAAATAATTAGTCGTACACAAATCATTACATAAAAATATACATAAATCATATACACAAACATATACACAGATATTATACATACGTTAAAGTCAAATTATAAATTGCACATGATTAAATATAAATATTTTGACAACATTCAAACTAAACAGAAAGATTCAATTATCAATCATCCTGTCAAAACTTGAGATTCGATTATCAAAAGGCCAATCAAACAAGTTATTAATTTTTACATAACTATTAAGTTATTGGTGTAGATGTATTCTTTTTTGTGTTAAGTCGAATTTACAATGGCACTTCTGAAAAAGGTCAGGTCAACCTTCTTTAAATGTTAACATGCCGAATGGCCAAATTTTTCTATAGGTTTATCTGTTCTTCTGATGTTAAAATAAATAATACCACGTTACATTAGACTGCTGCAAGGAGAGTGAAATATGGTGCACATTTCAACATCTTTTATGAACAGATTAAACTGATATGAGTGTATAATTATGTCAAGAACGTCCAAACATAACGTTCTCTCGCATAGACAAAATCAGGCCTAGACTATAGTTTGCAGAGTTCACGTCTTTACCCTTATCAAAAGAACTATCAAAGAAAAGACGTCCAGTAATTGTTGCATATTCGACACAGTCTACAGAAAACATTATATTCAACGCATTTAGTGTTTGAAATGATTTGATGTGTTAACACTCAAAGTAATCATTTGATGTTCTCTGCCTGATTATAACAAACTTTGTTGTAGAAATTAAAACAATCTAATAGTACATGTAGTATTAAATAAACAGTTGTAATTTGGAACATTATACAATACTTAAAAATGAATTCAAAATCATTTTCTGTATAAACAATTATTTTTTGAGCTAAAGGATTAAAATGGTACCTTTTTATATACTTTAATGTTAATGTGAATTTGCAAAGATGCGACCCGATATTTTTGTGGTATGACATTGACAAACGGGTACGGGTTTCCATTTTTTCCACTGGGTTTTATTTGTTTTTTCCTGGGTGAGTAGACCACAATTCGCAAGTTTCATGGTAAAGGAAATCAAAAATGTTTTTGTTTTTACTGTTTTCACGTACCTAACTTTATCTATCATATATGAAAACTGGAATATATCTTCTATAATGCCAATACGTTTACAAGTATAATTGATACATAATTGTGTTAAATCCAGTCGTGACATTATACAGTATTACTATAACTTCTCCAAGATAAATTATGTTCAAGACTTTCCATTATCGTTGCGAATATCTCATTGTTAAGAGATTTTATCTGAGAAGCAGTTTGCCCCGATTTCTCTTTAGCTTTGTTCTTGTTTTACTCTTGTACAATGCCACACCGTTTTATATTCTTAATAGTTGACCTCGTAGCGGCAAAGCTAAGCAGATTATAGCAATTTCACAGCTTACTACTATCATAGTTTACAGCGCTTTGCATTGCTATGTAGCTATCCATGCATTTAGCTGGGAGCTGTCTTTCATATTTTTCTCATTACAATTTTTATTTTATTTCATATTTTTGACGATGATATTTGTTTTAACCAAAATGCACAATAAAGTCACGGCCTTATTCTAACCACTTTGTGTTCTGTTATTTTATTCACAATTGACTATTTATAAAACAACTACGTTTTCTCCTGGGAAATATAACCATTTGTTTTAGAAGTGTTGCGCAGTTCCAGACGGTGCTATTTCTGCTATGCAAAGATATGTGTATGATGATCTTTGGTTCAACAGTTTTAATAGCTTAGAAATGCTGCTCTTGGTTCTACATTCATACGTATCTGCTAAATATGGTTTTGTTCATTTATATAAAGAACACTGGGAATGAACTGTTACACGAAGGCTAGAGTTCTTAATATGATAACTTGTTTAGAGTTCTTATGATAACTGTCACGGAGTCCCTGAAAAACGTTACGGATTTCCGTGGAAAACTTTTCTATATAATTGCAGAACTCACGTGAAAAATGGTAATTTTTACATTTAAATAGGGAGTTTGAGGTGCTAAATTAAACTTTGATAATAAAGCTTGCCCTACATGTTGTATTATGTTTCACAAACCCTTAAATTCCATTTTTCATACTTTACAAAATATCTGGTAGTTTTGAGTAAAATTTCCTAATTACTTGCTCTTCGTATATATTGACCTTTTCATTTGTGATCTTCTTCGTTGCTTTACTTAATTACCTAATTATAATGGAGAGTTGCAAACATAAAGCCCCGGCTATTGAATTTAAACCCGATTTTTCAAATGTCACGGAGTTCTTGTGATAACTCAAAATATGTCATCGGAGTTCTTATGATAACTCAATTTCAATAGACACGATGCGTTGGCTTCGGAGTTTTTTCGTGCCACCAATCTATTTAATATCCTTTAAAAAAATATTTGTAAGTAACCATCATCCAAGTACTTATAATAGTTATAATAGTGGGTCGAGTTATCTTTTGGACAGTTCTTTTATTTATGTGCATGGTCCGGTTTTTCACTCAATCGGGCATAGAGAACGATCGGTGCTGCGATAAACCCCGTTTAAAAAAAACAAAACAGAAAAAAAAGGTTTTCATTTGCGTCGCAACCACCATAAGAATTGGTTGCACATATTCTTCACATTTGCATTATCAATATAGGTTGATACATGTAGTAGTGAAATATTGTAAATTCAAGGGCCAACATTTTACAACTATCCGCTTATGGGAAAAGGATTTTTAAATGTTTTCATCAGAATTTGTATCATCATAAATTATTATAAAGAATTTTTTCGTATTGTTGTCTTTCTTTCATTTCATTACTTTGTTTTACATAACCATTTTATAAAGTTTCAACCAAACCTACGAATTCGTATCTGTTTAAGCATCTGTTTGCACATAAAAAGAACATAATTAAGGGGTAAAATAGGTAACTGATAGTTTAAATTAATTATGATTTTGAAAATAAAATACAGCATTGAAAAGCGACGGGTGCAAATGGCGACATTTCTCTTAAGTTAATCTTTGCATAAAGAGAAATAATAAAAAGTTAATAATACGTATAGCATGTAAATAAGCAAGGGGAAACATCTCATAAAGATCATTAGCATGCTGAGAAGATTACGTCTTTTCAAAATATTTAAGAGATATGTTAAAATGTTAAAAGCTGTATGAATCTTTTTATCAATTATGATATGACGTCATCGGCGTTTGAGACTTAACTTACCTTTTGTTGTAGCAGTTAGCATAATCAGAGCCTCATGCTGAATTGAAAAACATCTGTGATTTTTGTAATGCTTGTTATTTTTGAAAATGTATTTATGCCACGAATTTGTGTATTGGTAAGATGAAAAAAAAACTTGTTTAATTGACGTTTTATTGTCAAGTGTGATAGTTTTAGTGTCTCACTTTTTTTCTTGGCCGATCTGACTAGAGCGATAAATTGAACCCGAAAAGGAATTGTTTTATACCCGGCGGCCATCTATCAAACAAAAACATTCCTAATAGATATCGGTAAAGATTTGTTGGAAATACTATACGTGTTGTTAGATTTGGTAAAAAACCTAATTGATATGCATCTATTAGCGGCGTTACACATAATTACTCTTGGAATGAGGCTCGTTAATAAGGAAATAAGGAAAAACGTTCTTAAATTAAAGAAACGCTACTAACGGATAACATTGTATCAAACAATATTAATCTATTTTATAATGCTAATTATGAAAGGTAAATAATTCAAAATGCAATATTATTGTAATAATTATTGTAAAATTTAAATTGTATTGTCTGTTGTTAATATCTCTCCGTTGTTTGTCTTATTATTGTTTAATAATAATAATAATAATAATAAATATAGAAACTGGTTGAGTGATTCTTGAAACAAAACCATTCGACTGCATAATATAAATTCAGATGTATATACACTTGTTTGTCAAATAAGTCGTACTGTGTTCACGTTTCGTAAACGTCGTCTGCAAATTGATTAATCCTCACGAGGACCTATGTACTATACAGACATCATCAGGTACATACAAATGTGGAAGTACAAGTTGTGGTTTAGATAGAACGGAGAGAAAGTTACCTTTTGACGTTCTGAAATTACAGAAGCATTTCTTAGTTTAAACTAATTTATCGTTTTAGCTCGACTGCGAAACAAGCTCTTGCAACTGATAATTACCACGTTCGAGTCCGCTTCCTGGAAATAACAAATGCTGGTGCCATATGATGAAACATTGTCGTGACCCGAATAAGACTCGAACCTATGTTTAGATACAGGCACCTTAACCACTAGGTAACCGCTCCCCACTCATCTCTTAAGATTACTCATTACAAACTAGAGGATGCTTTTGTAAAAAAGCGCATGTCTCCCCCACTGCTGAGAATAACTGTGAATGGAAACAGGAATGGAAATGGAGATAAGATAATGTAAATACCCGGTAGTCACTTCAATGAAGGCTGTCTATGGATGGTTTCTATTGTTAAGGTTGTATGAGAAGATGCTTCCTAAACTGTTTGTTTTTAACCAGGTATTCAATTTTGAAAATCCTGGTTATTCAATCAGCGTATGGCAGGCGGGCGTCAAACGAAATTGCACTTGATGGTCATATCATATATAGTTTCACAAATGAAATTAAATGAAATTGTGTCTGCTCCATAATTCTTCAAACCTTTAAAGGATTTTGATGATACTTGAAACAAACGTTCATATTGTCAGATTTTTTTACACTATTGAAAGACAACTCAAATTACAATGTTTGTAAAATCATGATAACTGTAGTGTGTTGGGATGACTCCACTCGTTTTCACAATGAAGCCTCTCTGGTAGATACTTGAAACAAAAATTCACCACATCCAGAGAACGTGTAGAGTACATGTTTCGTATGGCTGGTTCCAAGGTCAAGGTCTACTTGACACTTGAATGTCATATCATCAGCAAACAAAACAATGCGTGTAATACACCTTGCTGTGACCATGTAGCATTGAACGCGCAGCGGGGAAGAAATGACCGCATAAGGGTGGAAAGATCAAAAAAGAACAGAGTATATAAAACCAGACAACTGATATATCACTGATATATCAATAATAGTTAAATGTCCTCACTGATAAGAACTCTAGTTATCATCCGGAAATGAGAAAATGACCAATGGTCACTGTGACCTTAACCTTTGACCTACTGACCCCATAAACAAGAGGGATCATCTGCTCAATAAGACCAATCATCCTATGAAGTTTGAGGGTTGTAGGTCTAAAGGAACTCTAGTTATCATCCGGAAAGGAGAAATTAACCAACGGTCGCTGTGACCTTGACCTTTGACCTACTGACCATTAAAACAATAGGGATCATTTGATTAATAAGACCAATCATCCTATGAAGTTTGAGGGTTGTAGGTCAAAAGGAACTCTAGTTATCATCCGGAAATGAGAAATTGACCAACGGTCACTGTGACCTTGACCTTTGACCTACTGACCCCAAAAACAATAGGGATCATCTGCTCTATAAGACCAATCATCCTATGAAGTTTGAGGGCTGTAGGTCAAAAGGAACTCTAGTTATCATCCGGAAACGAGAAATTGACCAACGGTCACTGTGACCTTGACCTTTGAACTACTGACCCCAAAAACAATAGGGATCATCTGCTCAATAAGACCAATCATCCTATGAAGTTTGAGGTCTGTAGGTCTAATGGAACTCTAGTTATCGTCCGGAAACGAAGAATGGACGGACGGACTGACGGACGGACGGACTGACGGACGGACAGGGCAAAAACAATATGTCTCCCCCCGAGGTGGGGGAGACATAATAAACATTACGATACCTGATATTGTCTGAATAGGGTCGGATTCAAGTAAATGACATAATGTAATTTTGCATCAATATACATTGTCTTTGCGAAGGGAACCTTATAATCAAAAGTTATAATAAAAAAACATATTGCTGTATGATTTTATTCTTTTAATTTCAAAATTCGTTTCACATTCGAGTTAATTACGTTATCGTTTTGACATTCCATATTGACTGAGCTCAAAAGAATAGTCGTGAATCATGTATTCAAAAACACCATGCACACAATATATTATACAGTTTTATACTTCTGATTAGGTCTTTATTCGACAGTGCTTGAATTAAAATCAAAACGTCTACTTTTTATGTAGAACAATATTATGAATATGAAAATTGCTTATTACAGTAAAGAGTGAAATAATAATGATGTTCTCTTTTTTCAGCCTTGATATATTTATGTCCTGCTTTTCCGTTTTGGTTTACATTTGGCTTTGCATGCCTTAACGCTTTTAAAATTATTCCCGTTCGATTTACATCCACCCCATATGAACCCCTTGCACTCGTTTGTTGTACCGTCAAAGTAGAATCTCTGGACAGCCCTTTTGCACGGACCTGCTGTCTTTGGCAGTGTACAAACGTGTGACTTACAAGCCATATTGCACGCTTTCATGGTAGCAAAATTATTTTCATTTGGCTGACATCCACCCCATATAAAACCTTGACACTTCCCTTTCTTTGTGTCATAGTAAAATCTTGGCATTGCTGCCTTACATAGCCCAATTTTCTTTTCCACTGAGCATGCCCGACAAAAGGTATTACCGCATGCGTTTTCACAGTCCTTTTTAGAACGGAAACGGTTTTCGTTGCCTTTGCAACCACTATAGGAGAATTGTTTGCATAGACAATCGTAAGTGTCATAATACCATCTTTTGGCTTTCGTTTTGCATGAACCTCTTTTACGTGGCAGAAGGCATATATTTCCGCAAACTTCATTGCAGTGTTCTTCACTCATGAAATTATTTCCATTCGGGTTACAACCTCCCCAGGTAAATTTTTCACACTGACCGTTTTTGATGTTATAGAAGTATCTTTGAAAACTTGCTTCACAAGGGCCAATGTCCTTGGGCTCTGTACATACTGAAAATAGGTTATGTAAATGCCCTGTTATTATTGTTTTTTTAATGCAACATTAGAATCTTAAACAATATCCTCTAATCAAGTTGTCTAAAGCTTTCTTTTTTTCATTTTACAAATGTTCCAATATACATAGGTGTAGTGTATCTTCACTCTTTATAACAAACAGTTGACATTGTTTTTAATTTAAACGGATCAAAAGTTTAATACCACTACTCAAATCAGAATTACCTTTTGAGTCCTGAGACAAATCCCCATTTATACAGCATTTTCCACTTGAATTTCCATTATCTATATCATCTAGCAAGCATGTTGTTCCATTTGTACACGAAGACACTACTTCTGTACTACAATTCCCATTGTATCCATTACTGCACACTAAAAGAATGAAAAATATTGAAGTTTTTTGATCACCGAACGCTAGGAATGGTAAAAAAGACTTTCAGTAATATGGAATAGCAAAAAAGGAATGCTATTTTACAGAAACGGAGCCTCCACAACATCTAGTCACACAAGACAACAGCAGAGCACTTAAACACAAAAACGGCACACATCAGAGATAATTCAAACGACGAGGCTAAAAGTAGCAAATCACTTGTACATGATAACTAAATCATGAAGGAAAATGCATGACGTTTCCTTGTATTGATTCTGTTGTCAGCAGTGTTTGAGACTAAACTGCACCCCTATTGTGGCTGAAGGGATTTCTTTTTAGCGTTCACGGACCACAATTGCAGCCACTGTTTATCCCTTCGTAATCGTAAGAGGAAACTAAATGGGTTCGCATAACTGGAGGCTCATGGTGGTTTTGGTCTCTGTTGTTGCGTTCAGTTTATAACACCTGAGGTTAGCCAAAATCATCTGTCCTGTTTCCTAAAGTGTTGTGATGCGCCGTAAAAACAAGCAAAACAAACAAAAGTCTAAACTTACCGTTCGACGCAGCAGTATGTATATTTACAGCCAGCAGTAAAATCATAGCCAACACATGCTTCATGCTAAATACAAAAATATACAGGCTACATTACTAAGTTTCAATACTATTTAATTTTTGTCACTTACGTAATAAACGTCTGTTTAGATCACATATTTCGATCGATTTTGTTCATATTCATTTTCATTTATCTTTGTAAATAGTCATATTCATATTAAAATAATTGACAAAAAAGATATGGCACTCCTAATTTAGAATTAGAAATAGGAACGGTTTATATATTTTACAAATTATCATTGCAGTTTGCACCACTTTTCAGGAACTCCAGTATCAAGTATAAAACTTGTTTACACCTTGTTTAAAACTAATATTTTTTCAAACATTGAATATTGTTACTCTATATTCTAATAGAAATCATTGTCGGATTATATCCTATCAATTTTGCCCCGTATATCAATACCAAATGCATATCGTACCCCATACAGCCTGGTTCTAAGATATCTATTTCTAAACGCATATCTTTTTAAAGAGGTTATTATACATTGTTGATAGCAATATTGATTCTATCTGAAATTTCGCCTTGTTTAACTTGTGTTGTACTCGTCCAATAAAATTCAGTCATGTATTTACCTCATACTATTACATGTTTTGAGTAGATTGTGAAAACTATATTTTGATAATTTCACAGTGATATTATAACAATTGTAGTTCACAGAGGCCGAACTATATTTGAATAAGGATTAATATTTTATATCACAGGACTCCGTTGTAAGTAAATGTGCATTATTAAGGAAGAGTATAAATATTAGCATATATCTTTTTAAAAAATACAAAATCAATGAAGTTTTTACATAATGATTTTTCAACGTGTAACTATGACTTCATGATTTGGTGAAGTTATAAAGAAGAATGCATGACATTGTCCGGCAGTAAATACAGTTGAAATGATTACAAGTAAACACCACGAAAACATAACCTTTCAATAAAATATGTCTGTCTTGCATGTTTTATCATTCCTTCTTGTTTTTGTCATTTGTGACCAACAGTTTTCATATATTTTCACTCTAGGTTATGCCATGTATGAAAACATTGAATCTTATGTGTACGCTGTAAAGTTTTGTTGTTATTTTTTTTCTAAAAATTTCTCCACCCACTTGGCTCAATAGGGAGTGCATTGGGGTAGTAATCCATGGGTCATTAATTCGATCCTCGGGCGAGACAAAATTTCTTCGTAACTGCTGCTTTTCTAACATTGAGTCTAATGGTCTATTGTCTATCAACACTGAGTCAGGAACAACGTGGGTTAAGTTGTCTGTCGTGTTAGTTATCCAGGAAAGCCGAATAGACAAAGCAAGCATTTATATAGGGTGAAAAGCAGAAAAACTAACACAGTACCTAAAAAAATTTAAGCCTATATGAGTCGGCTAGCTCAGTGAGGGTTACATCGCAAACAAATAGCATTCATGTAACAAGTCAAACGTCTTTAGATATAACACTGCGTAAAAACCTTTATCAGTGCTCGCCAATTTTTTTAAGCCAATTACCGACGAGGATTTTTCAAATTTTCAGGTTACAAATCTTAATAGAACAGATTTTATATAAACTGGACGTTTTATATTATAAAACGCAAGTGGGCGGAGCACTAAACCGGTTAGAGTGCATATTGGATGTTCTTCGTAAATAAGAAAGCTACAGTCGCTTCGCAAGCTCCGCTCCTTTTTAGCTTTCTTATTTACGAAGAACACCCAATATGCACTCTAACCTATACTTGATTAAAAAAGTTATGATTTTTAACTATTTTAGCAAGGTACATTATCCAAATTGTCAAACAAATTTCGACTGTATATAGTCTTACATGCATAGTTATTTTCGAAATTAAATGACATTAATTAACAATTTTATCAGTCCTGTTATAAAGATAATTAAATAAAATCAATCTTACTGGCACCGAATATATAACTATATACCAACGTTTTATGCGTACGTAATATATTGTAACGAAAAATCATTTAATAGGATAAAGGACCAAACGTAAAAAACACGTACAAATGTAAAATAAGAAATATTTTTTAGCAGAGTAATACGTTAAAAGTATAGTCAAAATATTTCTTTGAAGAATTGTTATTCAAAATAAAAACTTACGTTTTAGAACCTGACAATGTAATCAATTAACCAAAATGACACGGAATTGTTTTCTTGAATTTCAAAAAAGTCCGTTTAAAAGATATAATTTATTATCAATGTACGTTTTAAAACATTCAATTAAAATATGATACATTTGATTGGCTAAAATCACGTTGTTCATATTATTTTATATACATATACTGTATATTAAAAGTTAATGAAAGGACATGGAGATAATGATCAAAGCTCCAGGGGTAAATTAGCTGAAATAAATATATACGTCTACGTATGTACGTAAGTTATTACTCACTTATACATATATATTGACCTTTTGCCCACAAGTGTACTTTCATATGTTATTGATTCTGTTCGTACTTTAATAAATCATGCATATGCGATTCTAAACAGTGCATAAGTAAGGAAAGAAAGTAGACGGCAATTTGTTTTTCTTTATTTACTACGTCAACTACTTTTGACATGCGATAACCTTTAATAATCGGTTAGGACGCCTCTAAATACGAGTATATCTTATATTTTGTCAATTAAATCACATATTATACATATATCTACAGTCACAATAAGGACATATTACTATCATATTTTACTTTGTTTCTTGTACGTTAATGTTTGTCAATTTTGTTATTTAAATATATATCTTATCTCACCAGGACATATGATGTTTCACTTGTGAAATTAAACACCTTTTTATTAGTATCATCCATTTTTATTACGTCATTTTGTGATGTCATCCAAGAAAAGGAACTTTTTAATATGCGTACAACACAATATTAAAGTTGACCCCACCCCTCTATATGTTTTGTGGTCAATTTAATTCTATTGGTACTTAGTTGATTGGGTTGTTTTTTTTTAATATCAAAAGTTCGGTTTTTTGTTGTTGTTGTTTTTTTTTTTTTTTTTTTTTTTTTTTTTTTGGGGGGGGGGGATAGGGGTCAAGCTAACTGTTGGCTAACGCAATGTCGAGTGTATTTTTTCGTATGTAAAATACGTTTTAAAATATATAGTTTTCGAATGTAATATCACCTAAAACACGGTGTATATTCTGTAAAGCAGGTGTAGGAAAATAAAACAGTAATTGCACAAGAATAACGAAAATTATTGCAAACTCGCCTACAAAACTGAATCATGATTGTCTTAATTAAATAAATTTAATATACATGTACTTTCACAGAAAAAAAGAGTTTTAAGGAATGTCCTGCAATTTAATATATTTTGCGTTCCATTTTCATTGATATGTCTTCAGAACATAAATAAAAAATCACCATTTATCTGAATGAAAATAAAAAACTGAGTAAATTAATTTTTAAAAAATACCCTAAAGAAATTGATGTCAAAAGATGACAAATATTCATGAAGTTTAACACGAGAGCTCAGATTCTCTCAAGGCATTAATAGTACGTTACTGACTAAATAAAGAATAACAACATCTTCAGTTGTTTAATGTATATATATTACATTTACACAGACATTCAAGGTTCCTTTTACTATATTTAAGTTATCAAACGTATGTCCATGTATCTTTATTTACTATTCTTTCATCGCTTTCTACAAGCTCTCCGACATTGTCTAAGGGATTTGAAGTTATTTCCGTTTGGATCACAACCACCCCATAAGAACGCATGGCATTCCCCTGTCGAGGCGTTAAAATAATATCGCTCAATGGCTGCTTCGCAAGGACCGATTTTAACTGGGAGAGAGCAAACAAAATTTTTGCAAACACTTTTACATGCTTTCATTTTGATAAAATTGTTTCCATTGGATTGACAACCACCCCACAGGAATGGTTGACATTTATTCTTCAAAGGATTGTAGAAAAACCGGCGTTCCTTAGTTCCATGATCGTCACATGATTCGGTCTGTTTTGGTACTGAGCATACTGGGCAAGAAACATTTCCACAAGAACTTTTGCAATCGTCTTCTGTAAGAAATCGATTCATATTACCGCCACACCCACTGTATTTAAATATTTTATAATTGCAATCAACAGCATCAAAATACCAAAGGTCTAATTCAGTCATGCAGTTTCCTTTCTCTGGAGGAAGGTTGCAGACAGGGCATTGAATTTCACCACAAATATTTTCACATTCTTCTTTGGTCTCGTATCTGTTTTCGTTACCACCACAACCGCCATAAACAAACTGTTCACATCTACATGTTTGAATGTTGAAAAAGTAAGGTTTAAAATTACCATTACAAAGTCCGTGGTTTCCTGGTTTATTGCAAAAAGGACAAGTTGTATTTGAACATGAAGTTTCACACTGCTGAATGTTCATAAAGTTGTTGCTATTCCCACCACATCCGCTATAATTAAACTGTTTGCATTTGCAATCTAAATGATCAAAATAAAATCTTGACATAACAGCTTGACATGGACCTGTTTCCTTTGGCAAAAGACAATTTACTTCAACAACTGGTGCATCACATTTGTTAAATCCATCACATGTTTGAAAACAATCTTCGCGAGTCTTAAAATTGTTACTATTTCCACCGCTGCCTCCCCAAATAAACTTTTCACAGTTGCAGGTTTCAGTGTTATAAAAATATCTTGGTATATTGTCATCAAACGTTCCAGGGTTGGCTGGTTGATCGCAAAATACATGTGCATTGCATTCATTATTACTGCAATGTTTCTCACAGTTTGCAAGTGTACTGAATCGGTTTGCATTTCCCGCGCAGCCCCCGTATATAAACTTTTCGCATCGGCACGTTTCAGTATCATATCCATAGCTAGGTGTATGGGTTGAGCATACAACAGTCCCAATGGGATTGAAGGGTAAGTTGCAAATGTTTGTTTCCTTATTGCAATCGTAGCAACCACAGTTAATTTCACACCACTCTTTTGTGAGGAAATTGTTAGCGCTTCCGCACCCATTCCACTTAAAGGGCTCACATTCACATGACGTCCTGTTAAAGTACCATCTATCTAGATTCCAATCTGTCTTGCAATCATCAACACTACTTTGTGCTAATTCACACACAGAATTAGAATACATTGGGTTTTCGCACGACGCTTGACAATATGCAAGGTTAAAGAAATTATTGTCGTTTGGTTCACAACCACCCCAATCGAATTCTTCACATTTGCAAGTTGTTGTATTATAAAAATAGCGTGGTACTGAATCTTGGCATGGACCGAATTTAACTGGTAATACACAAACTGTAAAAAAAAAACACTTAAGTGATGTCATAATCAATTGAATACAGGTTACATGTTTACTTCACAAAACTTTTGTCTGTATTTTGAATTCATTTGAATGAAAAAAAAAAATTAAAACAAAACTTTAACGATCCTAGTAGATGTTTCTCATAGTAAAAGACACATTTAGCTTAAACGTGCTGATATAGTTTTCCCAAAAGATGTTATTTTGTGTGTCCTGTCACATTTCAAAAATGTTACTAAATGGCCACATAGCTGAGTCATCTGTCGCTTTAAATTTTGATATATTTATGACAAATTATTTCACATTCAGCACTACATTTGTTCAGATAATAAGCATCTTTTAAATCCTTTTCCTCATCCTGTAAAGTGAAACATTTATTTATTTCTATGGCCAAATGTGCCTTTGACATCTTCTAGCAAATATTAAATTCATTTTCATGTCTATTGAAACTTGCTTACCTTCAATCGGTTTTGGCTTATCAATGCAACATTTCCCAGCAGCGTCAGGATGATCTTTTTTGAACATGCATGTCGTGTCATTTGGACAACTTAAGCCAGCAATTGTTCCACATGACCCGTTCCTGCCATTGGGGCATGTCTCTTTTTATATTAAAAAAATAATTATGTAAGTAATGTTATTATAAACGAGGGCATTCAGGCTTTTTTAAACACATTTTTTACGTATTAACCAAGATATTTACATCAAGTATTTAAAATCTAGGATACTTTAAGATTGTATTCATTCTAAGTATGTTTAGCAAATAGGAAGTGTGGTTTATATCAGTACAATCAATCAAGTTCAATTTGAAACGATTGACATGTTTCACTCTTTTTTGTCTAATCTAACCTGTTCATAGGAGGTTAATATATGTGTATACTTGTTTACGACCGCAACATAAGCAAACGCATTTTAACCGGCACGAATTTGTCGCATTGAAGGTTCTATGGTTACCGCCTAATGAACACATCTGCTGATGTTTCCAAATGCATCATGGTTCAATGTTAGATTATGCTTATTCCAGAAGTGGACGGCAGCTTACACTTCCAAACCAAACCTATGCTATTACATTTGCAATTGTGTCGTTTTAGACGTTCTTAAAGCTTTCGTTTTCGTTTTTGTTCAATTTTCTTAAAATTAAAAAAACACTTCTACTGGTCTAGTCTCATATATCTTAATGTCAATTTGGTAAAACAATAACAAAAATCCAGCTTAACACTGGGCTCTGAATAGATTGTTGCTACTTAATATCGGTTCCTAACTCAGTAACACACGATAAGACCTCATTGCAATTCTGTGTGGATGATTTCATTATTTAAATTTACAGTAATGCAAAAGTACATAAAAATTCAACGCATCATGTTAATCTTTCATAACATTTGCCTATTACTTAAGAGTCAACAAATGGTCAAAACTAAAATAAAGTTATTTGATAGTGATAGCATTTGACAAGCATCATTTACGTAATAATGAATATTTTCGTGCTTGATTTATTACAATTTAACAATTCATTTTTAAAAGAACATAATGAATTCAACATAATGATGCATTATAAAAAAGAGCAATTTTGAATCATGAAACATCCGTAGGTGTGTTCAAGTGCCAAGACGTTTCTTTCAGTTACTAGGTTTACACTTAACCATCCCACTCACCTGGTAAGGGCGTCTCACATGTATGTTTACAACCATTGATACAACATTTTTGTGATCCTGGACACTCATTGTCAATTAAACATGCTAGCAAACAGATACCACCATCTTCTAGTTCAGGACATATTCCAGGTTTCTCTGAAATGTTTTGAATTAAATCTGCTTATTTTAAAAGATTACAAAGCTTACAGTATAAATTAAATGACAATAGTGAAACACATATTAATTTATTTCTTTACAGCGAATTTAGTATGAGAAGTCGTAATGCCAAGGTATACTTCAAGGTTCTTACTTTACATACGAACAGTTCACACAAAGATCCGGTGGCAAATCCGTGCCGTGTGGTCATGGTCTGCACTGTTCAGTAGTGATTTTGAACTTTTGGCTTACATAGTTTTATCCAGATTGAAAAATGTTACCACAATTAACGATTAAATGTTACTGGAGAAAATCCTTTTTACAATGAATCACACAAACTTAAAATTAACAATATCTTTGTACATGTGTATCTTAAAAAAGTAATCAAGCAAAACATATTTCCGAAGTTTCTCTGTTTTGTGTAGATGTTTCTCCGTCTGTGTGACAAGGGTTTTATTGGAACTGCTTTCCGTAAACGTTGCCCTTTAACACAACTCCTAGATGCATTAAGTACCTGGTCTACATATAGGGCAACACTCCCCTTCCGGTATAACATGGCCGTTCAAACAGCTAGGGCGTACGCATACTACCTGAGAACAATCTGGAAAAGATAGGATACTTGAAAAACAAACACACAAAACATTCAAATTAATTAAATCCATTAATAAAAAAATAATGTTTTTTGTTGTTTTTTTCTTTCATGAAGAGCGGAACGGTTAGTATTTTTTGTGTCTTTTGTGCCTCTCAAGTCCTTCAGGTAAAAAAAAAGTATCTTATTTATGTAAATACCTATTCTTTCCCTGGGTCAAAGAACATGATCCGTTTTCCTTGTGGACATATTTTTGCAAACCTATTGATCAAAGTTAATTTCAAATAAAACAAAAATAAAATTTTGAAATAAAAAATGAAATATGTTATGCACGACATAAGATTATTTTAAAAATTGTTTCAAATGCTGAAAAATACAAAAGCCTGACAGAGTAGAAAAAAACGTCCGTTAATCGTGCAGAATATATCAGTTTATTAAGAAAATACGTCAAAACTTATGATTCCGTTACCTAATACGGGCTTCTGGCATGTATGACCACAACCATTTGGACAGCACTTGTAATCGTCAATACAGTTACTGTCACTCGTGCAAAGCTCGACACATAATCCGAACGGTGGAGGTTCGGGACAAAGTCCAGGTTTACCTACACACATACATGAATAAAAAATGTAAATATGTCACGCATGTATCTGATTTCATAGGATTATTATAAAATTATTTTATCGGGGGCAATGTAAACAACAAAACTTCATTAATATTGTAGAGTAAATTTGATTAAATCTGCTTATATAACCTGCATCATAAATACTCACATACGTCAATGTGTTACAAAATAGTTAAAAAGAGTTTCTAATTCAAATATTTTTAAAATTATCATTTTCTATTTGTGCCATATTATAAACATTATCAAGTTAAAACGTAGATAGAGTTCCAAACACAATAATGACAATTATTTGTAACCACCATAACCGTTTTCCCCCCTCTCCGTTGCAAAGGGACTAGTAGAGGTGTGAATCTTCCCGAGTCACAGTTACACCTTAGTAAGTGCCTATTCCAAAAGTCCAAACAAAGATTAGCTAACTCATGAAAGTCTTCAACTTATAACACATATTGTGTTGGAAATATTAAAGATATCTCGTTTGTTTTTACAACAATCACCGCGGATTAAATAACAGGTGTATTGTTAATATACATATCTAACGTACTTACTTATTTCACCATGTTCATGTACTGCCACAACCTTCTTGCAAGGTACACCAAACAATATCAGCACAACTTGAAAGAGCAAACTGCACATGTGCATGTTAACTACATATGTTAACAATGCTTCAATTTGACTACAGATGATACCTCGTCTTTTTACCAATGTATCCATAGGTTTTTTTTATAGGATTAGCGACAATATGTTGCATGTATTATAAAAAATATAGTTATGTGACATTTCGTAAGTCATCAATGGATCGTATGTTATTATCCGTCATTTATGTCATCTGGTTAAGCTATGTTTGCATAAAAACTTGACATTTTGGCATGTGCGTGTTATACATTATTTTCGTTTTATACAGTTTATCTATTTCGGAAAAAAAGACATATCATTATTTTACGTCTAGCATCGTAACGTCAATGTTGGTAAATGACTCATTACAGTCTTTAAAAACTTATTCAGGATCATATGTCAACTTGTCCATCTCTTGTCAAAATTTAAATTAGAAAGTATCTTTACGAAAGTGCATTATTTTATTTGGTTGTTTCTAAGAAGAATTGCTCTACAGCGGTAAAGATTCCTGTGTATTGTAACTATGGTACAATAATGTTGTAAAAATGTAATTGCTTGTAGAAGGGACGCTTTGTAGATGTTGCATTGTAGTCTAACTAAAAGAATAGCACGCCCTAACGTCAATAAAACAATTAATTAAAAGCTAGTATAGGTGCATGTTTCCGTTTCTATTGCCAAGAAGAATACGAGAGTCACAGTGTCTTAATGAAGAGTTCGCCTGGTCGGAATGGAATCAGTATAATTAGGATTTTTTAGCACAACGAACGCACGTCATATTCACCAAGAACTTGATGTCCCAGCTATAACGTTATTCAATTGTACCTATTCAATACCTCACAGGTGTTTTATCTATTAAATACCTGACAAGTGTTTTATCAAATTGCTTCTCTTATTTTTTTATATTCACCGTTTAAATAGTCATCACATATTTATTGTTCTACGTCAGCACGTACACTCATGAATAAATCATGTGAATAATACAAAATATAAGACAGTAACATGTAAAACTTAAATAACAATTGTCAACAAGTTAATTGCCTATATGTGTGTCGCCAAGGTTAATCTCACGAAATCATAAATAACGACTTAGTGACATTTGTACAGTAACATGCTGATGTATTTCTATGAATCAATATTACCTTCAATATGTGTAATAGTTCCAACACCCTCCCAAGATATACACCTCTATATCATAACAGAAAAACTTTCTATTTTTTGTTGATGGAATGAGTATAATGAGAATAACTCTGTTATCACCACCTTCAACAACCTGGCTCTCATCAGAGAATATAACATTTTTCCACTGACTGTCTCTAAATAGTTAACCACCGTTTCTGTAAACACCATGACAACCTCTTTTTCATATTTTAAACTGTTACCACCAATGTCTTCTTTAAAAATCTCCTTTTTACTCTGTGTTTGTGTTAATGACGCTGTCCAGACGACAGATTGTCCTCTTGGATACTTGATTCAAAGCACTTTCATTAAATTTACATGTATTTTCACATAATGTGTTTCTCCTGTTCTTTTTTGCAAGTCTTTCTAAATCACGATAACCCCTCCCAGTAAGTAATGCAGGTCTGCCAGAAACCAAATGATTTATTTTTTATAAAATATTAAATACCATACTATAAGGTATATCCAATGTCTCTATTATTTTACAAGGTCTAAATCCTTTTTTAAATGCAAATCTACCATAATGTTCTTCTTATCAGGTGACAATTCTTGACCTTTCCTTCCAATTACTTGTTAACATAGAAATTATAATACATGTCATTGATGACATCATAAATGACATCACACCTAAAAGCATGTCTGTGCTATTAATATATACCTGTAGTATTTACGTCAACATCGATTGGCAGCATGTGATGTCAAAGAAACTTATCCTTCTGACATGCCCAATTAAATCCAATATGGCCGTCATTTTAGTCAATACTTATGGCATGTTACTGTAGCTTCACTTTCCTCTAGCAAAGTCGGCAAAGAGTATTCTTCATCTGATCAAAAGCATGTAAGCATCCCTATGTCAAATGAACAACAAAAACCTAGTGGCCGCTGTCCTTATTGGGGATATAGTGGTAGTTTGGTAGCTGACTGTATTTGACTGGACGGAAAATGAGGATTGCTTGCAGTAATGGATAAACACTGTAATTTGTTTACAATGTTTAATTAAAGCATACAGCCATAATCTTTCGTCAGTGTTTCGTTTTCAGAATTAGAATACCATTGACCTTTGTTTTTAGAATAACTGTTTTAATTACATATACAAACCTTTCTAGATATTTTGCACATTTATCCCAAAATCTATAGTCCATTAAATCGATGGGTTTTACGATAGGAAAAGTTATGCACGTGCTTTTGTCAAATTGTTGTTTTATTTTAGTACTCAGGATAAAAAAAACATTTGATGAAAAGTTTTATAGAAGTACGTTACATATACGCATACTAGTAATGGAAAGTTACTTGACTAAACTCTATAACATTCTTAATGACGAACAAATATGTCTTGTATTCATTGTCGCCATTCAAGGACGGTGACATACACAATAAACAGGACGTGTGCCGCCTGTCTGAAGCCGGTCAGAATGAAAAAATGCATAGCACATGAATAAAATTGACAACAAAAAGACCTCAAAATAGTGCGTATACGGAGCGCGCATTCCGCCATTATTTGTCGGTTAAACTGTAAAATTATAGGCTATTATCTTCATATACTAAGCTCGAAACCATGTTTTTAGGCTCAAGTGGGGTCATCGATATATGGATGATTGATTTAAATAAAGAAAAGTTAACTCTTGAAGACTATTTATCAGGAAGGAATCTGATTTGACGAACTATATTTAACGGATTAAAACATACGACGACTGTCAGTTTGATTATTGAAATCCTCTATGTTTTTATTAGCAGTTCAAACTGCGCTCGTATCCATATAAGTGTTTTTACATACATATGTTTCGTCAGGACAAGTGGAATATCGTAGTTTTAACTTAATATTATTATGCCTAACGTTTTTAAACTGTCATACCTACACCTAGTTTTTGTTGAGCATACCGGTTTTGTACTAAGAGAAAATATTAATAACTGGTTTACAGTTTAAAAAAAACTTAGCAAATGTTTAGAACCAATCATGAAAGCAAGTGATGTTTTTCCACGGAGTACATCTCAATATACCTTATTTTGTAATTTAGTAAGATAACATAAAATGTAAACCGATTGTCAGCCCATATTCTTTCTTGAACGGCCATTCGATTTTATATGGTCGAACTTTTTTTAAATGTATGATAAATACGACCATACATTTTGTATTTTGATAGCAGGGAAACATTATCAAACTGAACTAAATTTAGTTGAGATAAAAGTGTTAATCTGTCCAGGATAATTCCTGAAGTGGCATTAGTGATTCCTATCTTATATTTATTTTAATCAAATTAGACAAAAAAACTTACAATAAATTAAAGATTGAACTAACAGGACAATAAATACACAAATTCAAATCGTTTGTGTAATCAAAAATAATCGTTCAATAAGGGAAGATATTTATCCATGAAACATGTCCATTAATTTTTTATATTTATATTCGTTATGATATTTAGTGTCTTCGGGCGATCAAATAACGACTAACCTATTTTCTTATTACACGAAAAATAAGGTAAAACTGGCTGCGCTAAAGTACAAATAAGTAAGACTTCCTAAGCGTCTATATAGCTGTTACTACGGATTTTCCAGCGACCCTTTGAAGAGTGGATAATGCTTCCGACCGTAAATGTTTTTTTAGGTAAAATCCAAGAAGGGATATCCAAATGCTTTGAACTGCTTATTCAGCATAAAAGCACAAAATATCGTCATTATTATGCCACTGACATATAGTATAATTTAAGCTCGTTAGAAGTATGTCTCGCAATAATTATGTATTTGTTTTTCAAACAGTGATTAATACGGTGGAAGTAACGATCCTTAAAATAGAGTCACTGATATTACTTTCAGAAAACTCGCTTGTAATGAATTGAATGGAAAGTATTTATCTTAACTTTATTACTCAGTCCGCTTATCTCATTAGGAAGAGCATGTAATCAAAGTATTGCTGGATTGAAATATTTTCTCCGTGTCAATTTACCTCTTGTCTGTTCACTGTTGATAACGATTACTGATCGGTCACTTGCGGAGATATTGATAATAGCTTGATATCTAGGTTAAATGATATCTAGGTTAAACGGCGGCAAATATATGGCTAATTAATTTGCATTGAAATCGGCGTTGTAATCATAAGCAATCAAACGTTTACAAAAAGACCAACACATGCATGTTTGTTATTTACTTTATTTTTATAATTGGTGATTTAAAACGCATTTTTATAGACTGAATACTAATTATATTTATTTTTCAAATCCATCAATTTTTTTTCGACATTTCTCACATCAGGATGATATGAATTGAAATACCCAAACATTTTTTATCAAAGAAATTTAAATTTTGTTTTGTTATTGTAATAGAATGATTTAAGATATTAAGGGAGTGTCTAGTCTGTTCGATGGCATATTTTCATTGTTGATTCCATTCAGTAGCTTAGTATACACCATGATTTATTTAGGCACACCTCTTTTTGCATGCTTTTGCTGTTTTAAAATTATTTCCGTTCGAATCACAGCCTCCCCAATAGAACACTTCGCATTGCTTTGTTTCGGAGTTATAGTAATACCTCTCAATACGTGCTTTACACCGCCCGATCGCTGCTGGAAGTGTACAAACGGCTTTCTTACAAGCTTTATTACAAAATTTTTTACTTTCAAAATTATTTCCATTCGGTTGACAACCTCCCCATATGAACTTTTCGCATTTATTTTTTAGAGGATTGTAATAGAATCTTTTTATTGCCGCTTTACATGGCCCAACCTTTTGAGGCTGTAAGCAATCTCTGATACATGGGTATGAGCCACACATGGCTTCACATTCCTGTATTGTCTCATACCTATTACCGTTACCCTTGCAACCACCGTAAATAAACTCCTCACATTGACATGTATTTGTGTTGTAGAAGTAACGTCTCATAGCAGCTTCGCACGGGCCAGAGTCTGCTGGAAGATTGCATACAGGACATTCCGTTTTTCGACATGCCTGTTTGCACTTCTTCAACGTTGGAAAGTTATTGCTATTTCCTTCACAACCTCCATAATTAAACATTTTACATTGACATTCTATTTTATCAAAATAATATCTTTTTACTACAGCGTCACAAGGACCGACCTCTTTTGGTAATAGGCAGTTTGGTGTTGGCTTCACACATGGTTCTTTTCGGCAAGATCTCTTACACTGTTGAAGAGTTTTGAAGTTGTTGCTATTTCCTCCACATCCAGTCCAAATAAATTTCTCGCATTCGCATGTCTGTTTGTTAAAGAAATACCTATCTATTTGATCGTCGCAACTTCCTTCATCAACTGGTTGGTTGCAAGACACAGGTGCTTCACACCGATGATTTCCGCATCGTTTTTCACATTGCGCAAGCGTTTCAAACCGGTTAGCATTTCCTCCACAGCCACTGTAAATGAATTTTTCACAACGGCATGTTTTGGTATTGTATCCGTAGCTAGGTATGTACGCAAGACATACTATTGGACCTCCACCATCAGGTTTGATCGGTAAATCGCATATATGAGTATTCTTCTCGCAATTATGACATCCACAGTTTGACTCACATAATTCTTTTGAGATGAAACTGTTAGCGTTACCACACCCATGCCATTTATAGGGTTCACACTTACAAGAAGTGCTGTTGTAACGCCATCTGTCAATATTCCAATTAGTTTTACAATAACCTTCTATCTTCTCTAATGCACATATTGGATTAGGTTTCTCGCAGGATGCTTGGCAATATTCAAGGTCAAAGAAATTGTTCCCATTCGGTTGACAACCGCCCCAGGAGAACAATTCGCATTTACACGATGTTGAATTGTAGAAATATCTAGGAATTGCAGCTCTACATGGGCCTATTTGTAACGGTTCTCTGCATGCTGGAAACATAGGAAATTACGACAAAATCAACAGTTTTAACATGTGTTTTTTTCGGAAAGATCAAAGTTAAAAATAAGAATTATTTTATTTCCTGTACCAGTTATCATTTGTTTAATTTGTTGCCTTAATGCAAAGTTTAATTTGCTTTACTTTACTTTAAAATATTTGCAATTCGATACTTTTACAGATAAGGATATTTTGGGACAGACTTTGTTTAATTGTACACTGTGTCGGTACTTCGTCCATTTCACCTAAATTATTTTTTGTATTTGCAATGTTTTATTATTTAAGTACCTGTGATTTATTTAAGGATTTAAACACTTGAATTGGTGCTGATGTCTTACAGGTAACAAAAATCTGTCAATGTCCGAAATTCAAACCGATTTCCTTATGTAAGTTACATTCTGGATTCCTGAACAAAATACGTTTTGTGTCATATTTTAAGATTTGTTATAAGAATTTTGTGACCAGTGACATTTTCACATTTACAATATGAGCGCGCCGTACACAATGTGGACATGTCTTGCAAAGTTCCATCAATACACAAGTTAAGGTTTCTGTCTCAGCATATATTTTCTTTCTGATTCTTATCATCAGAATGTCTATTAAACACGTTTAAATAACAATATTTAAACAAGAATTACGACCGAAATATATCAGGCAAAGCAAATTTTCGAAGATAACGTCTTGAATCTGAAAACTGTTTTTAAGGAATTACATCAAATATCGAGTAAAAGAAATATATATTAAAACGCGAGTCACATTGTTCTATAACATTTAAATCAATAAGCAACACTTTACAGGAATGTCGGAAAAACAATGATAACTTGCTAGTTTACATTCTGAAAGAACGCGTGATTGTTTCGACAAAGTAATCAATGTTAAGTAAAATATGATATAAACAATATTGTTCGAAAACTATTTTATTTATAACTGTTTTACCTGATAAAGGTTTCGGTTCTTTGATACAACATTTCCCTTGTGCATCGGGGAAACTTCCCATGAACATGCACTCTGTAGTATCAGGACAAATGTTCCCAGCGATTGATCCACAAGTACCATTCTGTCCATTTGGACATATTTCTATTAGAAAAAAATATATTTCATTTTAAAGCGTGACCAATACGGTTAAAGTAACAAGGAAACTTCCCAAAAAACTGTTGATACACTGAAGGACAGGTGAGGTTTTGTTTTTAAGGGTGTTAGCTCTAAAATCAGGTGTTATCGGTTCGAGACCTACTACGGCGATGTTTTTTATATGAATCAGTACCGGTTACTTCAAGGACGCGGACTCGAAAGTTGTTCCAATTAGCCACAAGCTCGCAGTGTAATATAAGCTATAATATAAAACAAAATCACAAAAAATACAAATAAGCAATAAATACACATATAGTACAAAATCATGTAGATCAACCCGAGTTTTATCAGGTCTCGAAAGTTATATGATTTGAAAAGAAAATGGGTAATATGAACCTAACTTTAAGACCGGGTTTAAATTTTTAGGTTTAGTTATTAATTGTCATATTTAGGTAGTTATACTAAGACGCCAGAGATACTTGTCAGAAGAGCTTTATCACCTGAAGCAGGATCTTGGCACGTATGACCACAGCCATTAGAACAGCATTTCTGATCCCCAAGACATTCATGATCCCCCGAACAAGCTTCCAAACATATGCCAACCATTCCGGCTACATTAGGGCAATTTCCTGGTTTTTCTTGAAAAATAAATTATTTTTATATAACTGTTTCTCTTTTTACAATGAAATTATTATAACAATAACCAAGATTTATATCTCATAACAAGTGAATGTAAAATAATGCAATAATTATGAAAATAAGTAAATGGAATGAAAAAGTTAGTAAGACTGTATGTATTTTACAAGTGTCAATGTTTAAAAAAAGGGACATGAAAAATACAAATAAAGTAGATAAGCAATTGAAGTACTCTGTAAAAGTAAACTTTTTCTTTCTAAATAATGTATTAATTGTGTCACTAGTAACATAATTCTCACACATTGCCTCACTGTAAGTGTCGCCACAAGTTCTGACTTTTATCAGAAATTTATAATAAAGCTCACGCAATTAAAAAGTAAGGTATGAACCTATTACGAACGTAAAAAGAATGTTCTTAACAAAAACAAAACAAAAAACATGATAATAAATGTTTTGGTGTTTCAATACAAATATATGTATCAATTTTAAAACTGATGTATTTACACATAAACTAAACTTATAGGTATCTTTATCTTTCATCTTTAAACAAAGAAAGCATTTACTTTACTGATATTGGAGTGTAAAAATATGTTCTTATCATAATTGAATCATCCTATGTCAGAAATTGATTTATAAGATCCTAAAATTACTCTAGCTAGTTATTTTCGCAAAATAAACAAAACGCATATTAAGTCAATTGTCAAAGAGCTTTAATTTCATCTTTATGCTATACATATTTTGTAGATGTCAACACCGTCTTCACATTTCTGTTTGATTTATTTCCTTCTTTTCATAAAAAAGAATCATGTTTCATCAGCTTCAGAAATGGGTTGCTTTTTCTTCTTTTAGGGCTGTTATTTATATAACAAGCAACATATTATTCCTTTGATCTTTTCTGCATACAACATAAATTGACTCCAAACGGAATCCAAACTTTTAAACTTTGTCACCTGACAAACAAAATGGTCTGCATTTTCAAGTCATTGACTGCCAAACGTATATACATGTCATTTCATAAGACAGTTTCATGGGAGTCGCTTAAGGAAATTAAGTTAGAAATAACGTTTCGTTTTCTGCATTTCAAAAGTTTCAACATGATGTTTCTAACTCGAAATTGTATAATTTGAACTCAGCCTAGGAGTCGTGTAGCTTGCATAACCAACTGCCTTCTATGGACAGGCTCAGTTACACCGATTCTACAACGATCTCAATTTGAGGTATTGTAAGAAAAATAAAACTCATTAGGACATATTTATAAATAATGTCAGTGTAATATTTTGATTTTTTTTTAAGTTACCTTAACAGAATCCAGCTTAAAAAGAGGAAATCATAAATAAATACCTATTTTAATTGCATTTATGTGATACGTTGTTGTTTGGTCGCGAAATATGCACGAGGACGTTTACGGCTTGAATAAACCGTTGGGATTTGAAAATGAGTAGTCGAATGCTTTTCCATGATTTTTAAATATCCACAGAGACAAAAATAAAATTGTGAAGGATAAATACCTTAAATCTTCACGCCGATGAAATGAAATTAAAAATGATTTCTACTACATACATCGTTCTGGAATATACACTTCTGAAGCTACGGTAAATATGTATTCGTGTGTACGACATGTAGGTGATTATATAACATTTTATCAGCATTCAGTTACTTGTTAGATTCATTTCCTTATGTAATTTTAAAGGGGAAGTAAAAATATAATTTGACTGAACTTGTAATAATATGTTTCATTTGATTTTGAATGCCATGAACAGTTTTTATAAAAAGAACGACTTCTATTCAGACACGAACTTTAACTTACCAAATGACATGTCACTTTGTATATATTTGTATTACTTATCAGATTCTTTTGGTTGTTTTACGAGTTTCAATCTTAAAGTAGACTCTAAATTCTTAAATAGCCTTGTAAAACAAAGAATCTCCTAATACTGACTATACTAACATTGTAAAATAACATTACCTGGCTTGCAAACTGAGCAACATTCTCCAACTGGTATGTAAGAACCATGCAGACATCGAATAGGTTGTTGACAATCAACTAGTCTGCAATCTTGACAAAGATATAGTATAATAATTATAAGATTTTGGTAGATCTTTAGACAGAAAAATATTACATTTGTGTACAAGATTCAGTTAATATCATTATACATTTTATTTGTTTATACATGTTATATGACACAAAGACAAAATACGAAGTGTTTAAGGTAAAAGAACCTGTACAACAGTAAAACCCAAAGTCTACTAGTAATTTAAGAATTTTAATTACACATATTACCAATGCCTGGATCCTGACATGTATGACCACATCCATTAGAGCAACACTTCTGGTCACCAGTACAATCATGATCACCAGAACACAATTCCACGCATGCACCAAATCCTTCGGGTTTTATACAAACACCTGGCTTCTCTAAAAGATGATATGTTCATTTTATGTAAGAAATCGATCATTTTTTGTCTTTTATTTTCATTTACTATTATTACGCCCTGAATCTGCTTCAATATACCTTACTTTGAATTACAAACAATCGATTTGAAAGTTTGGAGATTTTATTATAAAATACAAAACAATATTAGCTACTTACAGCAGAGAACCTGGTCATATAAATTTTGATGTTTTTGAATAAAATATACAGGTTTGTAGTATGAACCAGATATTTTACACTTATTACAACTTGTTTCTAAAAGCAGACTTAATTATTTGACAAAAACTAGATACCAGATTTCCTCCAGTATTTTTATGACTTCGATTCTTTAAACAACACTGATGAAAGTTTACCTTTATTGCAAATAGGGCAACAATTGCCTTCAGGTTTATATGAACCAAACAGGCATCCGATAGCTGGGCATGGGACCTGTGAACAATCTGAAACAGAATAAGATGCCGTTTGAATGTGTAGCAACATCATTTTATGATAAGGACTTTTGTTTGTTTTGCATATGGGATCTATAAAAATACAATTTCAAATAAAATTGAATCGCAATTAAAAACTAAGAATGAAACGGTTGTACTCTTATATATCAAATGGTTTGACCATAAAAATAACCCTGAAACATCTTTCAGATAAAAAAAAAACATAGTATTTCGATACTTTGCATATTTTTATTATAATATTAGATTAAGTTGAATATATACGGGTTAATTTAGTGACTCAATTTAATCGATCGGCATTCCTAATTGCATTTGTTACCATTCTCTCCATAAGATTCTTTGATAAATAACTTCTACCAATTAGTCAGTTTAATATGTTATGTACCAACTGGTTATTCTTAAATGTTATTTGCAAAAATAATTTTAATAAATGTTACCTGGCTTGCAAGTGTCGCAACATTCTCCTTCTGGTGTATAAGAACCAAAAAGACATTTGATTAGAGGACACAGAACTGTTGAACAATCTGTAAAAATAACAAATAATGACTTTTATAATCAAAGAAGGTTATTAGAAGGACAACTTTTATTTTGTTATTTTGGGTTAGGTTTGCGCACGTGTTGGTTATACACTTTTTTATGCCGACATGTTTTAAAGTTTCAAGTTTTATTGTTTCAAGTTTTATTGTCTATATATCCCAGTTTGCATATTAACAATACAAAAATATGAGACAAATATATATTTTTAATAATAAAATAGCCGTGTCACGACAAAACCAACATAGTGGGTTTGCGACCAGCATGGATCCAGACCAGCCTGTGCATCCGCGCAGTCTGATCAGGATCCATGCTGTTAGCTTACCAACTCTATTACAAGTGGAAAAACTGACAGCGAACAGCATGGATCATGATCAGACTGCGCGGATGCGCATGCTGGTCTGGATCCATGCTGGTCGCAAACCCACTATTTTGGTTTTGTAATGACGCGGCTAAAATGATAATAAACGGTCACGTAAACATGTGAGGGAAACACTGTATGAATATTGGCGTTATTCATCATATACATCCTGTTTCATAAACTACGTTATTTAAACTGGCTTTGTTATACCGCATAGTTACATAATCAATATTGAAATATGAGAAATAATCAGGATTTTGTTAGAATTATCAAACTGTATGTAAAGGTAGGCTATATCATAGGAAACTATCTAAATTTTGACCACTTCTTATATGTTTGTGACCCGATGGGGACATTCTGATACGTAACTGGTGACATGAGTAAAATACACTTGAGGTCGTCAAACTTTACTCAACGAGACTTATAAAGAAACGAAATTTGGAAAAAGAAAATGTACACGTATGATTATCTTATTGATGCAGTCAAACAACTTTGTGTGAATTGCTTGCTCATTTCTTAAAAATATAAAATAAGAAGTATTACACCAATAGTGGATTTCGGAAATTGCAGTGTTTTTATAAATTATATGCACTTCCCGCTTCAAATTCCAATAAGCATTTCTGCTCCGTATTCGAATTCTATGCATCTCATAAACGAGTTATAAACTAGAAACACGCTCATAGGACTTGCATGCCTACACAATCTACTGCTCTGTTACAATTCTTAAGGGCATCGAGAACATACAGGACAGTGATAAGGACGGACAAAGGGCTAATCTAATTGTCCTTCTTAAACTATCAAGATCTACCGATTAATGTAAATTTTTTAGATATTTAAAAATAAGATATTCCAGCATAGCGTCATCAATTCAAAATCTGAAATTATATATCGCAACGAACAATCAATTTTAAAATTATTTTCCTGGTGACCATCATTTTTTTCTTCAATTCTCAAGAGAAATATGTTTTTACCTGGTCCACATACAGGACAACATTCTCCAGGTGGTACATGCGTCACTGCACAGTCAGGTATTAAACACGATACTGCTGAACAATCTACAGATATTTGCATAAATAAAACAGTTAACAATAATTTCATATCTATCAAACTCTCTTGAACAGTGGATAGTGTAATTATATGTTATAGTTTCACGGTGAGATTTTTCACTGGATAGGGTGTCCTGCTGGATATATAGCCTGTTTAATATAAATCGTAACAAGAATGTTGGTACAAAAGTGGACAAAGGCTTAACGTTATATGGCAGAGAACCGTTTTCGTGATATTGCCAAATTGTGATTTTTCAAATGCATATCGTACATCATCTAGTCTCATTTCCATTTAAGGTTAAATAAATATATCAATTCCTTATTATATCAGAAGTAACAAAAGTTCTGTCAAAATGCCAAATAAATATGAAATAAAGAGGTAATAAATAATACTGATACTAGTGGACTCGTACACAGCTGTAAAACGTATATAACACTCTTCTAGCCCCTCATCTTATTTAAGTTTGACAGTTGTGTACTCGTTCAATTATGTATAATATCCTAATAGTTTATTTAACATTGTGAAATATGGTTAAAGTGCTATCAATTTAATAATCTGTCAAAAAAACACCATAAACCTGGCACCGGGCGTTGACATGCAAGCCCACAACCGTTTGGACAACATAGATCAGGACCTGTACAGTCAAGGTCATTTCTACATGGTTCAAATTTTATAAGTTGGCATATATTTTCCGTAAAATTCTGTACTGGTGGACATTTCCCTGGCTTTTCTGAAACATTCAACATCGTAGTCTAAAATGAAGGTGTCTAATATATTTGAGATCGTAAACAATGAGATAATTTAAGACATCACAATGTTTTTGTCGAATAATGTACAAATGTCGTAACTAAAAGCTTGCAAAATGATAGATATTGACAACTGGTTATTTATAAAAACCTTTAACGTCTAATCTAATGTAATAAACGGTGAAATTTCATACAAGTATATCAGTCATTTTGGAGAACGTGCGCTAAGTAAACTACAGCGCCCGTACGACAAGACTTTTACGCATTATTAATCTACTACGGCATACACAATTTGTTAAGTATATACATACTCGTATGTTCATTTCACAAAAGTAAATTATTGTCTAATAGTTTATTATGTTATGTATAAATTTTAACTAGTAAATCAAATTAAAAGCAAATTAACCCGAAAATGATTTTATATTTTCTGTAAATTGCCATTAAAAAGAGTGCTAATTATTTGAATTTATGTTTGTTCATAATTACAAACAGTTTTGATCTTTCATTTAAATCTAATAAATATTTCTTGGTATTAAATAAAATGTACTTTAGCTTACCTAGCGGGGAAGTTGACAGTGATAACGACACTGTCATCAATATTGTCAAGCTATACAAAATCAGCATGATTTTCTAAAGTTAACTACTTTTCACAGCGATTAAGATAGCTTCCCCTTAATTAAATTTGTTTTAAAAAAATCCTCCCTCTATCTGTGTTACTTATTTTCTAGTTCCAAAATGAAGATATATCGTATAGTTAATGAGTATTATGAAGATAAGAACACCATGTGTTGCAGGTATTTTTATCAAGCTGTTGTTAGTCAACAGAGGGATAAGAAGCTCATATTGATGAAGATAATCTTCTCGAATTACTCTATAAACAGCCAGCTGTGAACCTTAACCTTAGTCATTCTACGCACAGCAATAAAGGGTTTAGCAATATACGTCCGATACTGCCACCTAATTCATTTCGCTTATAATATGTCCACGTGAATGAAACGTACTTACTTTAGGGATAATAAAAGAATGTTTCAAACCCCCGGTAATGAAAAAAAGTTATAGCATTCTAATTCCGATACAGCTAACTTGATTACTTTGTGTTAAATATCTTTGCATTGTACCACAGTTTTGGGACCTTTCTGTTGAAAATGTGTCATACATACAGTGCGTTAACTGCAGTGCATAAATTATATAGGTTACCCGCACTCCAGAGCGCTAATTTTTTTCTACGGGTTACTTATTGTAACATCAATGGAAGGGATGTTGATAGAAATATCATATTATGATGTTCATTCATTGTCTACTTTTTTCTGGGGTCTCATATTGTGGCAACAAGAGAAGTGTTTTTATTTTTATCTATGATACAAAATGAAAAGAACATCTAAACACTCGGCAATCTGAATACGCTCCCTCGTACACATCAGATAGCCTTTTGTTTCGATGCCCTTTCTATTACTTAAGGGATTGTGAAAGAGTATTGGTGGTGATGATTTTGTTGGTGGTTGTTTACCCTAAGGATCACAGCAGTTAGTCGCATTGAATTAACAACAGCACAGTTCACTCACTACATCGTTCCTGGGCAGGCTGTCAAGCATGCTACCAGCACTAGTTAAAACAGTTTACCTGGGACTGTTAAAGCAAGTTTCAAGTGTGCTTTTGATGTTATGGCGGCAATGAGTCGTCCATAAGAAAGATTGCTTGTAAGACTATAGTAGCACTCATATTTCAAATGAATGCGAACAATATAATGCGGTGTCATGAAAATGATGTGTTATGTAATCAATCACATTTTTGAAAAAGTATCTTTGCTGAATTGTTAAATTAAAACGCGTCTAGTATAATGTTAAGTTCTCTCATACCAAATATAGATGGTATTATTGCAGTGTTATTGAAATAATGGTTTTCATAAGGCTTATTAAATCAGTGTATTCTTACTAGATTTAATCGCTTTTTAACGAAACAAATATATTCTAGAGGTATGATCAAACTGTCAGTAAATAATCATAAAAGCAATGCTCTAAAATATACCATAACATTTAATGAAATAAAAACAAATACATCGCCTCTTTTAACAAATGTTATAAATTGGAGTTACATAACTTTCAAAATCCTCAGTTGGTGAATAAAATACTCACTAAAAAAATTGCTGCTCAGGGTATGTTTAAAATATATATGGCAAATGAATCATGTGCATAGTTTAATGTTTATGCAATGCATTTTTAAATAATCAGGCAAACTCTTTTGTAGGATCCTGATAGAAGTCAACATAATATATTGACAACAATAATCTTTTGATGAAAACCATAAATAAATAAAATAATGTTACCTGGCTTACAATAAGGGCAACATTTCCTCTCTGGTATAAAAGAACCATGCTTACATTGAATAGGTAGACATTCAACCAATGTGCAGTCTGAAATGAAAAACCTTGCTAAAAGTATCACAAAAATGTTGCGTTTTTAGAAGTAATAGATTCTGAAGCTGCACACAAGATTATGTAGTCAGTATCACATGACTGCCTCTTTTCGTTGCATTCGCATTGCATTGAAAAAAGTAACATAAGTGGTACAATGTATGAGTTTGTAAAAGAAATTTAATTTTGTAGTTTTCTGCTGGTTTTGAAATCATAGGATATAATTACATTATTTTGCAATCAAATTGTAAAAAAAAACAAGAATTACGTTTTAATTTAGTTTTCATCACCAATAAACATTTGATGTTACATAACTTTACTATGCATTGAACAACCGCATCTTCCCTCCCTTTGCTTATCGGCGATGTACTAGTATTTCGAATGTCTATCGAGAAGCCAAACTAGCGTGGACGTAGTTCTAATGATTTTGAAAGCACAGGGTATTGCTTCAATTTAGAGGCATAACAAACTGTAAAGCTATAGAGCTAACACGTTCAATAATTCAGTATTCAATCACCCAAAGGCTTCGTTCATCCGAATGCGGGAAACTAGATTGGATTGTTAGCCCCATCTCTAAGTTTCCAATTTGACTACCCTTAAATTTAAGGGTAATGCATAAGGATGGTTTACCTTACATAAATTGTACATGTACCAAAAGTTAAGCAAAAAGTATGACAAAAGTATTTTTGTTATTAATATTACTAGTGGCAGGATCTTGACATGTACGACCACATCCGTTAGAACAACATTTCTGGTCACCAGTACAATCGTGGTCACCCCAACAAGCATCTACACATGTACTCAAAGCTGTTGCAGTAGGTTTTGGACATATACCTGGCTTCTCTGAAATTTAAAACTGTTAATATTAGTCATTTATATGCAAGTCCTTAATTATTAAAGTAGTAAATGTTAATTTTCATGTTATTAGTCGTTAATGCGAAGAAAGAAAAACAACATAAAAGTAGTATGGTAATAATTTTGACATATACATTAAACATATCAAGCGAGTATATCTTATTTGTGATTTTGAATTCTCCGGATATGTGACATGAATACGTTTCTTTCATTTTGTTCATATAGAGACATTTTGTTTCTTTTTTTTTAGAATAAAATCAACATTCTATTTAAATCATTGCGAAAAAAAAATAGCCACTATGACCTACGGCCCTCTTGGTCGAATTCTACGCATCAAAACTCCAAATCGTTGTTAAATAGCCGATAAACACCCAAGACCGATATTATTTCTTAAATAATTCTTATGGAACATTAATTACACTGTACCATTGGATGACGCATTCATGAATATATGACCAGAAAGTTTATATATACGAAAAGAAAGCTTATGGTATGGTAACACTTTAAATTGACTCGATACTTGCTTTTGCCTGTAAACTGGCCTGCGGAGTTAGATAGCTGAAAGGTAACGAAACAAAATAAGAAGAGGAAAAGGAAAAAAAAAAAGAAGAATAAACGGGTATTTACATACCTAATTTGCAACTAGTACAACAATCTCCTTCAGACGCATAAGTACTATTCTCGCACCACCTTAAACAACGAACAAGTCTACAATCTAAATTAAGAAACAAACAACACACACATAAATATTCTTGTGCTATTTCTACGGGCTCAAAAATTCGGGGGGAAATATAGTTTAATGTGTATCCAAGAGGCTTATTCAATATATTATGCAACCAATCTTATAAAATCAGAATAAGTACCGAATAAAGTGTTAAGCAATATTTAATTCATACAAATAAGACCTAAGACCGGTTTGCTTATGGCAGGCAAATCACAGAGAAATAATCTAATAGACGGACACAGCGTGTAGGCAAAAGCTTGGTGTGCTGAGATATATAAGTGTTTTTTTGCGCTTGGAATAAGATAAACCAAATAATTCAGAATCCTTCATTGATTCTAATTTCATGATCACTTGAATATTTACAAACTTTAGATGCACAAATAATAAAAAAAACAGGACAAACTGAATAAAAGATCTTACATAATATTAAATACATAGCATAGTACTTGAAGGTCTTTTAATAATTAATCCAGTCATATAACGTGAATTTTGTCCCGATTTCCCCTTGACTGTAGCAAAATCCAATGAGTAATTCACTTAAATAACCAGATAATGAATATCATAGTAATAAGATTACACTTTTTCTTACATTAAGAACATAGTCATGTACTTTCATCTATTTAATAGCATATATCCTAATCCGCCTATGAACATTCATACTCAAATAACGCTTTGTAAGTTAGTTATTTTTACTTGTTAAGTCCATTACACTGAATGAATATCGGTCAGTCGTTTATAAGCCTTAGCTTTGCGCTTTTAAATAAATAAACACAAGTTTATTTTGCATAAAAACGATGTAATAATCAATATATATTTCAAATTATCATAAGGTTACCTTGTCTACAAACAGGGCAGCACTCTCTTTTTGGTGTGTAAGAACCAAAAGGACACTTGAGAAGTGGGCAAAAAACTTTAGTACAATCTGAAATTAAGAAATACAGGTAAACGATTATGATGATTGTAATAAGGCATTTGCTTTATTGCTTAATCTTAAAATTGATTGCAACTGAGCAATTTTATATAGAAAGATACCATATCCCCCACAAACAAAAACAAAAACAAAATTTTTAAAAAGTGCTATGAAATCCAACAAATTGTTGTAATGGGATACTTGGGCCATTTTAATTAATCAATTACGGATATGTGAACTTGTTATTTGGATTATTGTAGAAATTTGTTTCAAAATGTCGCCAAATAAAGAGTGATTGATAATGAATGAGTATTCTTCTCAAATAATCTCTGAATGATACGTGTAAAGAAAGCTTAATACCTGGTCCACATACAGGGCAACATTCTCCACGTGGTATGTGTGTCACTGAACAGTCAGGAACAAAACACGATACTGCTGAGCAATCTATGGGTATTAACATTAATATTATAACTTTAGCACAAACAATACTTTGATATGTAATTACAAATTCTAAGCCTTAATTACATGTTTTACACGCCTGAATTGCGTGAATTGGAGTTCTGACAAAATATTTCTGAAACGAGCTTTTCATCATTAAAGAATGGTATAGTCATCATTTTAAAGAACTTTGGATAAGTATATTTGATTACGTTTTTCTGGTTTAATAGGTGTTTAAATATATTAACTTTGAAGTCATGCGTTTAACGCAGTGCAATATGTAATCGTGTTCTGTTGTTGTTGTTGTCGTTGTTGTTTTGTAGTTGTCGTTGTTGTTGTTTTCAACATAATGTTGCCATACTAGATCGTATGTTTGCCGTGTAATTCTCATTTTGATTATAAAGAGAGTTCTGATTGTAATGGTGTGTTTGGCGAAACACGGAATGTATCTGCACAGAAGTGATATATAGAACTGTGTTTGTATTTGTGCTAAACGACAATGTATTTTCACAGGATTGAGAATTTGTGAACAATGTAATTGTACCTTATTCTTTTTAAGGAATGACTCTTAAAAAGCAAACAACTACTTTAATGTTTCGGTTTTCTAAATATCCATATTGATAGAAACAAAATCAACCAAGAAACGACACTTACCTGGTATTGGGCGTTGACACATAAGCCCACAACCGTTTGGACAGCATATATTAGCACCTTCACAGTCACTGACATCTGTACATTGTATAAAATCAATTAGGTTGCATTCTTCTTGTGTAATATTCTGTACATGTGGACATTTTACCGGCTTGTCTGAAATATTAAAAACAATCCAGCGGTCGGAAGACTGATGGTGTTTTGACAACTGGCCATATTTAACCTGGTAATAGTAACGTTGTTCATTGATAAAGTAGTTCATTAAGAGTTCTCGGTCGAGGGAGTCTGGGTCGCCTTATAGATGTTGCCCGACTTCAAGACATACTCCAAATTCCGCGACTTTTCGCCGTATTATTATATCACATAAAACGTTTCATTTAAGACATTTCTAATCTTAGTTTATAATTTTGAGAAAATGTTACAGAAAACGAAAGATTGTAATTAATATACTGTTACAATCAATGAATAATTTAAGTAAAATGATACCTCTGCAGACTGGACAACATGATCCAACTGGGGTATAAACACCAAACACGCATGGAGGAAACAAAGGCAACGGATCACATGGGACCAGGGAACACACTGATGAAATAAATTGTTGATGTTAAAGAGTTTCTATCAATAATTATAGAAAACATTCGCTTACTAAATTGTAGCTCATAAACATATAAATTGGTAAGTAATCGAAAATAAACCCTATATGGAACACCGGAATATAAATCTGTAAAAAATACGTTTGTTCCTAGTATGGTTAAATATATGTTGATAAAATTACAGAATAGGGACGCCAACTTCATGGAATTAAACGGTAAGCTTTACAGTTTTTAATTTGTTTTATAAAAATAGAGCTATAATTACTGAAACAAAACGCAGACACACCTGGCTTACAAACAGGGCAACATTCTCCATCTGGTGTGAACGAACCTTGCAGACACAAAATAGGTTGACAATCAACCGATGTGCAATCTGAAATCGTAGGCATAATATATATATTCGTTAACAGAAAAAAAAATCGTTTTTCAAGTTATAATTTCTTATTAATAACGTTTTATGATAAACTATTCAAACATACAAAAGTCTTGAAAAGGAAAAAATGACAAAAGCAGAGAAGAGAAAGGTCGTGTTTTCACAATTTTTTTTTAGAAAAAGGACAAAACTGGCAAGCAAAGGACTTTGCACACGTTTGCAATTTAATAAATATTCACGCGCAAATAAAAAGTTTCAGTTTCAAGGGAAAACAATAGTTACCCTACATTTGACATATTTATTTGCATGTCAACTGCATCCATTCGTCATAAATCAGCAAAGTCAATTTAGTGTCAGAGAAGTTTGAATTTAACATTTAAGAAATGTAACTTACGCTTAGTCCAATTTGTTTTTACATTTATGGAATTTTGACCATTAGTATAACCTTAATCGTGTACAAGTGCTACACATTAATTTCCTACGATAAAAGTGATATATTTTGGAAATTTTACTAAAATTTGTTCATACCTGGTTTACATGTAGGACAACACCTCTCTTCCGGTATATATGAACCAAATGGACACTTTATAGGCGGACATAGAGCTTTTGTTGTACATTCTGAATAAATTAATAATTGCAGAAAATATATCAAAATATTTGGTATTATCATTCATCACTTAATATTTAAGTGTAAAGTAGTAAGCAATACAGTCTTCAAAATTGCTTTTTTGTTAAACATCTTGAGCCTTTTTCAACAATAGAAAGGGAAATTTGTAAAAAAAAAATGGGGAGGGGAGTTTCTTCGGTAGCAGTGATAACAACAGTAAAGACAAGAAAATTGCAAAACCCCGACCCTTGGGTTAAGTCTGGGTTTATAAAAGATTATAAAAAAGGGAAATTTTTTCTCACGCCCCCCAGCAAAATTTTTGGCAAAAAAATTATTCTTGTCATAAAATAGTGAATCAATTTCTTCCCAAACCAAAACAAAATAAAAAAAGTTGATGTCGTTATTTGGACTGACTGCGACAATGTGTTTTGAAACGAAACGAAATACAGAGCAACAATAACAAAAATGTACATGTTAAATGGTGTATAAAGTGACCAACTTCGTCAATTAGAGTAACGCGATTGGTTTTTATTCAAATCATCTATAAAATGATACTATCTATACCTGCTTCACATACAGGGCAGCATTGTCCGGGTGGTACATGAGACACTAAACAATCAGGTTTTAAACACAATACTGCTGAGCAATCTACAGATACATTTATATGTTATAATGTCAGCAGGAGCCATAGTTTGTATCATGGTTTTAATGTTTTCCACGCCGATGTTTAACACGCCAGAAATGCGTGCTAATTTTATGGCAGCGTACTTGAATGAGATAACTCGCAAATGCCAGTCGGATACATTTAAAAACAATTTTTTTTTGATACGAGCCTTGATCATCATTAATTTTATAAAGAATATATCTTTTTTAAACGTGTTTCTTTGATAAAAGTTTAACGTGTGTTATCATTGTTGAATGAAATATAATCGTATGTCCACAATAGTATTAGGAGAAATTGAATTTTTACTGGAATGCGATATGGAACTGCATCCTTACTTTAGAATCGTATCTTTTTATTATTGAAACATGTTTATAGAACAAACAAGACTTCTAACTTTTGTATTTCCAGTATGAAAGATGAAATTTATCAAGAAACAGAACTAACCTGACACTGGGTATTGGCATGCAAGCCCACAACCGTTTGGACAGCATAAATCAGCACCAACACAGTCATTGTCAGTTTTACAAGGCACAAATTTTATAAGTTGACACATGTTTGCTGTGACATTTTCCACTGGCGGACATCGTACCGGGTTTTCTGAGATTCAAATCGTGTTAGTAGTATTTTTACCATACATTATAAATATTATACGATTTACAATATATCATTAAATAAGATAAAGGTTTGGAAAATCCTAACGCGAGTGTGAGCGGTTCTGTTAATGACAAACCTTTGAGATTCCTCAATACAGCCGACGGTTGAGAATTCCCAATTCTCTTTCTAATTCAATCATGATTGACTTTTGTTCTCACTTACTTTGACACATAAGAAACTAGATTTTAGAAGATCCTTAAGACTGCTTTCCATGCGCAATGAAACTATTTGCCGGTTGTTTTTTATCCTTTCAAATAATCATGCATGTTCAACATTCAAATGCAAGATATAAGTGTTTACGAATTCATTGGAATAATTCAGTCAATAGTCTCATAAGTGAATACAGTGTAGTTGACCTGAAGAGGTAGCCTGACCTACAGACATACATGTCTACAATTTAATATATGGTAAAATCAATATATCATCTAGCATAGTGTTTAATTTTGAGAAAATATACAGAAAACATACGCATTTGCCAATAATATAATGTTACAAAAATGAATAATTTAAGTAAAATGATACCTCTGCAGACTGGACAACATGATCCAACTGGGGTGTACACACCATTTAGGCATGGAGGAAACAAAGGCAACGGAGCACATTTGACCAAGGAACAATCTGATGAGATAAATATACTGTAACTGAATTAGTGCACTATCCCATATAACTAGGCCTTTGCGTTATTTTCAAGTACTACGGCACGCAAAAATTAGATTATCCACATGAACAACAACATCACACGTGTCACAGATTACCTCAACAGAAAAGTTTGGGTACAGAAATGATCACCAGAAGTGTAACGTTAAATTGAATTTGAAGAATTTGGGAATTTTCGTTAGTCAACCCATTGTACTTTTTTCTTTTTAAAAGATGGCGAAAACTACATATAAATGTCATCGGGATTATGCGTCATGCATTTATGCATTCAACAAAATCTCTTGTAAATCATTCATTAAAAAACCATATTTCTACAACATTATCAATTGGTTTATGCTCTATATGCTTGCATTTTTCTGAAAGTCGTCATTACTGCATGGACATTAAAACTTACAATTTAACACGATACGAACTTGTAAATACCCCAGCAAATCTCTTATAGGCAACTACAGTTAAGCTTTATATAAAATGTAGCAGCAAGCACGATATTTCATAGACCGCAATGAGTTTCATACCTCATCCATATTCATTTCGCTTTTTAGATGTAATTTGCATTCATGTTATGTCTTTGTGTTTTATAACGATTGTGTAGGATAACGGTAATTAGACGGTAATTAGTCAACAAAATAGGCGGATATATTAATTATGATAGAGCTGTCACCGGACACACGAGTAAGATATGCCTAATTTAGTTAATTGATGGGCATGTCATCACATGAGCGGTGATTGTACCTATAGCGAGTAAACATAATTGTTAATTTAATTGTTAGCTGTCCGGAAACGCATATTTGCAGTTATGAATTATGGGTTAATAAAGTTTAAGGCGTATAATATTTTAGTATTTAAGGTAAGCAAAATATTATATTCTTCAGTGTAGTTTTTGATGTTAAACAGACTCACTCACTTAGGTTAAATTATGCTAAATACGCAGTTGACATTAATTCTTATTGTTTTACGTATTTGTTTAAGAATTGTGATATTGTTAAAGACACTGATTAAAAAATTATTTTATTTTATAGAATAATAATCTTAACATAAATAAATACATATATCTGACGTTAATGAACTTGATATTGTGTTGACTTATTAATATTGAGTTATTCAGATCTGGGCGATACACTACATTGGCAATTGTTGTGAATCCATTAATTGCTCATTTAAATAAAGTAATTTCTTATTCGTTACAAATTATCTGTACTTTGTTTATAAACACACCAATTTCCTATTAATGGCGTTAAGTTGAAAATCCAAATATTGTTTATGTGTAAAAATGGGTTTGGGGGAGAAGAACGGAACTCCTATCAGAACAGATTTATTCATAATAAAGGATTGAACATCCGTTTCTCTTCCATGCATGTAATACCATTTTGCATATTGAAACATAACGTTCAAGTTTTACAAATTATTCAAGTTTCATAACTTTCCATGGTTAATCATACATGCTACAAAATAAAAAAAAAATAACAAACACATGTAGAAGTAGAGAATGAGCCATATATTATTTTTTAAACCCTGATACTATCACTGCTAAGGTTTGATGTGCGAAACTAAAATGAAGATAATTCTTTTTACAGCATTTCTTTGGTTGATTTACATAATTTCCACATGCTCGGATTTTCCAATAGTTTAGTTCCAATAATTTTAGGATATATTTCTTCCACATGTCATTTTACTCATAACACATATTAACACAACATGATATTCATCTTCAATAACCCTGTCAGATTCACATATTTGACAAAGTCTTCCGTTTGTCTCCACTCGGCTTCTACCTTAAGGTAAATAAGCTCTTGATAACACCCCTAGCTGAATAAGAATATTTCAAAAATATGCCACAACTACCTCAAATAACTGACAATACAAACTGGATTTTAAGTCAAAATATTTAATATTATTCAGTTTAAGAAGAGGAGTGTGGGGTCAAAAAAAAAGTTTAAAGATAATTCATGGGTGTTTCTTTTTTCTGGTAAACTTGCTGACTATTATCAAAATTAAATGCACTCTAGCTCATTAGAGATTACATGTCGCAGTACTATTTCCGGAAAGAACAGGCAGCTAATTATTCATACATGTTTTTATCATAAAGAATTGTTTTAAAAAAATAAGTCATTAAGATGTTTCATGTTTGCACGTTTGAAATAATGAAGTACATGTATACATGTGTCTTTATTTTAACATCGGGCTATCAAAAACTATTGAAACGACTGCATGATCTTCTACCTACTCGTATATGTAAAAACATTGCCTTGTATAATTACCAGGTACATACACCGAATGCCACTTACCTTTGGATGTCAAAGAGCCGTGATGACATTTTAAATAACAACAAACATTATTTGAACAATGATGAAAGAAATTGATAAAAACTATTTCAACATTGATCGAGATTGAATCTTTTAGATGTTTTTATGTTTATCTTTAATATGTTTTCTGTTGTTTTTTGGGTTTTTTTTGGTTTTGTTGTTGTTGTTTTTTTTCGTGTTTTTTTTGTTGTTGTTTTTTTTGAAAATTGAAATTGGATGTAAGTTGTTATTATAATGATACAGCCGATGATATAATTTGCTTTAACTATTTCCAGACATTTCTGTATATAATTTTATGTTCTATGATTTTTTCCGATAATATTTAGAAGATTTTTAAGATGTTAGTACGATTATTTTTCAAATGTTAGATTTCTTTTAGATGTACATTTTAAGCCTGATTACATTTGCTGTGTTGTCCTCACAATGTCACTCAAAAGAAATAATTGCTATTCTGATTTTCCCCCGATGCTATTCGGAAGATTTGTTATATCATAGTAGGTATAATGATTACTTTTCTTATGCTATTATGCAAAATCTGAAAAATAACTCTTATTGCTATGACATCTTCAAATATTAAATTGATAACCGAAGTTAAACATTAAAGTGTAGCAATTATAATTATCAAATAAGCGTAGAAACAATCTAATTTACTTCGCAAATATGTTAATTTTATTCATGATTATTGACAAAACAATACGTCATATTATTGTGACGAAAGCTACACCACACACACAGCATACTAATCACCGAAAAATTTTGTCAATGTTTTTGTTTTTTTTGTTCAATTAGCATAAAATATTTTTTTTTTCAATTAGCATAATATAGTTTACTTTCTAATAGGCTAATATGTATAGTAAGATTCTGGTTTAAAATATTAGAATGCGAATGCACAAAATATATAAGACATGTATACGATATGATGTTAAGAGACTTAGAAATGTATCCTAATAAGATTTCATGGGCCTATAATATTAAACTTTTACTAGACTCATTAGGTTTTAATCATGTGTGGCTATTCCAAGGAGTTGGAAACAAAAATATTTTTATAGATGTATTTAAGCAAAGAATGTATGATAATTGTTTACAACTATGGAACGCTCAATTAGAAAATTCGACAAGAGCCAGGACATATAAACTTTTTTCATGTTTTAGATATCAGCCATATTTAGACATTGTTAAAATTACTAAATTTAGAAAAGCATTAACAAGACTGAGAGTGTCATCCCATTATTTAGAGGTAGAAGCGGGTAGATGGCATAGGCCACAAAAAATATCATTTGACGAAAGAAAATGTAGACTTTGTAATACTCTAGAGGATGAGTTTCATTTTTTATTTGAATGTCCCCTGTACCAAGATATTAGACAAATGCATATGAAAAAATATTTTTGGAAGAGACCTAATGTAATTAAATTTAGAGAACTATTTGAATCTGAAAATATTTGGATTGTTAAAAATTTAGCAATATTTGTGTACAAAAGTTTTGATAAAGGAGACAGTGCATTGTATCAACGATAACCTTGTCCTCTCACTATTTCATATATACGATGCTTATATCAAGTCATTGATGTTACTATATACATTTTATATGTATCACATATATAATAGACTAGATATGTTATAATGAATAAGTATTGACTTTTTAATAGAACTATTTTATGTATACCATGCTATATCATACCATTGATGTTAATATGTAACTGCTGATTGTATTATTACTGTGTACTGATGGGCATATTGCCTTTGTATTAATAAAGTTTATCTATCTATCTATTTTTTTTTCAATTAGCATAAAATATATGAAAAACGTTCTGTTTTCTAGAATCTAAATATACATCTTACATATGGCAGGATTTTTCTGATTTTTCAAATCTGATGTTTAATTTCAATTTATGCTTAGAAGAAAATTTGAAAAGATTTGCTTTTCTGATGGTTTGTACAACTTTACACAATCATTTCGAACGATACAAAAACAGGATAGCACTTTCTTGTAATACTTCCTATGTATAAGCCGACATGTCGTGTCTCAGTACCATTTTAAACGGAAAAAGCTGTAGTACACGTGTCTATCTTTGTTTCATTTACAGTTCAAAGAATGCTCTCGATTGCCAAGCACATTATTTAAACTGACAACCACTGCCTTTATGGTGTGTTACAACCAGCCTGACAGTTTAACGCAGGAATCTAGATCTCTGTATAAATTGTAACTCATAATATGACTTTTATCTCAATATATTAAATTTAAATTTTAATAAATATAAGTATATATTAAGTAATAAATGATAAACTTGCTGAACTTATTTGAAAAGGGTTAATTAAACTTGGTAATTGAGATCTTATAGTAATTTATGTTTTTTTAAACGATTCAAACATAAAAGGCATTTTATGCACTGTACCGGCAAAGGCGGTCACGTGACATTTAGTATGGAAACGTTCCCACTTCTTTGTGTTTATTTATGTTACAAATACATATTTAGTCTTTCATTCATATAAAAGTATGGTGTTTTATTGATAAAAAATGTTTACATGCTTTTACTTTTCAATATATTTTTTAACAAGTGATGCCCCTAAATGATCACATAAAATAATGTAATTAACTTTTCTTTGTACAAGTAATTATAAGTCTTGTCTATCTTGTCATCTTTCTTTTTTTTTTTTTTGTAAGATTCAACATCTGTTATCTGGTGTGCTTATTGATGTTTTACAAGCCAACGTTTATGATAATATATAAAGTTTCTAAATCATTTTTGCTCACTAGACATTGTATTTAGGTTTATTTAATCTTTAGTTCAATCGACTTGATACTACATCTACTATACAATCTATCACATTGAATGCATGTTTTATTTTTAACATCTAACGGTTTTTTAATAAAAAATACATGTATAATTAAGGTACACGCGTACTTTCTATGAAAATTATTTTATAGACGCAAACCATTTAGAATATGATAGAATATGCAAGAAAAAATCTGACGTGATTGTGGTTCCGATATGATTATCCGTTCCTCGAGTACCCACCGTGGGCAGTAACACGACAAGCCCTGTTACCTAGTCTTGGTCAATTTCAATAGCGTTAACATGAGTAAGAAAGGAACACATCTTGGAAAAATAAGAAATGTTGTTTTTTTAAACATTACAGTAACCATTGAAATAAACCTTTAAGGTCTTGTTGTATACAAGGAATTGTGAAAAAAAGCAATGTCAGAATTATGGATGACAAACATATCATTAAACATACTCACACTTCTTTTGGCGTTTCGACTTTTTTGTATTTTCAGCAATTCAGTTACTACACATATGATTATCAAGACTTTAGAAAGATGACAAAACAATTATAATTATGAATAATAATATAAATACACACAAAATGCAAAGTATAGAATTAGTTAACTGTGAGTCTAAATTCAAATTAGGTATACATGTATTTAAAAAGGTAAAATCGTACCGACAACATCCATTGGCGTTAGTGAGTCCCCATTTTGTGCTCTACCGTCATAACCTTGACAATGTATATTCCCAAGTATACCTAACACAATGAAAAACGTTACCATTAAGTCATTTGATACATTTCTGTCAAACATAACTAATACCGTTCAAGTTAAAACTCATCAATATGGCAATTAGCACAGTGTATTTATCTTAATATGTGTAATATTAACAAATCGTATTCACCATACTGTAAATTGTAAATTAAATGAGATATAAAACGTATAAGCGCTTTACATCAATAATACAATTAGAATGTTATAATACATCATCCTGTTTTTACTTGCTACGTTGCACAATATTTTGTAGTAGATACACCTCTTGCATCTCATTTAATTGTTAGTTCGTGTCATTTTCAGGTAAAACCACAAACAATCGAAAAAGAAAACAACAGTAAAATGCAACGACGGTATAACTACCATAATACATACATCAAAAGCTGAATCTAAAGGATCTTGTTACAAAAGTGTGTTTACTTTTTATTCAAGTAACAAGAATTTTACATGCAATGAGGCTTTTAAGTCCCAATACATATGTTTGCCAATGTTATTAACCTCATCATTTCGACATTTAATATCCAAACCATGGCTTAAAATATGCTTTCCTTTCCAAGATATAAGATGTTAATTCATATCTTCAAATTTGAAGCAACGTTTTCAACAGCACACAATTTGTTAGGATAACAGGATAGCAAGACAACAGATCGTCAGCAAACATTGATAACATAAAAGTAGTTTAACAGAATCGTTGTGAGGTTCTTGAGCAACAATTAGTGAAGAAAAGTTATAAGAAATAAGTTTATTTAGAATATACAATTATTAATGGTACTATCTTTTGAACAGCATGTTAACGGAGACTTATATTCAGTATATTTCTTTCCAAGCTATGTCCCTCTGTTGAAATTGACCAAGACCTCGAAACACTGTGTATATTCAGTTACGTAGGAATGTATAAAATAACGCAAGATTCGTGCAAAATGTAACGCAGATCCTGTCAGGTATCTGCCATTTATTACAAAATTATGCTTACCTTTTGCACGAATCGTGCGTTATTTTCATATTCTTGTGTTACTATATACGGTGTGGAAATAAAGGTATTGAATTGAATATAGAGGAACATGTTATTCATATTTTTCATGAAGAGAACATATCAGATCCGAACAAATGTTAAAAATACTCAAGATAAATTTAAATATGAAGACGCAAGCCTAACAGTCTCTCTGTGCTATCATGTGGTATCTCAGTGGTATTTACCTCTTTAAAAAGTGTTTTCAGTTGTTTTATTTGAGATGTGTAACTAAACAGAAAATGTTATGAAGCCATTTTAATTCGAACAATGGGTGAACTGATCATAAATAAAATAATAACGTTACATGCTCTTTAGAAATGAACTTTTCTATTTCAAAAATAAATAAAGTTTAAATACGCGATATGATTGGAAGTCCGAAACGACGATTTTCCCGTGTTCCACATCGTTTGGCAAATGAAAATATAGTAGGCTTTCCTCCTTTCTATAACTATGATTTAGAGTGTTGTGGTGATTTTTTTCAGGATTGTAGCAGGGGTCCAGGGGCAGGTTGGGTGGCTTGTCCAAACACTAATTACTGCCACCTGTGTTAAAAATTGCAAATACACACTGTACATCACTGATTTAACTTGATAATCGATTTAACAACGCCACATGGTCGAGGATGCTAAAGCAATTATTGAGGCAACAAACCCACCTTTTAGGACCGAAGAGGCCGTCTCATGATGAAGAAACAATTAAGATTCATCCGATCAATCGCCGAGGAACAATTTTAATGGCAGAATAGTCTAGAGGAGTTACTCAGTGGAAACGGGCCTCGTCCACTAAACATTCATGGAAAAGAGAAAAAGAAACGATCGTCGAAGAGAATGGTAAGTAAGCAGAAGACAGGCTTCCTAAGGGGTTCTGGTAGATCAAATGGTGTTGATTTTGAAAGCATCATGAATCACTCAGGCGACTCTATTGATGCATTACCTGCATCTTACTACGACTAGCAGACGATGATATTGCCGCCCATGACCCTGCGTCTCATTTGAGACAAATTTTATTTGACAAGTCCATTAACCTTGTGCTTTCGCGATGGAGGTTTCAGGCGCAGCCTCCTAAGAGTCAATTGTGACGGAAATATTGTGTCGCCAAAAAAAGGAATATACCGGGTAATATTGTCTATTTCCATTGCCTGCAAAATTTAACACATTAATGTATCTATCAGCCGCTTAAATATTATACAATTTTCATTGTAATTGTAAGTTTTATTCTAGTACGATCTTATTTACTACTTGTAAAAAAGAAATGACATTGGCTTCTTGTCTTTGTCGGTTGTCGTCAAGGTACACGACTTACAAGTCCATGTAATTGGTTTGGCCAATATTCACAATATACGTTTCAAGCTAGTTATCACAAAGTGTTTAATGGTACACCCGGAAAACGATATAAAATCACAAGTTTAGACAATTCTAACGGTATATCTTAAAAATATATGGCTACATTGTTCAAAAGTCCTTAGTCCGATAGAACACCTTTTAATTAATTACATGTGCAATGTTTAACCGGGCAGATATTTTCTTAAATCTGGCTAAATATTAAAATATTAATGATTTTACTTTTACTCTTGAGTATTAACATTAAAATATTTTAACCTTACATGTAATCATTTATTAGTTGTGTTCAAAGATATTACCAAAATTCTCAAAATATACGGCGTGGTTATAAATATATTATTTGTTGTGTTCAGTATATATGTATATTGGTCAATACGTGCCTTTAATCATACAGACTTAAAAAAACTATTTTTTCTGCAGTATTGCGTTAGTCCCAATTACTGAGAGGAGGAGGGAGCCAGTGATCTATTATCAATACAGTGAAACTTGTCAATTAACGCGTGTCGTCATTTTGTTCAGAGTATAAATCAGTGCATCCCATAATAAAGTTTTCTTTGTTGGATGATATCAATATTGAAGTAATAAAATATATACCTCTTGGTGTAACAATAAATTCCGGCCCGTATCTAGTTAAAGCGTATAAAGCTTTATTTGCAAACATTATTATTTTGTTTAAAAGAAAACTTTCAAATTGCTTGTATGAAGTATGGTACTACTTTTCATTAAAATAAAATGGCCCATACAAAATACATTGCAAAGCGGATAAAACCCTATTTTAAATAACAGGTTAATATTTTGTTTTGGAACACCTGCTTATGTGCAATAGTAAAGTGTGTTAAATAAAAGATATATTCTTTGTGCAATAGTAAAGTGTGTTAAATAAAAGATATATTCTTTGTTTCGAGAATCGGCAATTAAAGAAACAATATTATTTTATTGTTAGATTCTTAATAAAATATTTCATAAGATATATATCCTTTGAAATCTTATTATCTAGTTTGAAAATATCAAACAACAATCTTAATTTAAAGTTAATTACATAAAAAATGAGCAAGATAGAACGGCATTGTAAAACATTCTATGTACGTACTACTACATTAAACTTTAGAATAAAAGCAAGAGTGTAAAATGAAATTAAATGAAATGTTATCAAGAGTTGAAGTTTTTGCAGGTCTATAAAATTAACATGGTCATATGTTTATGACAGATAAAGAAAAATTGTCGTCTGCATCCGTTCATTGTCAAATTGAATAAGAACCAAATACAAATGATTGCTTTAAGATTGGAAAGAGATTTTGTGCAATATCTGAGCAGAAATTGCACTTTTACGAGTAGCAGTAGACTCAAGTGACCAATTTATAATTGAGTATTAACATATAAGCATACAATTATAATTTCAGCTAATTAACCCCTGGAGCGTCTAGATTATTATCAACATGTTTCAACGTATTATTTTAGTCAATGTATTGTATGATATTTAATTTGCTTTCAATTTCATATGGTTAATAAATTGAATAGTTAAACAAATTTATCTCTAAATTGTAACAAAAAGAGTCCGTGTAATGATGTGCTTTTAAGGTTGTATGGCTTCAATAAAACATCATTAAGGTTAGAAATATGTTAAATTTAGTTTAATTTTTAATCTGTTTGTCTTTATTATCTTTATAAGAAATAATTGAACCGTGTCACGACAAAACCAACATAGTGCGTTTGCGACCAGCATGAATCATGACCAGCCTGCGTATCCGCGCAGTCTAATCAGGATCCATGCTGTTCGCTCTCAGTTTCTCTACTTGTAATAGGGTTTGGTAAGCGAACAGCATGAATCCTGATCAGGCTGCGCGGATGCGCAGGCTGGTCCGGATCCATGCTGGTCGCAAACCCATTATGTTGGTTTTGTCATGTCACGGCTCATTATATTGAATCAATATTATGATGATTATGATGTGACTTTAAGACAAGCTATTGCAGAGAAATTGTGTACACTCTGCATGACCTTAGAATATGATAACAGAAATACTTAAGTTAAAGGCAATGGTGTCCTTATTTCAGAACTTGTATTTCGTACTTTTCTTGATAGCAGTTGTGTCTTGACGTTTAATTTTATTTCAAATATTATTGTTCATATTAGTTCAATTTAAATTGAACAGAAGTATACAATTACTTTGACATGGTCAATTTGAAATTTGCGAAACGTTTTATTATTAGGAAGCTGTTGCATTATATGATCAGAGTAGTGCTCTTTAATCCTCATTTCAAGCAAACCTAACTCTGCTCTGTTCAACCTTAATTTTGACAAGTGTGACATATGCGTGCGAATACGTCACAAAAGTGTGACAATTACGATCAGCCAAACTTTTTTAATTAGTATACAGCAATGCATGGGTCATACGTCGAAATCCTATCAAAAAAGCGAGTGAGGTTATATTAGTTGGAACATATATATCACACCTGCAAGTTTTGAGTTGCCAGTAAAGGTTTAGTCTTCCATTAGTGTCTAAAGAAACGGTATACCTATTGCCCACCGTCCGCCTATTCACACGTCTGTCCTTTGTCTGCTCGTCTGTTCATATGTCTTTTATGCTGTTGCATTATATTAAGAGTTATGAGCTTTGATGTGCAGTGTTCAAGTAAAATGTGTTTTAATTAGGAAGATATTTTACAAGGAAAGAGGTGTGTATGTAGGTTTGTTTTAATAATTCAAAAGCTTTCACTACAAAACTTGTTAATGAGAAAATTCTGTCAGTTTCTTTATCACTCAAAATACGGACTAATAACTAATAGTTACTGGAGCAGCTTACCAATATGCTTTAAAATAAGTTTCTCTTATAGCACTGTACAAAGGGCAATCAATCAGGAAATGCACTTCGCTGGATTGTAAGTGCCGTTTGCAATGTGTCAATTACTTCCTTTGTTCACGTCACAATATTTTACTTTTAAAATTTCCAAATGTAACTGAGATTAATAGAAAATAATTAATTTTATTTTCAAAATTTTCATGAAAAATAGCATGAATATTGAGGCCTACTGCTTTAATTTACCATTGGAACATTTAATATATAATCTATGTTTTGGCAATTTCTATTTATTGTAAAATGTTTTACCCTTATGAAACGATACTAATAATACGCTAAACCCATCCGTTTCGCCTAGTCAGAGTGTAGGTCTATATAGATCTTGTGATTTGGACGAGGTGCATGGCCTTTGTGACTCATTGAAATAGTTCATACTTTACTCTCTTTTTCATACAGAAAAGTTGGAAGTTGTTTGTTTGTGGAAAGTAGATTATACTGGTAATGTTCCTTTCCATCAAGCATTAGGATTGAATGCAAGTATAGATTCAATACTAGATTTATTGAATTCGTTGGAAAAAAATCATATTATGCGAGCCTCTAGGGAGCAGAAAATATCTTTTTATTCAACAACTTAAATGAATTTGGTAATTACGCTTTATAAATATAGTATTTTATTTATCACATACATGTACATGTGCCTCAAATACACACACACACATGTAAGAACTATTTTACTGTAATGCTAACATTTAGCGTGTATTTACGCTATATTAGTTTTTATATGGCATATACGTGTACTTAATTGTATGACTTCACGTCATTATGTGCAGGGACGTGTCATACCGTTTTCCTGGAGTCAGAAAATTAGTATTTATGTCATTAACAGAAGTATATCTGTACGTACAAAAAGTATGAACTAGCATGTAAATTCAATCAATTTCTGTATAAAAATGTTTTACACTAAATTATTTACTATTAATCTCAGTTACATTTCAAAATGTCTATGTGCAAAATTGTTTTCACTGTTGATTCTATGAAGTTCGGGTCGGTAAACTATTTTCCCTAGTAACATGTACTATCTTAAAACATAAAACGGAAGCGGATAATGAACTTCATTTCAAATTAGAACTGCAGTGTTCGTGCAAAAAGGTATGCATCTTGGTTTTCACCATTGGTCATGTGGTTTGCCAGGGGCCAAACGACGACGACAGCAGACGGAGGCATAATAGCTTATCATGGCAAGTCAACCACGTTCAAATAAACAAACTTACAATATTGAAATGTCTTTTATTAGTACTTCATTGAACTTGTTATTATATTTTATAAGTTATATAAGTAATTCTATACCACATATCAGAAAACGAATTTATTGTTTAGTTTGTTGAAAAATCGTATTTATAAATTTTTTAGATGAGTTTTTCCGTCCACAGACTTTCTTGCAATGCTTTTTGCTATCAAAATTATTCAAGTTTAATCCGCATCCTTTCCATGCAAATTTCTCGCATCTTTTGGTATTTGGGTTGTAGAAAAACCGAGGAATGTTTTTATTGCACGACCCAGTTTCTTTTGGTAGTGAACAAATTGGACAAGGGGCTGAACCGCAGAACTTTTTACATTCTTTCTCTGTATCAAAGCGGTTTAAATTTCCACTGCGGCCTTTGTAAGTGAAAGTCTTACACTGACATTCTGCTGCATCATAATACCATTTTTCCTGTTTCTTGTTTCCTCTGTTGCAAACTCCTTTCTTTGGTGGGAGATTACAAACAGGACATTCAATGTTCCCGCATATTGCTTCACATTCTTCTCGAGTGTCGTATCTGTTTTCGTTACCACCACACCCACCATAAACAAACTGTTCACATTTACATGTATGCTTGTTAAAGAAGAAGCGTTTGATGTTCTTTTTACATGTCCCTTTATTCTTCGGAAGGTTGCAAACAGTAGATGGGCATGTCATATCTTGACATGACTTTTCACACAATTTTAATGTGGGGAAAGTTTTTCTACCTTTACATTGACCTCGACGGGCTATCCTACATTTGCATATTTTGCTATCATAAAAATACCTATTTTGAGTGGCACCAAAATTACTCTGATCTCTCGCTAACATGCATGAATATAATGGTTTCACGTTGCATTCATTTTTTTCACAACGTTTATTGCACGCTTTAAGTGTATCAAATCTATTGGCATTACCCCCACATCCAGAATAAATGAACCTTTCGCATTTGCAAGTTTTAGTATTGTAACCATAGCTAGGGATATAGCCGCCGCAAAGAGGTCCATCATCATTGCTCATCTTAATAGGCATATTACAAACATTTTTACAATCACTACAACCACAGCGAAATTCACACTTTTCTTTTGTTCCAAAACTGTTTCCGTTCACCTCACAGCCCGTGTATTGTTCGCATTGACAGGTTTCGCTATTAAAGAACCAGCGCGTCGATGGTTTCATACATTCCCCCTTGTCTATAGCTAGCTTACAAAAAGGATAATTTTTCAATTTGTCTTCGCAAGATGCTTCACAGTATTCAAGGGTTTCGAAATTGTTGTCATTTGGTGCACAGCCACCCCAACTGAAAGGCTCGCATGTACAGCTCTTGGCATTGTAAAAGTAACGTGTGATTGCAGCTCTGCAAGGACCAGGTTCTACAGGTTGCAGGCATACTTAAATGAAAAATATGTTCAAACCGATCTAAATATGAAAATTAATATATGTTTGCACACACTTTCAGAAATTAATCTTTATTACCTTTAAGGAGAAATACATGAACACACTTTCAGAAATTAATCTTTAATACCTTTAAGAAGAAATACATGCACACAATTTTGTCACTAAGGAAGTAGAATACAAGATTTGAAATTATTTTAATTATTTCAGTAAAATGACATCGATTACAAAGTACTGACAGTAACTATATGCTTTAGCAACTGATAAACCTTGTCTGGTTAAATGAAGAATTTATGTGTATTACCTTTTACATGTTTGTTTATACAACAATGACCACTGGCGCCAAGATATTTTCTTGTGAATAAACACGTAGATTCAGCAGGGCACACAAGGCCTCTCATTGTTCCACATGTACCATTTCTGCCATTGGGACATATGTCTTAAAGGTGAGAAAACAAAATCATTTCAATGACTTTCATATTGTAATGAACTTTAATTTTTTGTATGTACAATTAAATGCTTGTTATAAATTATTTAGGGGCCTTAAATGAAATCTAATAAAGAATCACAAAGAATCTGATAAAAAATCATTTCTTGGATGACGATCGGATTGCTTAAAAGTACAAATGCGCATGTTCTTAGCATTGCTTTTGTATTGAATGATGAATATATAGAGGATATTTGTTTAGTTCAGTGTAAGATCGGGATATATTTCACCAAGTGAGCACCCGAAAGGTATATTTCACGAGTGACGCAGCCATGAGTGAAATATAAACTTTTGGTGTTCACGAGGTGAAATGTATTTCGATCTTACACTAAACTAAACAAATTTTCTTTTTATTGTATGCAAAGAAGCGTTTAAAAAGACATTTTAACCTAATACTAAATGAAAATCGCGCGAAATAATAATGCTACGTGACGTCATTTACGATGTCACGTCATTAAGTTGGTTTCCAGTACTACGCACGCTGGTATTTCACTAAAACAATGTAATGGGCTTAAATTCCAAACAGTGAAAATTATCAAATTGATAATTTCACTGATTCAGACGGTTAAATATCAGTTTCATATTTTACTGATATATTTCTAAATAAACCACCGAAAAAGCATGTAATAAATTGATTTCTTTTATGTTTTTAGTGGATCACAGTTTCATACGTGAAAACTATATATGATAATATCACAGTGAAATTAGGAAATTCCCACGGCTAAAATGTCTGCAAATGAATAGTTTAAAATATCATCAATTACCTTCTTTCTATTTCATTGATTGCAACAAAGGATCAAAATACATTTCAATTAACAACTATTGTAAAGAAATATATTGAAATATTCAATATATTTGATGTGCCATCGCGTTTTCATCATCATTCCATCATGCATCGCGGGTACAGACTAATTAAAAACACGATTATCCAAACGGAACACCGTAATAATTAGTTCTCAAGGCTAGTTTTTTTCCAGAAAATAAGTTGTCTTAGTGTCAAGCAAAGAGAAGATTAAAAAAGTAGAGAAAAATTGAGTTCCGTAAGAAGACAAAAATGGCAAAATTAAAATACTGCTACCTCGATTATGTTGAGTCGGTTCATAGACGGTAGAGATTTTTGAAAACTATCAATAACGCCTTTTAGCATCGCCTTAAGTATTCAGTATTTAGACAACTTGCTCAAAAGTTATCTATGGGAATTTCTTGATTTGAACTGAGTTATATATAGATATACTTCCAAACCAATGTTTAGTTTTCCTCAAAATATTTAAAAATTGTTACCTGATAACGACGATGGACAATTTATTTAAAAAAAAAACAATAATAATAATAATAACAATAATAATAATAAATATATAACAATCATGTTTTAAAGAGAATGGGGGATTTTTGCTAGGTATTCGATGTTCTGTAATTAGTCACATTAGTTATCTATATCATTATGCCGCAATCTTTCATTGTATCTTGTAACAAGTGCATTGTAGAATGAACATTGTGCATGTACATTTTATGCTTAGAACATGTCATTAAATTATCAAATTATAAAATTAAATTTTTAAACTTCGAAAGGAAACAAAAAGAAACAGACTGTTTGTTATTTCCTCAAAAATAAAAAAACCCAGCTGTTTGTCATATTAAAAAACCTTTATGATAAATAATACCATTGACTAAAGGACTATAAAACAAACAAACGTTAATTAGAAGTGCATCAATAAATCTTTAACAGTATATTTTGAAAACATACCCGGTTTTTTCACTTGATACGTTGACTCAGTGATGGAGACAAGCAGCATTCAAACCAAACAAAAGAAAGTCAGCATAGTGTTTTGTTGATATAATATGCAGTTCCGACGATATATTTAACATATATATCAAATGCTGTCACTGCACTTCTCGTAAGGTATGAGCTGGCAATGTTGCTTACCAGGTATTTAAAGGCTTCCTGCAACATGTTACTTGTGAGAGTTTTTTAAAACGTTTAAACGTATGTAACAACTGATATTAAGCAATCGTCAAACTTTTGTTTTCGAACAGCTGTCGTAATCTGAGAATAAAGATTAAGTAAACAAACTTAAATGTGAAGGTTTTAAGATATGTTCGGTTCATTACGTTTGAGAGAATGCGTCTGTTCTATCACGATGCAAGTACTCTTGTAAACTCACATATGTCTTTGTTTCCTTTAGAAATTTCAATTTGAATCTCAATTGGTGCAAATTAGTGAGAACATAAAGCATATTTACAGCAAATTATCACATTTTGCATATGCTTTAAAAACAACATATTTTCTTATTCAAACGGAAATAAATCATTTATCCATTTGTCTACAAATTCCTGAGGAAATAAAAAAGCAAGGACATATCATACAGAAACAGTCATCCGCATTGCAATTATTCTTCAAGTATTCAACTATTCATAGTTCAACAAATACATGGATATAATAACATAATGAATAAGAATCAAACATAATTTTTATTATACATATGAAAATGCATAATTTAGTGAAACCACAAAAGAATGATATTGAATTACAAGCTCTCTACCAATATTTCTTGCTGCTTAATTAAATTGCATACAAAAACCTTTTTATATTACAATTTTCCCATAGTACCTGATGTTGCATTTCGCGCGTGTGCATTTTGCGTAGGGCAAAAACGCAATTATGAAATATTACAATTTATTATACTTAAGGTTTTCATAGACGTGATTTCAAGTTATATCATCAAGAAAACAGTTATTTTGGGATGATTTAAAGCAGCAATAACTTAAAACGTGAATTCATTTTTATGGCCGTCGTGTTTCTCATAAGTATATATAAATCCCAAGAGTTTGTGCAGCTTGTAAGACACAAAAATAAAACAACGCAATGTGTAAGTTGTTAATGGGCTTTAATTTTAAGCCGATAAATGGATAACATTTTACATCTAGAAATTTTTATGTCTTAACTGGGGAACGAATTCGCCGCCCCCAAATTGATTAACCAAAACTTCAAATGTGGTTTCAAATAGAAAACAATTGTAGCAAACAATATAATAGATGACAAAAGTTGGACAACAACGCCACATAAACAAATACATGTAAGAAATATGAACTGTTAAAAATAAATATTTTCCAAATCTTGGTCGACTCGCCCAGGAAAACGCATAGTCTGGAAACCTGTACCCTTTTATCATGCGTCTAATAACACCTGATGTAGGGCTACATCCTTGAAAAATACTTTATGAACTTTTAATAGAAGTAAGTAGCCATTTAAACATAAAATTTAAGTATAATGACTACAAAATGATAATATGCCAAAATATAACGAAATACAAGAACAAAAGGAAACTTATACATGTTATACAGATGAATTTCAATGCGATACATAGTAAACACACACAAAACAAAATACATAAAATACTGTATTACAAAACGTCCAAAGTAAATGAAATTGTATGATCTCACTACTAACTTTCAGTAGTGGATGGATGGTAAGGGAGGAGGAGGTAAAACTTTATATAATATAAACATATTTAACTAGCTGAGAGAAAATTTTTCTTTGTTTCCTTTCTTCTCGAAAAAAGAGTGAATGGCGCGTGGGCATGATTACTATAATATACGGAAAGATCTTACTCCCGAAATGAATAACGAAAGAAAACTAAGAATAAATTATATTAAAAACAGCTTGTCCATAAAATATCTTATAAATAAAATTCATTCACAGGTCATGTATATCAAAATATGCGGGACTAATAATTCAATGATCGAAAAGCACATATAAAAGTCCTCTGTTTAAGGTATCATTTCACAACTTCTTCATCAGTAATTTAAATTGAAACAGCATGGTGTTAAAGATTAAAATTTATTACCCCTGTATAACATAATATTGCATAATTTGTATTGTACACTTACTATGAATAAGCGAATATGCAAGGCAGTAAATGTCAACAGATTGACACGTGATGGTTGTTCTTTTTCCAACTAGTTTACAATATTATTCAACCAGCACGGTTAAAACCATGACATAGTTAATCACGTTAATCACGTAAAATTACGAAAATCGTAATTTTTTGTTACTTTTACATGTACCAATCTCATCGATGTTTAATGGGTTTGTGAAGTGACAAATAGTGTGACGTACATTTACATGTGTTAGCAATGAATGAAAACCAGGTAAAATGTCATAATATTAAACTTATGTCATAATGTTCATATCTGCACCCGAAATAGTGCAAATGTAAATAAACAAGTTTTTCTATGTTTGAGCTGCCACCTAGTGTTTTTACCCCAGATGACCTACATTCGAAATTGACCTAGAAATCATTGAAAAAAACCTAATTTCCAGGATATTTTAGCTAAAATATTACCCATCGACGAAGACTCAACACCGATTATGATTTCGTTAAGTTTATATATTATTGAGTTTTAGCGAAAACATTGCCATGGTCGAGTATCTATTTTACAGATGAAAATTTGAAATGCTAATTAAAAAGTTATTTTTATGTAGTATAGTCTGCGTTTTCTGCAGCAGAATTCCGAAAATTATGCTATTTAAAGGAACAAGTCACACTGATAACAACAATTTTCAAACGCGGTAGACTTAATTAGAGCTGTTTGCCAATTCTTAAAGAATTTCAAATATAAAAAAATATATCTTCTCGTAGTCCATTTGAAATACATGTATATATCATTGCTCACGTGCTGGACTGGTCTCCCTGTCTGCCTATATACTCGTCATGAAGATGGTCGACTAGTCTCTTTCTGAAATTATACAACAAACGTACAACGAAAAACAACCTGAGGTGGATGGGTTTGATAAAAAAATATTTCAAGTATGTAAAATAATATAGCGTCAGTACAACAACCTTTTTCATTGGCTTCCAGATTGAATAAAAATGAATACCGATCGATGCCACGCTTTTCTTAGAAAAGTAGTTCTTATAATGTAAATTGAGCTGGAAATCAACATAACAACG